ATTAGCGCCCAAGGTTAGTACTAGGATCAAGCACATAACTTCCAATTCAGAATCTTAGCAAGAACCGAGGCTGATTAGGCCAATAGGAGATTGACGTTGTGAAGATCTTGATGTCAATGGATTTGAGCAGTCTCAACAAGGAAACTATCTCGGCCTGCTCACCGCAATGCGTTCACGTATATCATAACTCCTTCGAATGCAGTCTCCCTCTCACCGGTGTGATACCCTCGCCGTAGGAGGTATCTATTTCCCCAGTGCAGGCGACCGACTTTGAATGGGCCCCCAGTTAACTCAAGTGGCTTGCTTTTGCGTCAAGCAGCCCAGCCGGCCAGCAAGTAACCGATGACACCGAGGGAAGGGGGCAGAAAGCGCCTCTCGACGCCAATGTCCAGTTCCGTTGTCTCAGAGTATTTTCAGCTAGCTTTATGGGGTTTGTTAACGGCTCCGTGAAACTAGGAACCAGCCGAAGGAGCCGCAAACTAGCAATCCAACAGCATAGGTGTCTCCCGGTACATGAAAACGGCAAGTGTCGTCAATGTGAAATGAATTATTCTTGTATTTCCTGGCCCTCCTAATATAGCTCTGGAGTTGTGAGCATAACTATACATTCTCTGCCCACGATGAGGTCGGCTTGTACAACATGCCATGTGCTGGATTCTGGGGACTATAACCATGGCCACGTGCAGTGGGAAGTACTGTCTTAAAGATGAAGTGTGGTGTCTCATGCTCAATGATATTAACGACTTCGTATCATATTATTTAAGATGGATGGCCCACCCCACACCAACTTCAAACATCATATTCGATGACAAGTGGACGATATTGCTGTTACTCGGCGTCTATTACAGATGTAGTACATCGTGAGCACTTGCATGATCTTGGTTTATGTTGATTATCGACGAAGGGCTAGTCCACACTGCACCCCCACTGCTCTGCGTGGCCTACGTGGCGGATGACACCAGAGGCGTTCTTGCTTTTTCCATTTACCGCTGAAGCATGGTACAAGGCTAGAAGCGATCGTCCCCCAACTCAGTGCCACCTAGTTCATGGCGCGTTCGAAGTCTCAATTTCATCTCGCCTCCTGAGATTAGTACGCTATCGATCTCTATCTGCTCTCCACTTTCCCCTATGCAGACCAATGATAGCGAGCTTAGCATGTGTTTATCTTTACCATTCTAAGCCGTCATCAGATCAAGTGTATAGATACTGTAGCTCTATTTGACCCCCATACATAGATCTAGACGCCTCGTTGAGATGAGAAATCTCATATTCTGCAATACTCATTGGTGGGTCCGTCGGAAAGCACTACTGCCGCGCTCTGCAACTACGAGAATGCATGTTTTGAAACAGCCTGCTAGTACTGTCGTGTACACAACTTACGTAAGTCTAGTATCTGCCGCCACACGTGAATTAAGTTAGCTAATAGATGTAGGTCTTACCCTATGTTCCTGCTTTTAGTACATACTCTGCTGCGGTTAGCTCTGCTTGTAAAAGTCCCTAACTTAGGTCTACCTAACCATCTAAATGAACATCTGTTAAGGTAGACTTGAACTTGGAGATAGAAGGCATCTACATTTGGTTAAGATGTGCTTTAGGGCCCAGAATGTACCTAGTCGAGATAACTTTCTAAGTCTTTATTTGCGTACTGGTAACTCCCAAAGGGATTCGTACAGAATAGAGGTGTCCTATGATTGTTCTGCATGGAGCAAGTGAGACATTACTAGGTACTAGTGAATAGGTGAATTGGCTTTTGGTATTATAATAGCCAATCTATATGTTACACGACAACGGGAGACACGATGTCTCAAAGTAGGTAGGTATCAAAGCGTAAGAGGTGCTTAAGATGGGCCCCTTAGCTTTGCTACAGCTAACATGCAGTGACACAAGTCTCCCATCTGACATAGAAAGGTCTCACTTATAACACCATATAGCTTAGCTACCTGGTAATAATATGTATAAGTGACGGTATCTACTATTAGCCCCCTCAAAATTTAATACGAAGAGAGATTCCCTCATACACAGATCGGTATAAGTTCGAACAACGGGATGCTTACCTAAGGCAGGTACTCAAAAATATTTCAATAAGGCTGAAAATCTTCATCCCTTGAAGTATATACATTAGTAGGTGGGTGCATTAAGCATTGAGATAAAGGTACTTCACATTGGAGACTTGGGTGTCAGTAGTTATAGTGACTTATTGGGAAGCCCTTCGGTATATAAGTGAGATAGCCCCCACTCCTGGAAATAACAAGCATTGATAACCCTCTATTATATAGGTCCTGATACTTGAGTAGGTACCTACCTACAGTGAGTTACTGTACATCCTCACACTTTATACTGCAGCCGAAACCTGACTATTCCCCTGTCACAGGGTGGGCCTACCGTTGAAGACTGTCACGGAGTGAGTGAGACTAGCAGTCAGCTCGGCTTTGACTCGCTTGTAGGTAGTAAAAAACCTTGATCAACGCCTGTCCCTCTCATAAAACCCTTTGGGGCCTTGGGTCCCTTATATATTGGTCCCAGGTATTATACAAGCTGCAGCTCACTAGCTGTTATCTAGCCCCTTGCTCGTAGCCCCTGACACCCCCTGACATAAGGCAGTCAGCTAAGAACTGGAATTTCTTTTATTAATATTCTTACCTACCCACCGCTAGTACAGGAAGGCACATATAGGTAGATAGACAGATGATTCGCCTTGAACTCACTTTATAGCTACGTGCTTTAGATCTGGAAGAAGTAGAACTGTGTTGAACATTGCCTGAGGCGCCTTGGAAAGGGGGGCTAAAAGTAGATCCACACTGACACTATATCCTAAGTCAAGTGGCAGAGTTGCGAGTAGAGGAATCGCTAACAACTCTTCAAGATTTAGTCCTACGTATATAATATGGACGGTTATTGTATTGTACTACAGTAATAATATACACCTGACTTACGGGCTATAAATTTCGAGTGAACATATAGTCACTTGATTAGGTAGAATGTGGAAATTTAGGTAACTACAATAATAACTACTGATTTGATTGCTAGCAGCGGATCATGTATACAATGTCAGTACCTATGGATAGTAAGAGTTCCTCATATATTTAGCAATCAATTTGTATAACTTTTAAGCTCTCGTGGTTAATGTTGTAAGTGCGACCCCTATTCCGGCTGCGGTGGAAACACGACATAAAAAAATGAGAGCCACTTATTGTTAACTTCTCAAACAAGGTCTTCTATACTTAAAAGTGTGAGAATTAATTATTTAATGCGATATAAAGACTGAAATTCAAGTATTGTTGATAGGATGACTTGTTAGGTACTTGTAATTCATCATCTGCCATTGCCAATAAAATATCACTGATATGAATAGGTATAAACCACGGTTAAGTGAAGAGTTAGAGAGGAGAATGGTCGAATATTCGATACTGTTTCTATACTCTTCCCAAGTTTACACCTTCCGTGGGCTCTAACAAGTAGTCGGACAGTGGCAATACCAAGATTACAAGGGATGACAAGGCTTGGGGTCTTTCATGATAACTTCATAACTGGATGAGAAAAACCATTGGACCTTGGGATAGCCATACTGCTACGCCTCGTTACAGTTCATCAATATTCTCAAATGCGGCAAGTCGTGTGATCAATATGTAGGTAGATCCCGAGTCGCTCCTGGATTTGTTGAGTCCGCCTTGCAAGAGTTAGGAGTGTGAATCGAGGCAACGGAGATATCTTTCGTCTAGGTATGCTACGTGGCTGCAACATTATGCGAGGTGATCAAATTCATAGCAACTAGTTTCTTGGAGTTCGTGACGAGACCGCTCTGCGATCCGGCTGTGTTCGTAGTATTGGATGAATCAAATGCTTACCGGTACCAATGCCCCTGAAGTTATCGACACCAAGACCCTTAAACGAGAAAGATTAGCCGCGAGTTGCAGGGAAAAAAAGAGGTCTAAAGGATCAAAGAGCATAAAATCGTGCGAATAGGCTGAGGAGGAAATTCGTATAATGGATTATATCCAGAAGAGATGCTCGAGAACCCTGTATGCATAGCAACTGCCGCTTTTACCATCACTCTCGTCGTTGTGGTACGACCATACCCTGATACCATACGGTTCCGCTCAATATTGCGACATATCGTGCATTCTGGGCCAAGCCAGATTCGAATCAAAATGAGGGGTGTCGTCATCTGATTACTGTACTCTCGACTGTCGTGGCATTCCATCTTGAAGGGCAAACCCCCGGTGACCCGGTTCCGACTACACACCCAAGTTGTCCTACAAGGCTGACACTTCTCCATCATTGCGCCTTCGTAGTACAGATATCGACAGGATTCCGCGAGGTACCAGATTGGCCCAAGGCGGTGCTACCTAAGAATCGTAAGTTAGGCCGCCACGGAGCGCTGGGATAGGTTCAATATCAAGGACATTGCCGCGCCTATTCTACCTCCAGGGAATGAAAGGTTCAAACGAAATGATGCGCGACCAAATAAGAAACATTGGAAGCGCACGGCTCTCGCATTGCTACCTTGCGCCTCATAGTTTTTTGTTTCCAACCAGCCGCATTCCCTAATGTAGGCTGCCGATGCTACCCTAAGTTCCGTAGATCACCGTCAATGAGTTACCATCGAAGGCTGAATTCAGCAAGTTGTCAGGTTTGACAAAAGGGGCTGACCGTTTAACTTGGCTCCGGGAGGCGTGTCACGACAGAAAAGGGTCACCTTGCATTTCTGCGCTTCCTACTCTCTATTTAAGGTCGCCCTGTGCGTCACGTTATGCACTAGCATCCTCCCCCGGGCGGATGATTACATACATAACCACTTGCACGGCGGCATAAGAGTGGGCCTCACATATATTACAGAGGCCGGCGGCCTGTTACGCGGGGTGCGCATATTGATTGCGATGCGCTGTGATGCGCCGCGCCGCCAGGGCGGAAACGAGTAGCGTTGCTGCAAAGCTATTGGCGGCTCGGGATGGGTAGCTTAAGATCTGACATAATATGCGCCACAACGTGTAATGAACACCCTCCGATTTGTTTATATAGCTAGGGTAGCTATACCAGGAAGGGAACGGTGATTGAGACGTATCAGCGAATGATCATCTACCCAGGTAATCACCGGGATAGGTGTTCCGTAATTGCTGGAGTGGGATAAGCTCAACCCGTAGCCCTATAACCAACGCCCTACCTATACTCGAAGGTCGGAGATGTAGTGGTATTGGTTACGGTGTTACCGTAGTATGCTGGGAGCACGAGGGTCGGACATATGATGCTTGAATTTCAGAGGAAGCCAACAGCAAGCCTATTAATAACGTTGCCTGTAATACACTTTTTCTTTTATTACCCGGAACATTATCAGAATGGTGTGCACACCCGTCCTAGCTATAATAAGAAAACCAACTCCAATGCCAGAAAAGGGAGAAAGAAATCCGATCTGCCTCAAGAATTACATTGTGATACCGGTCTTTCCTCTTGAACGAGTGTGAGTGTGTGTTGCTCTACAACCTCCTGACTTGATCATACATGAGCCGAGCAGACATCGGAGCACCAACAAAGCAAACAGAAGCCGTTTTAGGAAATCACTGTTGCTAGCTGTGCCCCTAACAGCTTACTTGACAGCGGCAAGGTTGTTGATCAAGTCATTCATCGCAAACGGGGTAACTCTGGGAGCGGATTCCGGGCCCGACGAGAAGTGATGAGGCATGGGTCGTGGGCGCGGGACCTCCCGCACGTCGGGGAAGTTACTCGTCGTGTAATCGACGGGAAGGTCTAAGGCAAGGGCTTCGGAACGTGGAGATAAAACGGTTGTGCGGGACGGGGCTGGCCACTCCTCGTCGTCCTCAAGAAATGTCGTCCGCAAGAATTCGAGGAATGTGTCTACATCCTGCTTAGTCGACATGGCCCCAAGGCTGGCCCGAACAATTCTGTGCGACATCGGCTTGTCAGTAACCTATATAACATGCAAGGGGGCTTCCAATTAATTTTGAAGTGGTAGGGTAAGACGAGATGTAATTGTGACATACCCTGTGGGAAGTCTGTGGATGATGCTTATGCCATGTGAGCCACAGTGGTGGCCGGCAGATAGGGCGCGCTCAGTCATCCACGGTTCATATCCAAGCGCCGTGAAGATGCCGCCAGGATTACAGACCCCTGAAAGTGGAAGTTAGTTAAACCAACACAGGGACCATAATGTGGCTGAAAATTATAAATATCACCCACCTCCTGATCTTATATATATGCCTGCAGAATTGGCCGCACGCTCGACATCAGAGTAAGGTACATGATGTCCATTTGCCCTTAGTACGTTGAAAGCAATGGCAGATCCTTGCTTTGTCGAATCATCAAAATTGCCATTTTCGTTGTAGATTCGGCAGAGTGGTCGTCCGTTGGAATGGCGCATAGTAGCCATGCCTCGACACAGTCTAGAGATGAGGTAGGACGTATGATCGGAGATCCTGCTCATTGACCCGTATAGTTTCTTGTGCACATCGATCGCTTCTCCAAGGGCGAGAATACTGTGGAATGGAAGAGTTCCGTCCTCGAGGCCTTCGTGAAGCTTGTAAGTGGGTGCTTGTAGGCCTTTTGATCGATGCCAATTCTCGCCGAATGTCGCAACCATGGACACAGTTCCTCCGCCAAAATACTTCCGGAGAGTAAGAATGTGTCCTGATTCTTTTCGAACAATCAAAGCCCCAATATCTGGAAAGCCGAAGATTTTGTATAGGGACAAACAGGTGAAGTCCGGCGCATGATCCACATCACGAAAGATGGTTTCCATAGGATATGTCATAGCTAGCGCGGCAGCGTCAAGGAGGGTGTAGGTGTTCTGTAAGTATTCTGACTGTCGCAGGATTCCGGGCCAAGAGAGCGGTAGTCTCCTGCCGGACATGTTGGACTGCCCAGGGTAAGCAAAGAGCCCCAACCCGCCGGGATGGTAACAGTTGACGAAACACGACTCAGGGGAACGCAGCCACCTTTCCACTTCCTGGTCGCTTCGGAAGCAGTAAGATTGACCATATGTCAATTCCCTCACTCCCACAATGCTCGTGTGCGCATCTTTGTGATAGCCGTACCAGAACCTCCGGTCACTTGTTTTCTCGGAGAGGTCTCTAAAGGAGTCCGCGACAAGTTTGATAGCCGCGGTAGCATTCGCCACGAAAATCAGGTCAAAGTGCTCGGGATCCGCGCCGAAGAAGTTGAGCGTCTTCTCCCGCACCTGATCAACGACATCCCCGGAAAGTTTGGCTGGGAAGTTCTCCGAGTGTGGATTTCCGTATAGGTTGGTGACCATTTTGGCGCAAAACGACTCAATGGTAGATTTGGCATATATAGTCGCCCCGCTGTGGTCTAGATAGACCCCTGATTATGGTTTAGCTGGAGAACAAACAAGTTGAACGAGGAGCATACCGTCATTCATATGCGGGTATTCTTTTTGACGCAGGGCTTCCACGTCACTGTTGTACCCTTTCGACATGGTGAGGAGCGGCATTGGTAACATATGTTGAGTAGGGAGGGAATATGTAGAGTAGGTAGTGGTTGCTTAGGTTTCCTCGATGTTCGAGAGATGACTTGAACTTATACTAAAAGATGATACGGCCCGCTTCGATTTTGACTTTCTACCTAGATAGAGAGCAAGAGGGGTCTATGCTAGTTCCTGTATCGCTCATTCCGAGAGCCCGTCATCCTGAGGCAGGTCCAGACGAAGGATCTTATACTCGACCAACACCTCCAACACCCATCACCTCCTTCTTTCCCGCCACTAATGGCCATCCGTAGCGGAAGACATGGGGAAGTAGCGTGGGGTGATATCCGCCCTACATCATCTAGTCGACAAAGGTCAGCAACAAGGTGGTGGCGCGGTGTGCGAGAGTCATTCTGTATCGTCCATTGGCTATCTTTCCATGTTGAACTGATGAACCTGGCACAAGCGGATGACCGGACAAACATCTTGGCGAGTCGATAAGGGAAGCAGTAGGCGCAGCACATCGCACGCTAGAGACTGCGATCTAGTGATACATCGTACCTGGAGACGGTTCCCTCAAGGATACTTGCCGCACATCTGATGATGGGAAGCTGGCGGAGACTATTGGACCCTCGATCTGGTCTGACACACCTGACCTTTTCCCGTTTAGGAGCGACGACGGCGATACGTACCGGATTGCCTGTCCAAAATTAGCTCGCTACACGTCCATAGGTAGCTCGAGTACATCTAGAATTATCCCGGTAGGAAAGGCGAGGGAGGAAGTCTATAGTTCGAGGAGGTCTGGTCTGCTTCACGAGCTTTGGAGAAGACGGTTGACGTACGCTAGTGGACCCTACGTACTTTGACCAAAATAAGAGGCGCAAGTTGTCAGATGCAAGGGGGGTTTAACGAACTTCGTATGATTGGAACGGATAGCTAGACCTGTGCGGTTCGCTGTGCAGCGTGTGGAGATAAGGCTGCCGTCAAATTGCCGTTCGTCTGTAATGGGTAATGTGAAATCTTCAACAGTTCGGACGATGTCCAAAATGGCCTCAGCACTTACCGAGGAGGCTCTGGCGGAATAAGCATGTCAACCGATCGCGGCAAAGGCATGCAATTATGCAGACACTATTACCACTTACACCACTTGCAAGGGTCATCTAAGACATGGGTTCAGACAGGAAGGCATCCTATTTGGCGGTCGTTCGAAAGTTTTGCTCTCGTCTGCGTGCTTGGATAGGTCGAGCGCCTCTTTCAGGCAAGCGTTGCGGGGAGAGTGGTGAGTGCAACGGCCTCGGTCTCTGAACGGCCTCTGAACCCAATCACCACAGAAGGGTGGGATGGCTTGCCGCGAAAGTTACGGCCAAGAGCTGCGAGAAGTTGTACTCAAGGCGGGTTGGCTGCAGCTGTCATCGACACCTCTGCTCTATCGACCCAAACCCCAGTATGCCGTGAGGGAGCATTCCAAGGTACGTAGCTTGGTTGTGTTCAGAGAGTCGATCCCTGCTGCTTGCGAGAAAGTGGTCGCCGACCTCCAGTACAGAGGGTGTGCGTCATATGGGCACAACTTCTGCAAGTCTCTGCGTCTAGACTTTAGAGATCCCTGGACATCTCACTCCTACGCTGCCGCATCCCATCTCGAGTAGTAAAGGGCCTTGTGGAGATAGAAGCGAGCCCTAACGGATCAAGATCGAAACGGGCGGATAATGGCCGTCACGGAGGTGGAACAATGGGCCGCCAGAAGGGCAAATGGAGGCGGCTTGACGACGGACGGACCCTGTGCTAAGCCCGCCAAGGCGATGGATCTAGCTAAGAGATAATGTTATTAATTGCTTTCCCTACTTCTTTAGCTGCCTATCATTGCTTACAGCAGCTAACGAGCATACGAGCATACCGTACCACAGATTCGAGTTGAGCCAGGGACGTGGTCGCTAAGTCCGTGGCGTGCCTGGTAGCTATTGGTAGCTATCCTATTTTGTTTTTATTTATTATTATTTTTTTCTCCAGGCTCCTTTTTCCCATTCCCAGGTCATGCATCACCCCTGGGATCGCCAATTTGACAGCGCTATAACACAAAGCCCTTGACAATAATTGCCCACGAGGCTCGATTCACACCTAACTTTAAGCCAATAACAGTAACTGACAGGATCCGCGCTGAACCAGCTTTGACCACGAGAGCCATTGGCGCCTATCGCAATCTGAGACTGAACATATATCCGTTCTATGGCCCGAAAAGACGCATATCTTCAGGAAATGCCGTCGGGTCACGCACCTCTCCCTCATATACGCAGGCTTTGATCTAGCCTATTTCGACGTGCTAGTGTCGTGATAGGCATTAGGGTCTTCTGGGTCTTGAACATTTCGGGCGAATCCAGCTATCCGTGGCTGAGTTAGGTTCGGTTTACTCAGAAGCTTAGCCTCGATTTGCGCTGCGGGTGTGTTGCATCGAGCCAGCTGCAATGGAACGAAAAGCTCTGTTAGTCATGGACCACCTCTCGCTTTTGCTTTCTTGCAAGAATCGGCGCGCCTATCTTGACTCCGTATTCAGCTCAAGACGAAGTACTTTCGTGTCGAGCATCCAATCCCATGGTTATACCTTCGGAAACGCGGATGGCAAGTGAAAAAAAAGTTTGGATTTGTACGCATGTAACGTATCTGGGTAGGTTGGATTCGTCGCCTTGTCGCCATGATTTCACATGTATCACGGACCTTAAGCCGTGGGCCCAAGTCGTAACCCGACTTGAGCTTTTGTTACCCCTGCTGACGTTCTTTCTCAGCTGCTAAACTGGCGCCGCACCTAGGCAGGCCTCCCATTAAGAAAGATCATGCTAACTCATTAGTCTATAGGCATTGGTCTATTGCTTTATTATCTCTTTACCGAGGACCTAACGTCCGGAGTTAGCGGCTTAGAACGCGTATGAGGCAGTGAATATATTCCCCGTCTACCGTCGGAGTCTTGAAAATGAATGTTCCTCGGCGACATAACCGCAACTCGCAGCATAGATCCGATCGATATTAAAGATCTACGCGATGATGGAATGTCCCATTGGAAACCTCACCCGCGCCCTGACAGATGCAGCCTACCCTCCCATTCGCTCTACCTAGCTCTCACCGCGCATTGCATTAGGGTCCGATCTCCTGCATCCTCGACGGCCGGGACGCGTGGAACAATATCTCCTACGGCGGGAGTGAGGTTAGACCCCGAAGAGCTGGTTGCATACCTCGGTACGCGCTAGATCTGTATCCTTGGGAAGCGCAGATAATCTTGGCGGGCACAACGTCATGTGTGAGCGCGAGGATCTACCATTATCGGACGAACGATGCCTATCACAGACTATTCCGATAAGTCATGTCCATTTATGGAACAGGGTGGTCCATAAGCGGCTGTACTTGGAGGCCTATCGGAAGTTGAGAAGCTGCTCCAGGACTTTCGAGACTACAGGTCGATCATTCTCGCATGTAACCATACAGCCTCTCCTGGGTCGCCCTACTGTACTCATGCCTCGTGGCAATATTACCTATGTACCTACCCACCGTACCCGTGGACACGTGCTCTGGGGCAAAGAATATTCAGCCTTGTAGGCAACTCCTCGGCGTTACCCCTGGAGCGCTACACATAGCCACCTTCGACTCTATAGCAGTATATCATACAGACGCGACTCGAGCTGAAGATTCTAGCCTTAGGATTCTCAGCCGATAGCAAATACCCTATTGTCAGGAATATCAAGATGTACGTACCTACCCTCTTGCTGGGTGGTACCAAACTTGGACTTGACTTATCATATTTACCTACCTCCTGGGTAGGCCCCTAACAAGAACGACTAGGATCAACATAGCACATAGCACTTTACCAAACACTTGCACTAATGGGAAATATCGTAGAGGATTCTAGACAGATGACCAATGTGGGTATATCTTTCGCACTATCCAGCAATAATACAACTCGGAGGCTATAATAAAATGGCCCTATAGCCCACCTGGATCTGACAAGAACCACCACCAACATGACATGTCGCCTACGTAGCCAGGGGAACAGCTACTTGGCGTTGCTCATGTACGGTCTTTTATTCAGTAACACGACTATTGCTGCAGGTGTGGTGCACGACGTCTATAGGAACAAGCTAGCTTATTTCAAATCAAGTTAGGAGACTTAACCTTCCAGACTCCAAGCTGTGGGAGTGTGGGCTGAAACATGCATGTCGGTATTGATACTCCAAGTGCCCTGACTATCTATAGGGAATGTAGGTAGGTACCTGCTTACCTGCGAGCCGCATTTCCAAACGAACATAGTGATAGACTGAAGCAACTCTCAGGTGAGACGTCTTTCACACCGGCTTCCCTAGTTAGTTATATCTTGCATAACGAGCTTGACGTCCCTAGAAAGCTTGTCTATTAATCCAAGTTCCTCTTCACTGTATCAAGTAGAATATCTAACACAGCCACGGCCCGAAATTTGGTAGAGACATACCTTTGCCTCGGACCGAATCCGGGGAAGTTCATTTATCTGTTCCTGGTTCTGTTTCAATATGACATTCTCCCGCTCTCCATAATTGTAAACAATACGAAATTCTCACCTCTGTAGACTTGTTTCACTTTGCTCTTCATGAGTCTCGACAACGAACATGTAGACAAGTGTGATGGATCCAGTGGTGAAGACAGCAATATGTTTGTTCGATATCACATTATTATCATGGCAAGAGTATGACTCCGTGCTCAAAGTACCTACTAGATAATGTCACATTATCACCATATGGAGCTATGCTAGACCGGGTTCATGCCGAATATGATATATCGACGCTGATCAGTGAGCGGGATGCGAAGGTTTGCAGAATATTCTCCATCCGAACGCCACAACTTACAACCTACATCCAAATATCCTGATATTTTGTGGTCTGATGCGATGGGAGGGTGGAACCAACTGTTTCTGACAGATATCACATTCCAAATTCAACGTCTACGTAGTAGAGGTGACGTCTTATCGTACAAGACACTTATACTTGGAGACAGGAAAGTCAACCACACCCATCGGCATTGATGATATCCTAACGCTCGGACAAATATCACCGTTGTCTTGCTCCCCCGCCCTCGCCGTCACGCGCCCCATGTCTCATACTTCCGTCCTCACCCGCCTGCTACCGTGTCTCGGCTGACAGCACGTTCTCGAGATTAACATCTCCGTCATGACATGATTTGGAATTTCAAACGCTGTAGTACGCAAACAATCTGAAAGCGCCAACCCAACCTTTGACCTTAAACGGTTGTCTAAGTCTGCTACATCTCTCGTATGGGTAGCATTGGGTTGGACGATACCGCACAGGTAGATAAATTGACACGAAGCATGAAGCGAAGGGATGGATATAAATATCATGGTATTAATATTAATATGTACATGAAAAACAAAACAACCAAGATCCATGAAATCCTGTCGCGTTACGAACATCGTACGCTAATATTAACCGTCATTCATCAACATCCATAACCATCACGGCTAATACCGAGGGGCCAATCTCCCAGAGCGAGCTCATTACCGCCACACATCCAGAAACGCCGACCAAAAGAACGAATCATGCCGATGAACTTTTCAACTTTTGGGCTACCTAGACCAGAGACATGTCCCAGTAAGGGATGATAGTGAGAGACTATTTAAAAAGTTTACTTATAGAAGAGCGAGGAACGCGGCGACGACCGGCGCGATGGCCAGGTTCTTCACGACGCTCAGCGCGCTTCCGGCGCCGGTGACCGGGACGCTCGTCGACGTCGGCGAGACCTTGGCGGGGCTGGTGCCGGTCGGGTAGGGGGAAGTACCGTTGGCCTGGACGACGGTGAAGTTGGCGCACGAGATACGGGTCTTGTTGCTGAAGTGGAACACCAAGCTGCGGTTTCCGAAGTACGCGCCGTCGCCGTCGACCAGCGAAGTGTACGGGTCGTGGAAGGTGGCGGTGAACGGCGCCGAGCCGTTGATCTTCCCGTACTTTCCGCTCAGGTCGCCCTGCTGGCACGACGCCGGTCGCGAGGAGTCGCAGGGGGGGTCTTCGCCTCGGATGGTTTGGTCAAGATGTCCGAGGGTGCTGGTGCAGTTGCCGTCGGATGGGACAGGGGCGACGTGGATGTGATATACTAGATTGTAGTTAGTTAAGGGAGCACATATGGAAGAGGTACGCTCAGGGGATAGACGTACTGAAAGGGCCGCCCTCGGTAGGCAAATTCGAGAAGGCGACTTCGTAGTCGATGCCGTTACCACCCGCTCCAGACTTGGCAGAAACATGACCCTTCACGTTGCCGTTCAGGCTTCCTTCCCAAAATGCATTTTCAGGCAGAGTAGCGATGGCGCCTTTCCCGATAGGGTTGCCGGTGGTAACAGGAGCATCACCAAGTTGCTAGGACCTCCAGTTAGTTACTCATATCTGCTACACTGTCTAGTATCAAGATGTTCGTAACTTACTCCTGTAACATTGTTGCTTTGGGCAAGGACACTGGAAGTGCCGATGGCAGAGAGTGTGATAATGCTTGACACGCGCATATTGCTGGCTTGTGGAAATGTAGTTGTAGGAGAGTTAAAGAAAAACCTTTGTTGATCGATTTGATGTGGAAATTTCGTGTATTATGTAGTTCAGCCTCTCGTATTATATCGCAGCCGGCAAAGGATGGCAGTGCAGCTTAGGATCTCGAATTAGAACTACCGGTGGAGATTATTCATGTACTTATTGTACAGGGCTTTTGCGCCTTCGTTGATTCTAGACCAATAAGAAAGTCAAATAACAAAGAGCCGGGGGACAACATTGAGACGGGAGGCTGTAGGTCTTTATATTCATTATCATTTTGCCTCCGATGATATTGCAGGGTGCCACTTTGTTACTTTGTACACCTCTATGCCATGCGTCCAACCAACAAGTACTTTGTCATAACTTCATCACCGCTATAATAAGGGTGTGATTTCACCCACCTTTGTGTATGTATGCAGAGAAGAGAAAGCCGATGATCCGGTCAGTGACTTCTGGTAGGCACTTGATGAGACCTTCGCCCACCGATGGGACCTTGCATCATTCCTCATCGAGAATTAAACAAAACTGGAAGCGTAGCACAGCAAATCAATATGGAATTAGCAGGGATTTCCAAACGAGAGATCACATACCAGCGAATCACAGAACGGGCCCCGAGCCATCCTTGAAATCGACAGGGCTCATCTTAAAGCCAAGAAAGCCAAGCAATATTATCCGGAGAGACGGGAACAAACGAAACAAGAAACATGAGAAACATATCTCTATCCCCAGCTGCCCTAGGTCTATGCGCTCTCGGCTCCCCAATCCGCCGCTGACCTACTGGTTTAAAATATTGCCACGATCTCTATGACAGCGATACCTTACAAATAGCAGTTTGCTATAACTTATTCTCAGGTACCTAATGATAAAGGAAGGATTATTGTCGCACTGTTCGTACTATGTATTTGACCTAACGGTGTTGCGCCAACAGGCTCTCCTATTCACCGATCATTTCTCACGTCAGCACTTTCGGGCTTTGTGAAATGGGACTGGTTCTGTACGGCTGACGGCTGGATGGCGTTTGTGCTTGCGTATTGTACAACGCGTAGTCCTCATTCTTGATGTTCTTCTTTGACATGTGTTACCCCCAAGTTTCTTTTCTAATAATAACCGTACACATATGTAAGTACAGTTGTAAGAGCAGAGTTGCTCCGCCACTGTTGAAGCGACCACAACCCTCAAACCACGCGAATACACCTGGCAGCCCTGCAAGCAACCATACGGCTTCTAGTAAATCATTACATAGGTGGGTAGGTACATATTTATATCGTAGATATTGCAGCAATGGGCCTCTCGCCTAGGCCTAGCGAGAGATCGACGGTAGGATTTCGTTCATAATTGGTTAGTCCGTTTGGTCTGCCACCACCAAAATGTATTCTTGGCAACTCCAGGATTTTCCCCGGCAAAGCGTAATCCATCGCATCCAGTGAAAGCAACAGAAGCTAGAAGGTTACAACGTCAACGACAGCGCTAATGTGGTAGCGGGGGGCTGAAGTAACTGAAGGCTGCAGGCTTCGAGCCGCTATCTGCAGGTACCTACGTAAGCGGTAGTACCAATTCGTTCACCATTCAACGGCTGAACTAGTAGCGGCTAGTAGCTATTCCGAAGTTGCAGGACATAGTACTTGTCTCATGACAGTTGTCTGTACTCCAACCAAAGTCCGAGCGCATCATGAAGCATGGAATACTACTAAGTAAGTTTTTGATGAAGAAGATTTAATCGCGCTTCCATTTCTTGAAGCAGGCTCACTTACACCACTTACACCACTTACACAGGAACGAGCAACTGACAAGGTGGGTGTTACACGGCCATCGCAATGATTGCGCAGCTGTACTGGTAATTTGCCGGTTAATGTGTCTCAAAGGAGACAGGCTGACTAGTGCGGAGATGGCTGGCTTTATGTACGTGACTTATTAATTCATACAGGATTTCCATCCCGTTCTGACTAATGTGAGATTTAATGCATCATTCCTGCGGAGTTAAAGTGACCCGCGTCACCATGATCGATCTCCGAGATATATTGATATGACCTCATAATTGTCGGTAGAGCTCGAAGGCGAATAGCGACCGGTCTCGGTTCCAACTGAATATGGGATTCGGACCAGATGCTGAGAGGGTTGGAAGGCGGATTAACCGACTACGTTTATTAAGAATAGTATGGTGTTAGACGCTTCGTCTCGCTAACAGGCACTGGTGACCACAGGATACCAACGGTAGCTGAGGCTGTGAAGGATCTTGGGCGCGTAGTAGTTAAGAGGAATTCAAACATCTCTAGATTGCTCGATTAACAACCGTATAGTCGACTGTCGTATTATCGCCTGTGCCTAAGTGGGATATAGTAACAAAGAGTTGAACTCAGAGCCAATGGTTGTAAGCTTAGGATCTGCAGCCCGAACATTGCGAAAATGCTTTGTGGTACATTTGAATCTGCGCGATTTGATGCTCAAGACGCGTCACCAACGTCCAGCTTTGAAAACCATACTATGATTATTACAGGCTCATATGTTGTTCTTGAGTTGGATTCCCAAGTTTCAAGTTCAAGCCTGTTGTTAGTTGTATTAGTCATGAATAATTAAACTTCCAACATTCAACGGTCTGTCCATCGCCTCGGGATTCAATCGGATTAAACACATAATCCGTTCCGACGCCTCGGCTTCAGCCTCAGCCCCTCAGCCTCAACCTGCCAAGCTTCCTCCAATGACATCCGACACTGAATCTCGCGACTTCCGCATTGACGCCGTCGACGACATCATTCTTCACCAGTTGTCTTGCATCCACCACCGAATAGACCTTTCTTCTACCTGGTTTCAGGCCAAGGTCGCCCACCAATTTAGCTTGCCTCCACGGTTATATCTACACAGCCCAGCTGAAGTCTATACCAACAAAACAACTGCCCATCATGAAGCCCGTCGTTAGTGCTATGCAAGCCTGGTCTTGGTAAACATTCCTCCACCTGCAATAGATCGGGATTGTTCCAATTTGCTAATCATATACCTCAAAAATACAGCGTAATCATCTCCGTCTTCGCAATCATCATCCTCTCTATCCTCGGCGGTCTTTACCGAAACAATCACCACGAGTTCGTAGGCGGTACCGAAGATCCCGTTGACGGCAGTGCGGTTGCTGGTACCGTATTCACCGCCGTTGTCGTATACGCGGTAAGTTTCTGATGGAGCATGTATATTTGGTAAAGCACGCGTGTCTTACGATATCTCGCTTAGGCCTTCTTGGTGTTCTGCGGCCTTCAAGGCTTGTTGCACCTACGCGAAAACCGACGGGGCGCCATCGCCCTATCATAAGCATCAACTTGGACCATGCATTGTACGGTATTAAGACGCGGGCGTTACGGATCATGATTCACCTCGAGTTCGTTTAGAGAAGATATTAGGCTGCGGTATTTGCGGCCGTTAAGGATTTTTACATAGGACAACAATCGTCCGCAGACTTTTGCTGGTGACAGCCGCCACATGCCATTGGGGCGAGGCTGCGCTTGTACGAGTAAGCACGGAGGCCGAGTTAGGGATGGTCAGCTTCAACCTAGCTTCGCGTTAGGTGCTTACCCGCTGAGCTACCGCGGCCTATGCTAGTAATGGGAGATGGATACATTTAATTGCCAATCAAAGTCAATCTGCTAAGCGTTGTCTTGCAGTTTTTGTTACACGTGTATTGTATTATAGAGCGAGATACGTTCCAATAGACTGACATAGGTCTAGTCACAGATCATAGGTTAATGGCAAAGAATCAATGGGTTTTATTTTAAGTCTTTGGGTTATCTCTCCTTGTTACAACCTGCTTTTTAGCCCTCTTACATTCTCCATTTTTACGAGGATCGTCTGTTTTCAACCTTCACCCAATAGTTGTAGAGCCATTTTATTGACCAATTCAAGAACAAGCATACTAAGCGAGCATTCGAAATATGCCGTGCCAAGTCATTCTCTGAAGTGTATGGATACGAGCTATATTTTCGGTAAACATCCTAGTGGTTGGCTTTATACTCAGGGGTTTCTCATCCACTATCACACAACAGGACTTTTAGAGGGGTGCCATTTACGGTCATAAGTGTTTATCACACCATATTTTTCTGAAACCAATGCTTAGCCTTTACGACATACCTAGTATAAATTAAGAATAAGCCAACAAAAGCCCAGCCGACAGATGCATGTGTATTTCGTAAGACCATGGTTGTTATGGTTGTTGTTGCGACATTACGAGACGTAGAAACTGGTTCTGTTATAAAGTGTCTAAGACATATGAGGCTCGCCTGTCGATGTAACCTACGTAAAGAGCTGGCTCTAAAACGACGTCAAGAGAATGCATACCGATCAAATTGTATGATATATCTGACGAGACCTAGAAATTAAAAAGGTTATTGCCCACCTACCTTACAGACTAAATGTGCCTGATCCGAACATGGATTATAGGAGAAGCCCTGCAGTACCCGAGACTCATAGCGGATAATGTCAATGTGACACCACGATTTCTTTCTTAGTATGTAACAAGGAAACACAGTAGATTATGTCGTGCCTCTTCTATTGCAATTGCGTGACTGTCAGGTACGTATGGATCTGGGTAGGGTCATAGCATGTAAGAATTTCGGAGCATGCAAGTCTGATTTATCAATTCGTATTCTCAGTATGACTTTAAAATGTTGTTTCAATGGAAGGGATATTCCATGTATCGATTAGGGGTCCACATTCAAGGCTGTGAATGGACGCTAAAGAACCTTAGGTCTGTATAGTTTATAGTTTGCGGCCCGTGCCGGATGATGTCATCCAAATTAGCTCTTCCATTCGTCTTCAATTGCAAGAGCTTTGGCGAGAGTATCTTGCTTCTAGATTAGCTAGCTAACTTTACAGCGGATGATATTAATGATGAACAGGCCATTCATGGTTTGAAATGCCCCGCCAAACCCAAAGGAAACGTGCTTACAAGGTAGCCCTATATTAAAAAGACGGGAAACATAAGCCTTGTAGTCCTGGAAGAATGGGATTATTCCTCATCTGAATATGCACAAGCAAAAGATAGGGAACTATCCAAATCAAAGTCTAAACCCGAATATGTTGCGTTCAAATAATTCGTGATTGCCTAGGTAGGTATATAGGTCCTACCGTTCCTTCTTTATTGGCTAGAATCTGCAACGCTAGGGAAACTGTACCCCTAGATGACCCCAGACCCGGCGTAACAAGAATAACTACAATTGAATATCCATCACTAAAAAGATACAAATGGTAATAATGGCTCCTATGATCTCCTGACGTTATAGTATGGTTATTTTCTTACAGAATTTGACATATCGGACATATGTGAAAATGTAAAGATGCATGTTCAAAAGTTTGCCTTCTATTGCCGTCATGATGAACAAAGTTACAAAAAAGCGGTTCTGAGCAACAATGTCGATGTAATTGACCACAAGTGATGTCATGACTCGTGCTGTTTCTCGGTCACGACTTCCAACCCTTATATCTATTATATCTTCCTGGGCATCAGGTAGTATTCAAATCAACTCTGCATCAACACTCTTCGCCGGAAATAGTGAAATTGTTTAACTCACTTGTACCGCAACATGACCGACTCACAGTTCCAAAAGGGTGAGTAAACTCATTGACGGCTTGGCCATATCAAATATTCAAGATACTGATATACAATCATATAAAGGGCACGAAGTCCCCGTGACTCATCAGGAATTTCCCGGCAAGGAGCACAAACTGCCTTTACAAGCCCAGTATGACACCCTGCCCACCGACGAGGGCGGGTATCAGAAGTACAAGGCCGCCGGCAAGCTGCAGGGCAAGAAAGCCCTCATCACGGGCGGCGACTCAGGAATCGGCCGGGCAACCGCCATCCTGTTCGCTTTGGAGGGCGCCGACTCCTTCATCGTCTACCTCCCGGACGAGGAGAAGGATGCGCAAGAGACGAAACGCATGGTCGAATCGCACGGGCAGCAATGTCACCTCCTGTCCACCGACCTGACTAGCAAGGATAACTGTAAAACGGTCGTTGATGAAGCGCTGAAAAAGCTAGGCGGCATCAACATCCTTTTTAACAACGCCGCATACCAACTGGTGAAGAGCAACATCCACGAATTGAGCGAGTAAGTTGATTCTCGCCTCGCTCCCCACCCTCTTCCCGCTCCATCTAGTACGATATATGTATGTATATGTACCTAACAAGCAACGCAAGGGACCAATGGCTACACACCTTCAACACCAACATCCACCCATTCTTCTACCTCTCCAAATACGCCCTCCCGCACATGGGTCGCGGATCCACCATCATCAACAACGCCAGCATCAACGCCTACATCGGGCGACCGGACCTGCTGGACTACACCTCGACGAAAGGCGCCATCGTCTCCTTCACGCGCGGGCTGAGCAACCAATTCGTGGACAAAGGCATCCGGGTCAACGCCGTGGCCCCCGGCCCCGTGTGGACGCCTCTGATCCCGTCGACCATGGACGACGAGGCGCAGAAGTCGTTCACGAGCCCCATGGGCCGGCCCGCGCAGCCGAGCGAGGTGGCCGCGTGCGTCGTATTCCTTGCGGCGGCGGACAGCTCGGCAATCAGCGGCCAGACGATCCATTGTAATGGAGGCGTTATTGTCAATGGTTAAGGAGGTGGTGTCGCTCGTGCGGAATGAGAGAGATTAGGGGGAGGGGAAATACCCCCCCAAAAACCTGGGTGTGACTGCGAGGTTATATGATAAAAAGGCTTCGTTAGGCTACCGTATTAATGAATTATGAGATCTATGATAACATCTCGGTTCCGTTAGCCCGTGATTGTTGAGTATTACCCCGGCCCAAACTACTTGGCCGGGATTAAAAGTCTTGACATCCAGTGCGCAGTGATTATAACCTTGCCTCATTTGAGATTCGTGGTAAAACTCAACATATACATGGTAGAGCTGGACGATGAAGAACCTGGGTTTTCTGGAACCGTGGCCGCCCCCTTTTAAGGCAATCAGCAGGCAATCCGAGGGGTAAGCGGGCTAGAAATATTTTAACTTTGATAGTATCTTGATTTTTTTTCTCCCTTGTGAAGTGGTGTATATGTACATTGATAGAGATTGGTCTCTGAGATGCCTTGACTGTGAAGTCAGTGTTATGAACGGGTCTTGTAGAGTAAGTACTCATTCGAATGGTCGAACCAACCCGCCATGCTCATCTCCTTTTCTAATCCAACACGCAGCGTGACCTGATACCTTCAGGTCAAAAATATGCTGTGGGTATTTTTCTGGTAGAAAGCGCGCAATCGCCCACCCGCTTCCGCATTGAACGTACATAACCCTAAAATATCTCCAAGCCGAAGCTGCCTCCGAATCCATGCAATATGCTTTTCGTACTGAACAGAAGAAATCCCTCAGTTAGGGCTACCTTTGGTGGTTGGTGTATGATCATGACTTAGCTTAGGTTACTCGAACGCGCGTCCAGGTACGTGATATGAAACCCACTTCAAAGGGTGTAAATCAGAAACATAATGGTCGTATTTTCATAAGATGAGATTACGATGATTTCTCTTTCTCTTCCTTAGGTTTACTAGCCTCACGATACTTCGCCATTTTCTCACCCAAATAACGAATGCTTCGGCTAAACCCGGCGGTGATAACACCTTTTATACTCTGTGAGGTGCTAGGCCAGCTGATAGTCTTCTTGATAACACCGCGGATGGTCTGTCGGAGAGCTTCAGGATCATCCTGAGCCACACGTTGCTCGAAACCTCCACCCTGTTGTCTTTTGAAAGAGCCGACATCTTCATCTTTGCTCTCTTCTATCATCTTGTCGAACTCAAGTTGTGGGATTTGAAACTTCTTTTGATATTCGAAGTACAATTTCGAACGGAAAGCTTTCGGCAGTCGGCGTACCATATTGCCTCGTTTGACGGGGTCCATATCTTGCTCTATCTTCAACACAGAATCTGTATTTGTAATCCAATCGGGCCTGCTAACAGCCGGATCATTATAGTCGACGTTGGGAAGAGCTTCGACGAGAGGAGCATAAAGTCGTCGGAAATTTAGCATATTGTGATTCACGATATTTGAAACCTTTTTCGGGTTTTCAGTTGGAAAAGCCATCCGGGGATCACCTAAGTAACTTATACCAGCAATCGTCGCATAGAGCTCTTGTTCGGTAAAAGTGGGGGGAAGCAATAGGAGTGCTGTACGTAGCGCAGAGAGGAGGTTGATCTGGTTCGCAAGACGGACCTTGGGGTCGTCTCGCAAGATCTTTACAGGCTTGTGCAAGCGACCAGCAAGATACAAAGTGTCCCATTCGCTCAAATCCCTACACAATGTGTCGATATTGACAACCCCATACTTGATCAATATTCCGTCAACAGTGACGTAAGGGTTGAAGTAGACGCCGGCGCCCCATTTATCTTGAACATGAGACACGGCAGCCGATCCTAACGACCCAAGCATAGAATAATGATCACGATGTTGCATGAGGTTGAGCGAATGCCAATGCTGCGTGTATGAGACTCCAAAGATGAAGTCAATCATCTTGGGTGAACCATCTTGGGCTTTTTGGACGGCCACTGGAGGCTTTGAGTGAACTGCCTTGATCTCAGCCTCGGTTGCCGCATCGCCTGTTGTCTGTGGGAAGACGCCGGAACCATATGCAAATGCGTATCGGATTGGCGCTCGGAACCTCCACAAGAGTTGCCGTAGCACCTCTTTAAACTCTCGATCGATGATCATGTGCTGATTCACGCCAAAATTCTGATATGGAAGATCTGTGAATTTTTCGATCTGGAAATTGGGCTTCTCCTCCCAATCTAGGTCCGAGTCGGTTGATGAGGTAGAGGCGACGGTAGAAACCTGAGGTTTCTGGAAGCTGGTTTCGTCTGGAGACTTAGCAGCTCTCGCGGCAGAGTCAGTCTCTGACTCTAATCTATGTGCGGTTTTAGCCCCTTCGGAGGCTGGAGCTTTAGATCCATCAGATGCAAATGTACGTATATGTTTTCTCGATGTGGGCGGTATTCGAGGGGATCTAGGGCGTGGTCGATATTGTAATCGAGCCGCGTGTGTTGAATAGAGTCTCGAGGCTCGTATTGGATGAGGCATTGGAGATCGTAGGGCTGAAACACGTGCTCGCACGGCCGGCAACGACCTAGAAGTAGAAGACATTGAGCACACAACCATGGCGTAGCCTTCCGAATGGAGTCACAGTAGAGGCGAGCGAATTGTGAAGTTGCGGTTACGGAGGATTAGGTAGATTCGAAATTGCGCGAATTGCTAGTTGTAGAAGAAACCGGGAGCAGCCAAAGCCGCAGTAGTATTACCGGGAAGGGAGATCCATGTGTATTGAAGCCTCATAAATTGAGGTGTTGCGTGTTATGGGCTATGGAATAGCTCAAGAAAGAAGAGGTTGTTCTGTGGTCGAAGCTACATAGAGTGAAGGTAGAGAGATACGTAGATTATGTTCTAAGGTTAATAAGCCTACCAACGTTACGCCGGAGCTTTAAGATTTCCGGTAATGGACTGATATCTACGAGATTGCCCCGGGAAAATGCATAAGGGCAGTCAGCCAAGCCAGGAACTGACGTGAATTTCTCCACTATAGAGACAGGGATTGGACATGGAAGGTACGGAACTCGGTAGTTCGGCCTTTATTTCGCATATAAGTACTCTAAAGCTAGCGTACCTGCCCAGATATCCTTCAAGCTTTTAAGTAAATATCAAACACAGTTGCTTAAAGATGAGACATCTATGAAGTTGTGAGGTCGTGGCTTTGTCTGTTTATATCTAACTACCCAGCTCTAGCTCAATAAAGAAGAGACATTGGACCAAGCCATGTACCAGTTTACGTAATATTAGGTATACAGGGATGTGAAAGGTACAACTTTATCTACACGTGATAGCTCACGCTAGGTGCATAGCTAATCGGATAAGTGACTAGCCCGCGCTTTACAGCATTGCCAGGGCAGCTGCAAACAACAAAAACAACTTTAGCGGCTTTGTTAAGATCACGACTTTCTAAGGTTTAGAGGAACCTGCCAATTTCATCTTTTACTTTAATGGAAGCAAACAATACCAAATATAGTAGTCTTCGGCAATTGTTATTAGCTCTATGTCGGGCCCATTCAGACAAAGCGCTGGTAGCGCTTCAATTCCATCTAGGTCAAGAGTAAGTAAATAAATAAATGTTTCGGTGAGACATTCGATCGGTCGTGCATGTTCTAAACTCAAGGAATAGGTGACCTCGTTTCGCGCCTCGTTACAGAAAGCAAACCAACCATCCTATAACTTCTTCACCGGCTCCGAAGAGGTACCGACAACATCCAACCATGCTAGGCCTTCTTCGCGACAAAGCCACGCCGGCGCCGAGTCCCAACGGGCGTCGTCGCATGAGAGCTCCAAGGAGAACCTTGCGCCACCCGATGCAGAGGAGTATGAGACTCAGCGGCGAAGAATAGAAGAACTCAAGGCCGAACTCGCCGCCGTCCGCTTTAAGGTTGAGAATTACGAGCAGGAGAAAGAAATGATCGCCCTGCAACACGATAACGAACTACGAGATGTGCGTCGGAAAGCCGAGGACGACTTCAAGCAGAAACAGGCGGCCGAAGGGGATAAGAACAAGGCCCAGCGACTTTGCGAAAGCGTACAAGCGGAACTGCGAGAGCTGAAAGAGAACTCTGCAGGCGAAAAGCTCGAGGTAGAGAAGAAGGTCCGGGACGCTGAAGATGAAGTGCGTCTATTGAGAGAGCAGTTGGAGGACTTATCGGCTGTAAAGGAAGAAGGGGAGAGGATGACCCAGAAACGAGTTAACGATATGGAGACACAATTAAAAAACCTTCGAGCGACTATCCAAGGACTGGAGCAAGACAACCAGGCCCGAGAATCTTCGATGCATACCATTCAGCAGCAGCTTGCGGATAAGGATAAGCTCATTGGTGATCTAGAGGCCGAAGTTCTACGGTTAAAGGCACAGACAGGCGATGCCGAGACCATCGCCATTATCCGCCGCGAACTCACCGAGCAAGTGCAACATATTAGGTCCCTTGAATCGAAGAACGCCAAGCAGCACGCCGAATTAACACATCTACGTCAGATACACAAGGCTGTCGAGGTTGTAGAAGAAGAGAAGCGATCGCTTCAACGAAGGCTCGAGGCTGCCGAAGCCTTAGAACCTGAACTTAACGAAGCTCGACTTCAAAGACAACGATTAGAAGACGAACGTCTGGCTTGGACCGCGTACCTGCAGAATGCTAGTGCGGATGGTGGAATTATGGAATTTGATTCTCCCCAGGATGTTGCACGTGCGTTAGTCGAGGAGAGATACAACTCGGCGTCCCTCGTTGAAAAGCTCGGCGAGATGCAACCCCAGATCGCGGAGCGGGATGAAATCATTAAAGCTCTAGAAAGCGAGAAGAAGATCTGGGCTGCTCAGATTGAAAAGTTGAAGACGGCTAGTGCTCCTGTATCGGCAACCAAGGCACAGGCTCGAATAGAGCGCCAGCGTGCCCTTGCTATCAAGGAAGTTGAATATCTGCGTGCTCAGCTCAAGGCCTTCGATGCGGAAGATGAAACCTTCAACTCCGAGAATTTCGACCAGAGCAAAGTTGACCGGGTTGCCGAGCTCGAACAGCTTGTCGACAAATACAAGGAGGAAGTACAGTCTCTGCATAAGGAACTCTCCACTATGGAATCGTCCGCCAACGTAGGAGAGCCTTCGCTGGGCTCTAAGCGTAGCCGATCTGACGAGTCAGAAAGCGAGCAACTCGGCGAATTAAATAGGAAACGTCGTATGCTAGCCGACGAGCTCTCGGAAGTAAAAACTCATTATCAAGTCCTACAGAAAGAGCATGAAGTTCTTCAATCACGCCTCGCCGCTGCCGAATCTACAAACAAAACGCGTATACTATCGCTACGCTCGAACCCTACCTCCGATTTCGAAGCGATCAAGATGTCCACACTCCAAGCTCTTAAACAAGAGAATAAGGAGCTGCTAGCACAGCTCCAAAAAGAAGCTCGACGCAACCCTAATCCGAACATCGCTTTGATTCCAGCATCGCAGCTAGCAGCAGCGCGTCGCGAGATCGAGGAGGCGCAGAGGGAAACGGCGTCTGCCCAAAAGACGACGAGGCGTCTGAAGGAGGTGTGGGCTGCCAAATCACAGGAGTTCAAGGAAGCCATATTTAGTACCCTGGGATGGACCGTGACGTTCATCCCCAACGGCAAGATGCGCGTCGAGAGCTTATATTACCCCAGCACTTCAGACGAGCAGGAGAATAGCATCGTCTTCGATGGCGAGCGCGGTACTATGAAGGTCGCCGGAGGCCCACAGAGCCAGTTCGCTAGGCGTATTCAAGATCAGATACAATTCTGGGTCCGCGACAAGGGCTGCATACCTGGGTTCCTGGCCGCGCTTACGCTGGAATTCTACGAGGAGCATACTAGGGTTAGTCGATGAGCTGGTTGCCCTAGTGTTTATGATAAGTTAAGGAGTCGAAGGGTATGGGTACCACACTACCTCGATGGTGGAAGAACGACTTTCTGTTTACGCGGCATGACATGGCATGGTCTAGCATGTAATGATACTTAGCTATAAGCTGGAACGTACGCCGGCGTTCGGGGTCATTTGGTTATATCCAAAACCGAGTTGCTCGGTCGAAGTGGTTATTTGCTTGCTTCCACGAAGTCCAGACGATTAACGTAATTTAAACATGAAAACATTTGCCTCTAGTAAGAAATCACAGCAGTAAAAAACGTATTCCAAGTACTATCCATAACTGTTTGTAAGAGCAAATAATGTTATATCTGCTACTACCTACATACCGGTAGGTATTTTCCGATGACAAAATGAATAATGGGTCGATTCCAAATATCAAAGTGGTCAAGTTACTGTATGAGAACAACGGCTTGACTACTATAACTGAACGGATCTACACCTATGTAATGCACAAATGGGACCCATCAATTTTCGGCAATCCGCTAATCTGATTTACAAAAGAGCATTTCATCGTCGTTCAGACAAGACAGACAAGAAAATTTCTCCCTATTGTTCCTCCCGTCGAAAAACCAACTATCCTTTTTTTCCGCTCATCTCATCTCTCCCTCGTTCACCCACTCTCTTATATATAGATAAGGATAAGGGTAATACGCTTCGGGGGCTATACTAAGCTGAAACTATCTCGCCTCGTACTTCCCGCTGACGAGCTTCCTCACGGCGGGCACGTCGACCCACTTCCCTTCCTCGGTGTTGGTGGTAGATTCATCGGCGAACGGATCGTCCTCGTTGAGCTCGACCTCTTTGCCCTTGGCCTCCTCGAAGCGGGACACCGAGATCGCATTTGTGCTCTCGGCGGCGTCGGATGGCGGGGTAACTTCCCAGCGTGCCTCGACGATGCCTGGCTTGGGCTCGACGCCCTGGTCGCCAACTATCCGGCACACGATCTTCTGCCAATCGGAGTCCGGGGATAGGGTGACGTCGCCAAGACGCCAATATACGAGGTGCTTGTCCTTCAGGTGTGTCCCAGATGGCTTGGTCTGGGCACCTGACGCCTTGCCCTCGTAGGAGGCGAAGAGCACTAGGTTATGAACTAGTACGCTTGAGCCTCCGTTTGCGAGCTTGAAAGTCGGGTTGAGCTTGTATTGAAGCAGCAAGCCCAATTTATCTCCCTGCGGTTTCCACACAGGGCTGAGTAGCACGGGCACGTGCTCTGCGGCAGCGGTCTCCTGGTCTACATGAAGCCTGTAAGAGAAGCCGATCGATGTCTTGTGAATATGTGAGAGGTCCAAATTAAATTGTTCCGAATGGTCAGGGGTATCGTTCGTAATGAAAATGCGGTTAGGGCCGATAACTTCAAGGGCGGGGAAGTTGTTGATGCGAATGGGTAAATGAGCTGTTACTAGTAAGTAATGGTATCTTCTCGATGCTACCGGTGAAACTTACAAGGCAAGTTAGAAGAATCTGAAGCGTTGTATGAAAAGGCGATCTCGCCATTAACCTTCACAGACTGAACCTGTCCGTTTTCAAAGTTTGCTGAAACTGTTTCCATGATAGAAGAGTTAAGGCCAGGCTCGTGCATGTCGGGATGCTTGACGTGAACAATGCTGCTCAGTGAATTACCAGATCGGATTGACTGTGTATCCGAAGTGCCTGCAATACTAGCTTCGGAGGCAAGAGTAGCAACTCCAGCGGGTTTAGATGATATGGTGTGTAAAGTAGGAGCAAAAGGACTTGGGGTTTCGGCTGTAGAGCCCTCGGAGACTGGCGCGGGAACGTAGATGGTGTTTCGCACATCTCTTCGACCTCTGACGGTGCCTATCCTACGAGCCGGTGCTCCCATAGCCGAGAGACTATTCGCAACGTTCGAAAGCGCAGCCTTCTTTTCTTCCGGGTCCTCCTCAGCCACCGGCTCTTTTTGAATGTTGAGTTTGAATAGCTGCTCGGCCTCTTGCGCAGCTGCTTCTCTCTGAGCCTGAGAGATTGGATCGTTCGCGGGGGCTGGTACATTAAACCCTTCAGAGTCTTTCTCTGGTTCCCTCTGGGATGGCGGAGGCCCTGGCGGAGGCGGGACGTCGGCGAGGTCCGTAGTCGCCGTGCCATTCACATGCGACGTGGCTGATGTTGCTGTTCCCGGCGGTGCTACATCTGCAGAACCGTCACGATCTATGCCATTCGTACCGTCATGAATAGACTTTTCTCTTGCTTCAGATGCTCGTGAGGCTCTCGAAGGCGTGTCAATCGTATCCGGATCTTCCACCAGCGATCCTAACCGGTTCGTCGAGTCGCCGAGGTTGCTCGACGACGCCCTAGGCGATATGCCATGAGCGCTCTTTATGTTTCTTCCGAAGGGTCCTTTTGCAGGCGACAGTGGTCCGAAGCCGCCATGTATGCTCTGCCGTCTTCGACCGAGCATAGTACCGATACGACTACGCAGTTTATTTTCTGATGGGCCTTCTTTAGAAACCGAATGGTCACTGCGATCATCTGCAGATGGATGGAGGCTTGGGGGCGCCAGTGATGAAGTCGGCCCAGTAAACCCAGAATTTTGCCGCGATGAAGTCGCTCGTTTCTCTATCTTTGGTTTGCCGGCGGTAGTCTTCGTCACGAAGTGCTGGATCTCGCTAGCGGTGTTATAGTCTAGTAAACTATTCAGCACCGTCTCGGCTTCAGCCTGGTGAGTTTGCGCCAGCTCCCCTTCGTAGGTACCGTATTGGGTAAGACAGTCACGCAGCTGGTTCATTCGGCTTTCGTCCAAGGCCTGCAGTGATTCGAAAATAAATGGCGCTTGTGATTCCCACTGCTGAGTTGCGGAGTCTAGCTTCCCAGCTGCTAGGTCGACCTTCTGAGCGCTAGCTTTCCCGCCCTTTTTGCTCAACTTCTCAGATCGTTCTTGTGCATCCTCCAGCTCCCTGGCCATATTTTGGAGGTTGCTTTGGATGGTCTGAATGTTGAGCACCTCTTTCTTCTGACCGAAGGTTCGTAAGGGCGCCTCTACGTCCTTTTCGATCTTCGTGGCGAAAATGTGATGCGACATGGCAACGGCGTCGGCGGACTGAAGAATCTTGTCCCATTGTGCCTGGAAAGTTCTTTGCGGCGTTACTGTTAATACAAGAGCATGGAAAATGGGACATTATGCACATATAATGAAATTGAATGACATACCCAAGTTCGGACTGTGCATTAGGGACCCGGAATTGGGTCAGCCTCTTTAATGCTTGAACATATTGTTCCTCTACTTTTCGACGCTCCTGTATTGCAGTTTAGCTACCTGTCGGGGGTTGGGCCGGGATTGCATATATTACCTGTAACCAATCGGCGATCTCGGTATTGACTTTAGATATGCGCTTGACTCGGTCGTTGAGAGAGTGGACGGCTTGGTTCGGATGGAGGTTGGCCTGTTGAGATCGATATCGTTAGTCGTCTCCACGAGCGCGCATATGATATTTGTGGGAGCGGGATGGCTGTTTTGATACGGGAAAAGAGGGAAACTTACCAGCATAGCTGGGTATTCAGCTCTCTGGAGATCTTCCATTGCGATTAAGGACGGGCGCGATCATACAGGCGACGATGAGAAAATACGGAAGAGGGGCGATAGGGAGACATATAAATACGGAGAATACGGGATGAAAGAGAGGAGCGAACGGAAAAGGAATTAAGAGGACATTGGGAGAATAATTGCTAAACCAAACACAATTGACGATAAAGGCGACGATGATGGTGTTGGTGATGATACAAAATCGTATTTGGTATTAAAATAGAATTAAGATAGTCGGGTTAGGTAAGGTGGGTAGCTTCAATGTTCGTTGGAGACGAAGCTGAGCGTACAAATTCTAGCTGTTGTAGGTTTCCATGGAAATTGTACAAGACATGGATCATATGCTGTCAGAGCTCCCTGTCCTGTTTTTTCTCCAGCCTCTTTTCTCCGGGGGAAGCGCTACCAACCTAGGCCTAGGTAGGCAAGTACTACCTAAATAGATTAACCGTTCCACAAATGTTGCATATACCGAAACATTTCGCCCATAAAGGGATGGATGCGTTCTTCATTAAGTAAAAGTCTCGTTAAGTCATTAAGCTAGGCCAACATTGAGGCCGTGAATACCTATTCTGTACCTGCCTGTCAAATAATCAAAGAGGATAGACTCTAGGTTTAACTTACTTATTAAGTTAACCTTATTTCTATTATTCCTATTGTTCTATACCTGCCATAATCAACATTATAATGAGAGTTGTTCTTGCGAAGCTCTCTTTGACATCCGATCCGAAATTCCAAAACTTGAGGGCTCATTAATAAGATGACGTCTAACTCTGGTGATTGGAGGTCCTCACTCACCTCCTCTGATCGATATGACAACATTCAAACGATGTAAATTACTCTAAACTTGGCCTTCCTATCATTACTAGCCACGCTAATCATGCCTGCATTATGATATAGAAAAGTCGCCCTTGAAAATACAGATGATTCGACCTCGTCACAGTCAAGCGCTTTTGCAATTGAAAACGAAGCTTACAAGAATTCTACATCGCGTGTAAGCACTTCGATGTTACGGTTCTCTGTAACCCACTTATCTAATCCTCTGAATCACCTGTGAATCTCAACGAGTATTTCTATTGTCACATTCTAATATCTACCATGCATTAAAGATACTAAAGTCTTCAGTAGGCCGAGTATGATGAAGCATGCCGAAATGCAACTCTCCAAGGGCCATCGTCATTGACCCAAACATCGCCAGTTTCTATAGGACAAGATGTTCCGGAATCACCCGGCATCAATATAGGATCTTATCCTAATTGTCACTATGTTGCTAGCGGGGTTACTGCTGAGGTGTATCGATCTAAGACAGTAGCTCTGAAGGTAATCGTTGAGACTCGTAACATGGAACCGCATAATCCTTTTAGGGAAGCCAAGATCTTGAAGTCATTGAATAAACCGTGCATTCCCCTTCTCGGCACTTTCAGAGATCAGGAGCAGCGATTTACTCTAACCTTTCCATTTATGCCATTGAGTCTCGAGAGCCTTATCGAACAGGGGCCTATATCGAAAAGTCGAACACAGAAACACTTTACGGATCTGTTTAAAGCTCTAGACTATATCCACCAGCAGGGTATAATACACAGAGATGTTAAGCCTTCTGCAGTGTTACTCGAGTCGCCTGATGGCCCTGCCTATCTTTCCGACTTTGGTACGGCTTGGCACCCGGAGTTGTCAGTATCCACGGAACCTCCCCATGGCAAAATTCTGGACATCGGCACGGGACCATATCGCGCACCCGAGACCTTGTTTGGTGATAAATCGTATGGCAGTCCGGTAGATATGTGGAGTGCTGGGACCATGCTTGCTGAATGCTGTCGAGATTCACCTCAACCACTTTTCGAGTCGCGAGCTGCTCACGAGGATGGCAACCAGCTTGGCTTGATCCTCAGCATTTTCAAGACCATCGGAAGCCCCACTCGGGAGTCATGGCCGGAGGCTGCCAACTTCAAGACACCCCCGTTCGATATGTATCAAGTATTCGAAGGCCAAACATGGGATGATATCTTACCGGATGTCAGTGAAGACTTTCGTAAGCTCATTGCTGCTCTAGTAGTTTATAACACTAGTATCAGAGCCACCGCTTCTCAGGTAGGTTTTCATTAGTGTTTATCTCGGTCACTCCTCAGGCGGTATGGTACTAACGTCACTTAGGCATTGCAATTCAAGTGTATGCAGAATTGAAATCATTGTGAGGATCAACGACAAATCAAGATCCCTTAACGTCTTGCCTTTTAATGGCCACGGTCGCATTCTACAACTTACGTCAACAAGGACGAGATGCAGAAATGCATGGACTTCAATCAATCGAGCCTATTTCGGACGAATCCAATTGGTATTCTCATCCTTCCGCCATACTCAGCCCAATGCTCTCTTCATCTCAAACCACATCCATACCATCCCCACATGTTACCCCTTAGCTAAAAATTACCCCAATACCCATTTCATCTCAACAGGACACATTTCCTGTCATTCTTGGTGTTCATCATATAAGATGGATTGGAGGCGTATGCATACCTGATTGATACCTGTACCGAGGTTTCAAATGGCCAACCTTCCTTTCCTTAGGTACCAAAAGCCCACAGCAACGACTGGGACTACCATGGATGTCATACCGACCAAACCCTTTGTGAATGCGTGCTGTATTTTCGGGCCTGCGACTTCGTGAAATTCCTCTGGTTTATTGAGCGACGGCCACTCGGTCTTGGGGATTGGTACCCCTAGGTATGGGCAAATCTCGTTCCACCCGAACCCGTCCTCGAGTTTGCACACCAATAACTGCTCCGGTGGAACAATTCGTTTCACTTCGGCAATGCTGTTTCTAGCATATTAGCAACAATTCCTACAAAAGGGGCTCTCAATCCAACGTACTAGTTTCTATAGTTCTCAGCAAGATACTTCTGTCCTGTTGGGGTTAAGCCATAACCATTCGAATAATACCCCAACACCGCATTCCCCATGTAACCCATGCCGTAAGTGAACTCGTCAAAGAACCTGAATACGGACATTGGGAAGGACTTCAATTGTACGGCCAACATCCCGATGGTATTAACAAACGACTTGGCCCATTTTTCGGGATTTCTCTCCGTCAGAAGGAACTTGGCATCTGGATATGCTTTTATTATTGAGTGAAGCATGAAAAATGGCATCTCATTTATGACCTAGTTTATCATCCATTATGTGAGCTTGGCTTAGGCGTGTAGGATATGGAAAGAAGCACCCACGTCGTAGTCGGCGAACCATTTATCGAATTCTGCACGAGTATCTATGGATTCTCATCAGTTATTACTATCTATCAACGTATAGCTAACTAATCGAGAATTTTCGGCTAGCATCAAGTGATATATGGAAAGTACTTACACGGTTCGCCGATGTGGAACATTTCGGCATTAAGTCCGTCGTTCATGATCTTTACCGCTGGCGCTCCGGCCTTGAGGACCTCGGCCATGTGGTAGGGCTTGAAGCCCAGCTCCTTCAGAGCTAGGTAGAGGCCATGAGTGCCGGTCCTAAATCTGGTAAGAAACGTCCGTGTGTAGATCTCGATAGTCTTATCTAGATCTGCTCACCTAGGTGCGCTGAGCACTATCAGCTTCTTAGGCTTCACGTGAGCCGGCGTTGGGACCGTGTCGATCTGGCGAGGCATAGCTGAAGGATCGTCTCTCGAATAAAGATAGGTTTCAGGGATTGCGTGCTATTGCGTGCTTGATAAGAGTTGGGTGGCTCATGACTGGCTATATAAGGAGCATCTACCCTCGTCTTCAACAGCTAACCCAGGTTAGTCGGTTCTCGGCCACCCTTACTCAAGTTTCATCTTAGAAGGAGTCCCGTGAGAGCAGCTGGCTTAAGTGGATGCTATGGATAATTCGCCGTCGAATCATTACCGAAGTCCGATCTTTGACAAATCCTGGACCATGATGCTACTCTGTCCTGGCTCTTTCTAAGGGTGGCTCTTGAGGGCCTGCACGCGCGCTGCACGTCGACTCGTTGGTAAACAGCGCAAACTATCCCTAGCTAGGGAGCAAGGGACTCGCCACGACCATAACAATAGGCAACATGGGCTTACTACCATCGGAAAGCTCTCAAGCGCGAATCCGCGAGGCTTGGCTCTGAAATCTTCAGGGATCCTTGAGGCGGAAATGACACCCTGCCAGTTGATGATCGACGGCCGATTGGTGTAGCTCCTCTCTCAGGAGCATCGTTGGCAGATCTGTCAGCACCGATACGGTTCTGTTATGTGCAATTGTGCTACCCATCTCGCCTAGGCTCGTGAAGTTCCGATATAGGAACAAGATTTGCGAGGGGAAAGAGCTGCTGGTTTCGGAAATTCGAGCTTCGAGGGCTACTGGAATGATCGAACTCTCCACTGTCCGAAGGTTGGGATGGAGACCACCTAGCCAGTTCAGGATGGTGAATGGTAGCTGAACGGAATGCTACTTTACATCAGACTTTGGCTTCGAATCACGTTCTAGCGTTATGTGGATACTAGTCGGTGTCGAGGCGGTCTTAGCAATCAATTTGAAATGGAGTGCCAGCATGAAAGACTCCCAAAGCCTGGGCCCTTTTCTAGTCGAAGGCATCGCCTACCCGGAAGCCGCCCGATAGCCGCTCAGCCGCTCAGCCGCCAACGAACTCCTTGAACCCGCTACCCGGCCGCCAACACCCCTGTTTCTGACAACAAATATTAAGTACGTAAAACACTTACATGCTGGTCTCGTGCTCCATTGCCGGACGAAATTCTGATATATCATAACAACTACCGACAGAAGGCGAGCGATCATACCAGCCCTAATTCATACAATACTACCAGCGTCGAAACACCATCTCGCACGGCGGCAATTGGAGGAAGGTTTCGTGTAGCGATTTAAGAAGATATTATGATGATACATTGGACATTTTGGGCCACGTACGAAACGCATACGATCACACTCCGGGAAGTTAACGTTTACGCCTAGGCGAGCACACTTTCCTAGATGTTAATGGACAAATATTATCTTTTACGATTTAAACTGTCGATGAAATTAGGTTTCGAAGCGCGTTGGGGCTGCAGAATTGCGGCCCGGGCCGTGGTTAACCATGTGGAGTGCTTTGTTTGCTTTCGCTGAAGTATGATATTTCCAGTATCTCTAGTTCCCCGGAGTCAAGATTCATCCCTTGACCTAAGATTTAACTAAGAAGGTCGATACTATTGTTCTATTCGCCTATATAGCATTGGGGTCGTCAAGAAAGCTCCACTTTGGCACCCGATAGCCAAGTTGATGGGAGCGAAACTGCACAAAAAGCAATTGCCCCAAGAGAGCCATTCATCTAATACAATATCAGAAAGATACAAATCTCTAAATTACATAACGACATTTCCTATTCTTCTACAGGTGATAATGACGCCCCCGAAAGACTATCGCTTCGCTTGTTTGATGCAAATCACAACCCGCGCCTTTCGAAACGCCGGGTTACCACGAAGTATGTCCGCCGTCCATCACAAGATTTGCTCCGGTCATGAAGCTGCTCGCATTGCTTAAGAGGAAAAGCGCTGCGCCCTTGAACTCGGTGGTCTCCGCCAGCCGGCCCATCATGTTCTCGCTCTCCCACTTCACCCTGAGACCCGGCACGTCCCTGAAGTTCTGGGCGACCATGGGCGTCATGATGTGTCCGGGGCTGATGCAGTTGACGCGGATGCCGCCAGTTCCGTCCGGCTTGATCGGGCTCCACTCCATGGCCAGGTTGCGCGAGAGTTGGATCAGCGCGGCCTTGGATGAGTTGTAGACCGACGACAGGAGGCCCTTGTTCGCTACGCAACCGCTCATCGAGGCGATCAAACATATGCTGCCGTGGCACTTATACTTGATCATCTGGCGAGCGGCGGCCGTCGCGGTCATCAACGCACCGGTGAAGTTGATAGACATGACTCTAGTAGCGTCGGCCGGTCCATAGTCCAGGGCCGGCATGATCTGCTGAACACCAGCCGCGGCGATTACGCCGTCGAGACGCCGATTAGCGTCTGCGATTTCCGCTATCGTCCTATCCAGATTGGTAGTGTCCAGAACGTCTTGCTGACGATAATGCATAGATCCTCCCCACTCAGGCATCACTCTCTTACTCGCTTCCGCCCAGTGCTTGTCGGGCTGATCTTCACGATCTAGACAATAGACTAGCTTATGTGTTAGTTTAGGGGAAGAAGAGTACTCATAAAACCACTTATTAGGGTTATCTAGAGTCACAGCAGTAGACTTACCTTTTCCACCGGCCTCGACGAGGCTTTCGGCGAGGGCAAGGCCGAGACCTCTTGCGGCACCCGTCACGACGAAGACCCTTCCCTTCAAGTCAAAATCGGCGAGCCGACTCTGGCCGACGTTCACGTCGGCGTGTGGCGCAAGATCATGGGCTGGATTTTCCCGAGGATCTGGATTAGTTGGTTTTGTGGAAGAGGTGGGCGAGTCGTGTAATGGCCTGCGATGTGTAAGCGCAGGGTTGATGAATGTAGCTAGCCGCAGAGGTTGACGTGTAAAGGGGCGTGATATGTGCAATGTGCTTGGACAATTGCGGCCGAAGGCAATCCGCGCCAATCTCGGAGTGAGGGACATTGTGGACTACTTGCTATATGATCATTCATGAACCGGCCTGTCGGTTTATTCCAGACGTATATGCTTTTGTTGTGCTAGATTTCAAGGCGGGAGGCTACGGTGCTTTTCTGACGGCAGCTTCACGCCGCAAGCAGTGTTAAGCCTCTGATGTAGGTGTTCCGTCATTTTAAGTGCTGCATTGACAATCCCGGTGGCTTGGTCTTTAAGAGCAACATTATGAAAAGACCAACGCATTTGTTGAAGAATAGACGAGACGAATCAGTTCACCTGCCCCTGCCTGCCCTTTCCCTTACCTCAAATCATAGCGAAAGTCAATTGTTGCGTATCTTATCATCGGGTTTTATTGACGTAATAAAATCGGGGACATGCATCGTTGGCTGTGCGACTGCCCTATAATGACGTATTGCTCCCGACCAAAAAAAGGGGACCGTCCATATTAAGATTTGGGCTATGTCGAGATTCGGTTAGACCTGTCCCGGTTGTTCGGGTAATTAAATGAATAGGGGTCACTCATTGTTCTCTCATATTTTGATAATGATTATTGAGTTGTCGTTGGGGGTTTAGGTGTTTTTATCGACATGTTTGAGATTGCATCGGACGAATTAAATTTCGAGGCTCTTCCACCTATATGAAATGACGCCCCTCCAGTTCTTCATCGCTGATGCGCATACTCATACCATCATTTTAGATTTAAGTTTATTCTTCGATGAGAAGGAGTTTCTAAGTGAAGCCGGTTCCAGTTGTCCGAAAGTCCCATGCTTTCCTTACAATTTCAATATTCCAATTCACTCATCTCGACTAAAAAGGTTCTTTAACACTACTGGATGCCTATGTAAGTATTATCTGTTCTCGTGGCCTAGAACGCCAGCTATCCGGGACGTTCAATTCGGCAAGCCCACAGCGGTGGTAAACATTGTCATCGTAGCGTGCAGCGACGATACCTAAGAAATGACCATTCGTCTCGCGCGCCAGAACGAGAAAGTAAGGCTCTTCCGATCCCATGTAGACATATTCCTCCGTATCTTCTGCAAAGTCAGACCAAGCGTCTATCAGTACCTCATGCCCGATCTCCTCCGCTGCGCTGTACACTTCTTTCCCCGTTAGAATGCAACATGAAACCACTAGCTTAGTGTATGAAGGATCTGAATCCCACTCAACCACTCCTTCTGGGTTGTTAAAATAAACGACACTATCTAGGTCAATAGGACCGGTGATGGACATCCACGACCAAGTCGGCAATCCAGGAATAGTCTTCCTTTCTTCTGGGGCCACCGACTTCCACAAGAGCCACATCGCTGGTGAGGATTTCCAGACACCGAAGTGGCACTCATCTCCGAACTTCTCAGAGAGAAAATCGACCACCCCACCAATGGCAAGAGGCCTGTCTTCCGCGAAACTAAGCTCGCGGAGAGTGTACTGTTCCACAATCTCTCGCCAGATATTGTCGAGATCGGCCCCTTTTATATCAACGAATAGTCCTCTCTCGATGGCTTGCTTGTTCGCTATGTTATCAATAAGCCGTCGTGGTTGCACAGACGACATCGGATAGTCGATGACACTCCAAGATCTCTTCATTACGTCTTTCGTTCGACATCGTATGAACGGCTCGAGGTCCCCGAATACGAGTAGTCGGGTAGGGAGCAAGGCCTCCTGAAACGTCCAGCCTCTCTTATTCAGAGGGAAAATATCCGTTTTATGTGCGTGCACCGGGGCAATAGTCACCTCGTTGAGGCTGTTGGGGTCACGACAATCTTCGGACCCGAGAGAGACATGGACAGTACAGGTGGCGTGTTTTGTGTTGAACGTCGACTTATTATCAAGGAAGCTTTCAGAGACGGAACTTGATGTGGCTGCGGCGATGGTGACGAAAGCATTTTGGTAAATGGCACACATCTGGCCTATTTCTCGTTTCTTGTCCTCCGGATCATCTTGGACAATACACAATGCGTCTATCCACAAGTATCTCAACCCTAAGAGATGCGTCACACGGACTGCGTCTTTGAGCGCTCGTGGGAGTAAATGACTTCCTAAAGCTGCGCCCTGAAGAGCGTTGAGATTGGCTTTCGTCAATTGGAATGGCTGCGGCCCTCCCCAGCAATAGCTCAAGGCTGCATAAAGTCCAATCTGGCCTTCTTTAGCGGTCGAGAGAAGCTGAACTTGTGGAAATAGCTCTCCAGTATCGCTAATACTCAAGACTCGTGATGGAAGGCGTGTTGGGCCACACGGTTGACATTGAGGATGTGATACGCGGCAACATTCGAGCAGAGCTTTTATATCACTTACCCAGCCCTCCGTCAACCCGTTCCACTCTACGGGACGAAAATTGGTAAATGCCGCGACAGGGCTGTCTAATCCCCTTTGCGTCAGTTGCTAGGGCAAAAAATATTTATACCAACTTGCGTTATAGTTCAGGACAACTACCTTTGGGAACAATCAGCCTCAGTGGCCGAGAAGCTTGCCATCTAAGGCGCCCATCGTCTGATTCTACGTTTATAATCATCCTATCTACACCCTTGGCTTGAAGAGAATCTTGATGTATCGTAAGACGTTCGAGATTGGCGACCGATCCGTCCATCCCAATAACATACCGATCTCGTATGGGACGAGTTATAACCACCCAAGACAGCAAGAGCTCACTTTGCTTCGCCTGGTTTGACTTGCCCTTTGCTGGGTGGATCAAGTCGCGGAGACGACGTATAGCGTGGACTTGGTTAGTCGTCCCAATAATGTCTTCGTTCCATAGGTAACTACAGAATCTGCATCCGGATCTGTTGGGAAATGTGTCTAGCCTTGAATGTCTGAATTTGTTCGTGGAAAGAAGTTGTTCGAAGCCATCTCTCGAGAAAAGAATCTTACATTGCTGACAGAGGCCATCGTCAGCGAGGGTGCCGCAGGTCTCTGTCGACATTTCTATAGATACGAAGAAAACAAGTCTCCGAGGGATTATCTCATGTCGAAATACCAGAGTTCCTTTTGTTCGACCGAATATCTAGATTGCCAGGTAGGTCGCTTGATGAGATCAAGAACGGGAACCAGCTTATCTCACCCCATCTAGTTCGTCAGTATGCAGGGTTGCCTTAGGCATTAATCTATGGATCCTTCTATATAAGGCACCTTGAAGTTACCTAGCTTAGAGCCCTTAGGTAGGTACATGGTACGTAATAATAACCTGGTTACCAGCTATTATAGCTATTGTATTCTCAACACCAAGCCCATGATCACAAGCTCTAAGGGATCCATGCCAAAGCCTCCTTAACTAATAAACAACTGAGAAACTACTAAGCTACCTACCTGCCTTGCGAATGAATCGCAGGAAAATATTTAATTTTATTGCTGTAGTTCTCTTTTTATTGTAAAACATACTACAACAATAGTTGAACGGCAAAATTTCTTTGTTCTCCACCCCTTTGACGCCTTATAGGTTTATTCAAAACAAAGACATTGTTTACCTACCTCATCCAACAAATACATGCTTAAACTACAAAACTTTTTGTTTCCATATATCTATCTTGAAAATAAACAGCGTAGTTACTAGTGTGATCATAGATTATTTTTGACTCCATATATAACAGGCGTGCGCCGTCTCGAGATTCATGGTTAAAGTAACCCAGTTATAACATCAATAAAGGTGATCAAAATGGCCGGCAGAAAATTTCCCAACAATTTCAATGCTCATCCAAATATTCCAGGAAAGCGTACCATTAGATACGACGAATATGAGACTTACAATCCAGAGCCTCGGTACAATCCAATGACCACTCAACCTGCCAACATACAGCACAATTCACCAGGTAATGCAGAGCTAACAGCAAAAACAGCTCCTCTGACAGAACGAAATCTGGCTATACAGAGAGCAGTGCAACGCGCAGCACACTGGCGAGAAACCCAACTGGCTCAGCAGCAGTCGGGGCAAGCTGGAACCCAACCCACCGAGCCAATGAGACATGCTGACTATGTCGCATACATGAACAATCAAGGTCGGTTTCCCACGGAGCCAGACTCGATTTCGTTCAATTTTGCTCCTAATAATCCTAATTCTCTTACGAGTTATACGAATACAACTAACTCCGGCACCGCCGAGTCCGAGGGTTCTGACACTGTCGTGGACCCTAATGTCTCTAGGTCCATTTCATCTGACGTATCTAACTCCGCCGGAGGCTCTTCTATCAGCTCCGAGACTTCCATTGACCCCTTGCTATACAATAGAGCTCTCTGGGACTTATTGAGGGCCGAAGAAGCTTATAAAGCGTCTAGAGCTCGTGCTATTGCTTCGGGCGTTGTGGTACAGGGCGGAATTCCTGGGCCTGATACCCACGGAACTTCTACCAGTGGGTATACGACTGGTTCAGAACGACCACAATTTAAGACTGTCGTCTGGGGTGAAAGGACTGATGTCCCACCTGATGATGAGAGCCTTATATCGCCACACACACAGAAGCGATATCTACCGAAGAGGTCCTAGGATATCTCGATGTGAATTTTAATTTTTACTGTTCTGAGGGATACAGGTAACCACCAATGCTGCCTCAATACTAACGACACTCACTGAAGTTACTATCGAGAACTAATATAAGTTGTTTTCTGATCGTTATTGTTTACCAGGTAGGTAGGTATATAATATTAATTTTCAATGGTTTTTTTTTTCTAAAAAAGTCTAAACATCCGTAGGCACGCAGTAAGTGAAATAGTCAGATGTTCACTAACATACCTAGGTAGGTATTTCATTCTTGGTAGATCCGCCAGTTGACATCTTCTACAAATGTTAGATCAAAATGCACAATATGCCGTGTCTAAGCCTGTGTAGGTAGTCGTAGATATTATTACTTCTCTTTACCAGTGTACTACTTATAACTCTATCCCCATACAGTTCGTCGAATAGGTTGCTTGGTACAGACCTATTCTTCCTCAAGCACCCCTGGGTGTTCTCTTATCGGAGCCAAGATAGTCAATCGGATTGCGACATAAGGGGCACGTATTCTGGTTACTGCTCTGGAACCACTTGTACAGACAAGTTCGGTGGAAGAGGTTCTTGCATGTCTGACAGCGCTTGTCCGGCGTCTTTTTGTCAGTGCTGATGATGCTATAACAAATAGCGCACTCGGTCTGTCCTTTCATCGCGCCCACAATATTGCGGCGGAAAGCCGTGAGACCGTCGATGATGCTCCCGCCCTAGAAATCTATGTTAGAGTCAAATTCGCTAGCATTTAAGCAACGAGAGTAGGAAACATACCGAGAACGTAATTATGCCTTGTGTTGTGATGATCCAGCTTTGCCATTTCCTCTCGTTGACTGCAACTCGGTTGATCCCGGATACTGTAACACCCTCAAGCGGGTATTCTTGTGGGACCCGTATCGAAATAGAAGCCTGCAGCTCGTCTATTTCGTAACCGGCAGTAATTTCCCGCGCGGCGCTGCTGACTTTGACTATCAACTCCTTCTCATCTTCCGCGGGTTCTTCCTGAGTTTTGCTCCAGTCGGATACGTCGTCTAGTGCCTCTTTTATGATTATTGGGGAGAAATATTTGGTCATCCAGCCTGCGACGGCAATCTTCGTCTGTTTCGAACGGCACTCAAGATACCATGCCTTGAAGAGACCAGGTACGTACTTGAGTACGAGGTAGTATAGATGGATGAGAAGCCACTGCATACTCCTCTCCTCTGTCTCGGCTTCAGCAAGCTTTAAGTCGTAATCCTTAATCTGCTCCACCGTAAAATTGGCCTTGTCTAAATTCAGGGGCCGGGCTAGCGAATGGCCTAAAACGTCGAAGGTGAATTCCATCAGGGGACCAACGTAATTAGCTGCTTTTAGATTATCCGCATAGTCGCTGCGTACCTTGAAGGAAGCGGCTTTGAATGAGTCGAAAACCAAAAGCCATGAGAGGAGATAGGATCTAATAGGAGTTGGGAAACGCGCAAGGACATCATCGGGATAAATATCGAGCGTCGGCGCATCAAGTAGCAGAGACAGGAGTTCATCCGGAAGTTGGGCATCCTTTTTCTCCAGTAGAACGTTTAACGAAAGCTCCTCTTGCGCAGCGGGGAGAGCTTTATGGAGAAGGGTAAATGCCGCTGTTTGAATGCCTCGCGAGTCACTCGCCACTAGCCCATATAACTCCGAGAGATCCTTTATATGACCGAGAGGAATCTTTTCCACCAACCGGCAGATTATAGAATCTATAATTTCCACGGGCTGCGTATCCTTCTCCCTAGGAAGTCTGAGCAATTCAACTAATGCAGCTGACCTCTTCTCTGCCGAGGACTGTAGAGCATCGATGAGATCATCATTGGGCTCTGCTTCTTCCAATGACTTTAGCGTGGTGAATAGACGGAGCGATGCATTGATCCCAGGCAAGAGACAATCAATGGACTCTGTTGTCGGGTTTGACCAGAGGTAGATACAGAAATCCAGTGTCTTTTCCCAGTATGGCCCATACACGTCCTTGATACATGGGAGGAGGCCTTGGAGGCAGTGGCAGGCCTCTGCTGCGAAGCGATAGTCAAGCTTTTCGGGAGTATCTAGCCACGAAGTAATTTGCCTAACCGCGAAAACTAAACGGTTATTCGCGACCGGTAGCTCTCCAGTGTCATATATTCGCATGCAAGAGTTAAGAAGCACGAGGGTGATGAGGCTTTTCTCCTGGTCGATAGTCGCTCCCGCAACATCGCTGACCAAGCGATTGCAAAAGTTACTGATAGTCTTTGACGCAGATATGGTTTCGCCGAGGCCGCTAAGAATCGCAACAGCGGGGAGCACTGTCGTGGGAGTACTTTTCAGGATGTCCAGGTTCGCCAACCATTGCTCTCCACTAGATGGGAAACCGTGGTTCTCTGTCAATGCCTGAAGGAGTTCGCCTAAGACACGTGCAGAATAAAGACCAAGGGGTGTTAAAGAATTTGCCTCACTGAGCAGTCTTTGAACGATTTCATGTGTCAGGCGTGACGAGTTCGTGCCAGAGCCATCTCTCCAACCACCAGCATCCTGAGCCATGTCAATCATGATTTTTCGCGCAGACGAGATTAGGTCTTCGGCATCTGTGAGAGAGGTTTCAGAAGAAAGCGCCGTCCATATTTTATCTTCGCTCATGACTGTTAGTTGGTCTGATACGAGTTCTGCGGTCAAATTCAAGCATATCATGGTCTCCGCCTTCTTGGGGAGGGGTAAAGCGTCTAGCTGAAACCCCCCGAAGACCAGCTTAGTCGTATACAATGCCATGCGTCCAGGAACTGAGCAGCCATCTCCATCTCTAGGTACAGGCGTATTTAGTGTAGTTGGAGACTGCGTGGGGAGAAAATACGCACCACCAAGTGCGCTGGTGAGGGCAAGGGATTGGTTGGGCGTTTCTTGTAGGAAAAGAGATAATTGTTCCCTCCATACGACGGTGTCTGGTACTAAACGGTCAAGCTGGTCATCCTGACCCAGAGCAATAGTAGAATACTGTAGAACTTGCTGGACAAGGGTATCGACGCTTGAAAACGATTAGCAACACTGTAAAACAGATTCGAGATATAACTTACGAGAGAGAGTTTGAGTCGGCAGTAGAAATGCTTCGCTGAACCAACTCAGGCAATCGAGAATTACTTGTTGAAGGATGATCCATCAATTCCCTTAGCCCTACCACATCGGAAGTAGCGTCAAATCGTTCAGAAATGCTCAACAAACTAGCCATCAAGCTCATATGAACCTCCTCATCTTTTAGCAATAGACCTGGCTTTTTATCTGCTATAAGACGTAAACCCTTGATCATACCAAGATTGGGTTGACCTGATGTATTCGTAGTGCGATTTGCTAGTTCTTTCGCGAGTCGCTGAGCAGCAGAATCTGTTAACGTATCGAATGTGAATACGGCTTCGAAGAGACCCCATCCCCCTTCCGCTGTGCCCACAGCGCACATTAGGCATCGTTTTATCAACTCGCCCTGCAGAGCTGGAACTTGTTGCGCAAGTGCAGCAGCATGTTGGGTCGAAATGAGGTTTGTGAGCGCCAACAAGGCCCCAGATCTCTCGATGTGCTCTAGAAGAGCCGTGATGTTCGTATTCCAAATTTCCTTATACTTCTGCTCCTGTTCGGGGATCTGACTAAGGAGGTTAATACTGGAAAACACATGAGCCGCGGAAGGCGATTGAAGTAGTTCGGCTTCATTCGTTGAAACTAGATTCGTCATATAGTTAAGTATTTCTCCTATACTATCTGAAGATTCCTTGAAAAGCTGCGGGGCCCGTCTGAAAGCCGATTCTAATGTTGACGCTGCCCCGAATGGTTTCCAGTTTCTCGTTTCAAGCAACTTCAAGGCATCCTGGAGAAGTTCCACGGAATATCTGGCTGGAATATTCGGGATTGGGCGATCAGTTCCGAGTGTCCTCTCATGAGCGTCAAAGACCAAACCAGTCAAAGTGAACCATCTCAAACCCTCTTCGGCCACCGACTTTTGAGACTTCTCATGGTCCTTTGACGCCTCTGGTAATGAATTGAGAAGTCGAGATCTGAAATTCTCTTTCCACTGATTCCATTCCAACCCCGTGGCGTCGATGACATCTTTAAATGGTGAGGTTGCCGTCGATGTATATGCTTTTATGAGGACTTGTTGTTGGCTTGCGGAGGCCCATGCGGATGTTTCAGGGGTAGGAAAGAGATAGTGAGCTGTGATGGGAAATATGTTTTCCCGCACAAGCTTGACCCGATCATCGCCAGATTTCATCATTTCAACAAAGCGTCTAGTAGTATTAAGGTACGTTGACCAGCCATCCACGGCATTTCCGCGAGGCTCATCCCTCCTAGTAAGACCCGACCTCATGCACCTCAAAAATTCTAAGGCGCCATCCAGGTCCTTGGGAAATATGTCGATGGGTATAACACCCAACAATTGATTGAGTAAAACCCAGAATCTTGGTGTGCTAATTTGTGAGCCTTTTTCCAAGAAGCTTTTCAGTCTTGATGTTAGTGATTTCTTTCCACGGTACTCAGACGTCCAGACTGTTGGGTGGCTTGTGGTCAACTCAGTTAGTGTCTGTATGTAATCTGCTGCAGAACCGGTCTGCGTGGACTTTAAACCCTCAGCAACAAAAACTTTGCTAAGCCGTGCAAGATCTGCTTCGATTCTGCCTGGGCGTTTCTCCAGACATGCAGACAATAGCTGACAGGATATGCGTCTGACAACGGCATCATTGGCAGTTATGCTAGACCATATCTTATCCTGCTCGAAGAATTGATCGTAACTATCCTGGAATTTCTCAAGATCTGGAAGGCCGAGTTTCTGTAGGAGGTTTAAGACCATTGCAAGGCTACTTCCTAGCACGCGGTAATACTTGGCTTCGGCGTCGTCGGTACTAGTAGAGCGTTCATCGCTAAGTGTTTCCACGGTCTCTTTGATCGCATTAGACGCATACTCTATAATCTGCGCCTGACATCGTCTCCAGAATTGGACGACCTTCTCTGGTGTCTGAAGAAAGGAGGAAAGGCCTTCGGTAGCCGCGCGAGACACAGCCTTATCTTTGTCGAATGTACCAGCAAGCCAGGAACCGACGATCTTAGGTACATGTTTCTCCATGCGCTTGCGAGCTGATTTCATCAGCTCGAATTGTAAGATGTGAGAAAGTTCGCGGACACGACGGGAATTGTCTATCGAGATGCGAGGATAAAGTTGAACCTATTATAATCATTACTAACTAAGCACAACGATATACTATTCCACTGCTTTACACCCACCCAAGCTTCTAGTATAGGCTCTTCTGTGCCTCCATCTCGTTCATACGGATGGTCTTGAACATAGGTCACCAGCTCCTCCAGAGCCTTGGCCTTAGTTGTGGCATCCTTCTTTTGTAGATTCTTAAGCGACACGACAACATTGGCATCAGATACCGAAGAGAGGTCGGGCGGTTCGGCCAAGTAGGAGAGATCTGTGCCTCTGGAGGAAGTTGAGAAAGCGCCGAAAGAGCTGGAACCAAAGCTCGTGAATGACTTGCTGCCGCTGGCACGCGACTTTGCCGGCTTACGACTCATGGTGAACGCGAATCGGTTTAGTTCCGAGGCTCCTAAGACCAGTTGGCCTCTCGCTCGCTCGTTCGCGGCGCCCGCGTCGCTTTCACCAACTCGCGTGCGAAACGTATCTTAGAATTCTTCAAGATAGCAATTCCTTGGTCCTGTATTAAAAATCACAGTTGAAGGGTCACCTAGATAATAGGCACGTAGGTCCCCAGAGAAGGAATACGCCGTAATTAATAGCTCCAATGTTCAATGTTGCTTGCGTTACAGTCGAATGGAATTTGTAAGTAGAATATTTTTACCCCACCGTGGGGTTCACTTTAAATGAGTGACGTCGCGCCATAGGTAGCTTTTCAGCCTATCTCCGACTCATAAGCCTCAAGTATCTAAGTACTTCGCCGAACTGAGTCATGGATACCTAGGTAGGTACATAATCCATGCACTCTTTCATCCGGATTAAGCCGATTCCCCACTTATGTATGTATTGTCGAACTTTTATGTGCGTATATATCTTCGTCGTCTGAGCTATACCAATAGCAAATAAGGCTACTTCGAGCCCTTGAATCCTCATGCGACTTGGGAATATATAGCTCATCAATCGATCTACATCCGGGGAGTTATGTAGAAATGACCACGTAAGATAGTGGGCGGGTATGTACCTGTAACATCACATGCATGAGAGGCATTCGGTACATTGGAATAATATAATACGTCTCTCTTCGGGTAACCGCATCTAACTAGAACCAATGATATGTGATAACCATACCCCGCGTACCCTTAAACGCAGTAGTGCTGTACAGTATGATACGCACAGTCCTTCATTAGTACTTGCATTCAATGTTTCCGCTAAAGAAGCTTCCCTCTAGCGCTTTCTCCGCACTCCCCTCCGGAACTTCCCTGTCTTTCTCCTCATCACCCTCGATTTAGCCCTCTCTAGTAAATCGTATTAGGTAGCACCTAACCACCTAACCACAGCTCTTTAGGCGCCTAACGGCTTGTAGGTACCTACCTGGTGTTAGACCTCCAAGGTTCCAAGGTTATAAATGGGAGTTACACTGTGCCAAATCCTGAGGTAATCCCGACCTGACCAGCGAAGACAGCCGTCCCAATCAGTTCCGAAGCTCCCCGCTTTGAGATCTAATACTACTTGCTACATAATATCTCCTCATATCCATCTCTCTTCTGTGCCCAAGCACATACTCATACCCAAGTGTTTCAGCTTAGATACTTATCTAGTTAAATAATAAATTCCACCATCTTCTTCAACGTTGCCTTACCCCTCAGCCAGCAGATGACTTCTCAGTTGTCTTCATGGTCGAACTCTCGGCTTTGTGTAAGTGTCACCCGTCCACGACGACAACCGTCTTAGTACATCAACCCCACAAACGGTGGCGACATCCTTCATGGTTTTACTATCATATCTATGAAGCAAGGCATCCCAAAACTACTCGCGATCGCTGCTGACAACGCTGTTCTACATAGTGTTAGATAATATAGGATGTCCCCGTTGCATACGATTCGATCGACATGTTGACCAGTGCCATTTGCCAACCCACGCCTCGGGCGAGGTCTCTCCAGACCGTCGCCACGGCCCGCAACGCCTTGCGGCCTACTAATACCTCTTTGTTAAAGGCTGGACATCGTCAGCAGATTCGTGGCTTTCGCTTTGGCATGTGGGCATCATATCTCGACCCTGAATTTCAAAAGGAAATGCGACACCGCCACCGAGCGATTAAGTACAAGTATATCGAAGCTATCAATAGGAGGTTATCATGGGACCAGCGTACTATCGATGGACACCCGAAGACTGTCCTCAAGCATATGCTTCGCAGGTATTGGGACCCGAATCAGGTGAGATGCGGCTCACGGTTTTTCAACCATGACGAGTTGAATAGCCGGCAGCAACATGCTCGAAATGCTCAAGACATCGAACATGAGCGTGGGGAAACCCCATGGCACAAAGATTCCTGGAAGGATAATCATACCAACCATCGTTCTCCGTTCCCAGATGCTTATGATGTGTTCAAGTCACGGATGGATGAAACCACAAAGCAATGGCGTACCTCAAAAGATGGAAGACCCCGGGAAGATTTCCATCCATCCTCGAAGGAGCCAACAGAGTCAACAAGTGCAGAGGCCAGCTCTAACCAAAAGGATGGATATGTTGACACTATGTCGCCCTCGCCCATGGAAGATTATATAATTGACCCTATCACAAACCGCAAAGTTCTAAGGAAAGGGAGCAGCCTAGTAGAAGATACACCATCCACCACAAACGAGCCTTTCAGGGTATACCGGTCCCAATTTGCTGCATTTAACCCCCCCGAAGACGAAGTAAACCCTGGGCCTATTCATTCCAATGGCCCTCCTCCGCCTAAAGAGCTGAAGGAGTACGGTCAGATTAAGGTTGATCAGGTACCACCTTACGGTGTTGATAGTGATGGTCACCGAATGTCAGGATTAGGTGATAACGCAGAAAGTTCTCGACCTTCTATCATAGAGAGTGAAGAATATGCTCTCAACCATCTCCCAGCTGAAGAACCAGCTGAACCAGAGCCACCCAAGAAATACGAGGATCTTGATAAGTATAAGACTTACGGAGCGAGAGAAGCAGAAAACGATTCGGAGGTACCCCAGAATCGAGAGGAACTACGCGAGTACAGGCCATATTTGCACAACGAAAGTACGGAGACTGAAACCCGAAAGGCGCCTTACGATGACTTAGATAAATACGGACCATACAAACATGATGAAGATGTGGTGAGGGACGACGACACTTCCCCTAAGTATGACGACCTCGACAACTATCAGCACTACAGTGACGAGGCTAAGCAATCGGCGGATGACTTAACATCTAAGTATGAAGACCTAAGCAAGTACAAAACAACAGACTTCCAGGATTCTTTGGTGGAGGAAAGACCTTTTCAGGAATATGGAGATCTTGAAAAATATAAAACTTTCAAGTACCAGGAATTCGACGACAAGAATACACTTGAACAAGATATTGTCGCGGAGAGCCTCAAGGAGTTTGAAGCAAAAGAGCAAGGGTCAAATTTGACTGAAACCCCAAGGCCTAGTGTCGCTGACAGGCTTAAGAAGCTAGATCTTAATGAGACGCCATCTCCGAAGAGTTCGGCTTCGGCTCCCTCGTCTTCATCCTTCCACCAATCTTCTCGCCACTTGCCCACAAAATCTGAAAACTGGGAATCTTTAGAGCGATCTATGGTCAGTCACAACCAAGCTTCCGATGCAGCAGATCGAGAGGCTAGCTCCAACGTCAGAGAATCGCGCGCGAAATCTCAGGATGATGACAATCATGCAAGCAAACGCACCTTCACCGGCAACTATGTTCGAGATTTTCCAGAAGACTTTTCAGGGTCATGGGGTACTCGAGCTTCGAATTTGAGCTCCGACCCCGTAATGGGATCCGAGTCAAGCATCACCAACGAAAAAGCAGCACACATCCAAGCAGCGGAGAAGCAATACGCGGAACAGCTTTCTAATCCAGCTCAATTTGAGGGGTCAGAACTTAGTTTGGGCGAAGAGCAGAAACAATCGAAGCTGGAGCCGGCTTTGGATAGGCAAGACACAGGAACTACGGAAAATAAATCGAACCATGACTCTGTAACACAGGCAGAGGTCGACCCTTACTCCAAAGAACCACAAGGCTTGGAAACGTCGTATACCAAAGAATGCGACGGTGAACATGACTCGCCAACCTTTAAGACATATGGCGGCGAGCCAGAGCCTTCTTCGGTGAAGGCGGATGCTAATCCAGGCGTCTTTCACCTTCACTCGTCATATTACCGGGATCCGGAACTGGACGGGCGATCTCCAGTCTCATCGCTAGCACCCGAATTCAAGTTGGAACCAAGTCGAACTACTGAGCCTACGGTGTACAAGATCCTGGCTTACGACTCGAGCACGCAGAAAATCAATATAGCCGAGACCACCTCGATCGTGCCTGACCAAGCAGCCCCCCTGACACCGGCCGAAGTGCTACTCCGCCTGTCAAACCCAACAAAGTTCTTTCCACACTTCGCGCCCCTCCAAGCCGAGGGCTTCGAGATCGTATCCGGCGAAGGAGACGTTCTAGTCTTCCGCCAGGTTCGCCACAGCAAGGCGGCGGACAGTCAGACAGGAGCACCAGTTAACCCGATCGACCTGATGGGCAAGTCGACAGCGCTGCCGAATGCAGCAGCATTCGTGTCGCCGACCGGATTTGTTAACTATGACGTCCCCAAGGTCGAGGAGGAATCCCAGACTACGCCATTCCGCTCCGGTATCGATGTAAGAAGGGAGGAGCCCGTGTTCAGCGGCCCGAAGGTGACGAAGGAGGAGGCGAAGAAGGGGAAGGGAAAAAAGAAGAGGAGCTTGGGAAAACGTGCGCTGCTTGGTGGCGCGTGGGTTGCGGGCATCTCGTACGGATTGGGCGTGGTGAGCGAGTATTTTAAGACTGGTGGGTTGGATGGAAGGGGTCCGAAGGGGTTTTGATGGTGTTCCATACCTGTCACGGAGGAAACGGAGATAGGGGAGCGTCGTGTTAGGTACGAGCTACTGGATTGGAAACGTTTCGGGTTTGGGAGTCCTAGGTGTTAGTATGGCATTGTCACGGTGCTTTTGCTTGTGCTGGCTATTTTCTGGTACTGTACGTAACCGGGTTTCGGATTATGGAGATGCTCCTTTCGGGCGTCGATATTACGATCATTGCTACTCTACTACGTTGTATAGTATGTTTAGATGTCAAGCGTATTACTAGCTAAACTACTCCTCCTCCGTTATGCCTTGTCGGTCTGCTTTCGCATATGAGATTAGTGACTTCTGGAGAAAACTGACTGAGGAACGAATTATGTAACTGTAGGTAAGTTGTACTTCTTAGTCTTCTCTCTAGGTTAGGAGTCCCAAGTACTAGTTGTGCCTTGGCTAGAGAATTAAGAAAAGGTGAATATGGCTTGATAACCGGATTATTTCACTTGGCCCAATACGTTGCCCAAGGAAAACCACCTGGCCATTGAAAGATAATCAGACGACCTTAGTAGGCGAATTTGTGTTTCTATTACATATCGTGAACCTGACTGGTGAAGATAAGCGATATACAATATATTTCGGCCGAACAGTTTTTATGAATCATATAACCACGTATAGGTAATTGTATATGGATATTATCGGGCCCTGGATACCTAGGCCTTGTTATTATCGTACAATCGTTCAATGACGAAGGCTGGTGTGTTTTCCTTGCTTGCCCCCCCTTTTCCCATTCCTTGCCGAGTTCTCCGCAGGTATGCATATACGCAGTCTTAGAACCCGCTTCATTTGCTAGCTCGTGCCAGCTGACCATAGGATCAATTTGCCTCCTTTTTCTAGCGAAAGAAAACTCCAAGAACTCCGCCAGCCCGAACAGCATGCGTTTTCCCTCCCATACTGCCAAGGTAATGCATGCATCTGTGTATCCATACAATCCCACCGTCCCGAAGACAATGAAATCCCATCTTGTTGCCTGTTGAAGCAATGCCTTGTGTTCAAATTATCGACATTAAAAATACTAGCAAACTCGCAGATCAAGTTGTAATCCCTAAGCTAGGGCTTTGTGGTGAAGTAGGTTTGCGGCAGCTCGGCAGACGATTTACTTGCGCTCGGTGAATCCGGGGCAGTCTTTGATATCCTGCACGCCGCTCATCTGCAGCGCATGTTTCTGGTCTTCTTGGTGGTACTGGAGATTGTATTTAGAGTTAGTCATTCTCGAATCCTGAGAGTAAGTAATAATTGAAAGGAGCAATATCAAAGCAGTGTAAAAAAGGGGTATGCAACTTACACTTTGTCTGCGACCAAGAAGAGATGGTTTCCAGCTGTTAGTCCGGTTCATGGCTCTGGCGGCATCTTTGTCGTGTTGAGGGCTTGTGGGTCCCGTCGGGGCCATGGAGGGCAAGTTGGGAATATTGATTTGTGGCGACATCGTGAAGGGTATGTACTAAGTAATGTAGTACTTGTGTATGGAACGATAGATGTAACTGTTTTAAATATAATAAGTCAGATGAATGAAACAAGAAGGTGTAGAACTGGTGAAGCCTTAGGGTCTTTATAGACACGACAATTAACCTGGAATGTTCGCTCTAAATAACGGACAGTCTAGATCGCGATGAAGCATACGACATGCATCGTCGATCACCAGTTTTTGCCTCAACGAAGCTGCGACGCATCGACGCAAGATGGGTCCATAGACGGTAAAAGTGGAACCTTATTGACGGCAACCCTAAAGCTGGAATGCGGGGTAGCTCCAACAGATAAAGGCTTGTCAGTGCCTCAAGGTCCCGCTTAAACTTAGTCATCATTCACATCATCAGCACTTCATGGTTACAACTTCAACCATGCACATGCTTTCATACGCAATACGCCATACACCATACGACACCACCATCACTCCCACTAAAAATAGCTTTGGCCGATCGGCCCATCAAACGTGAATGAGGCGTGAACTTTTCCATTATTCTTTATGTAGCAACTGTGACTTGTACAATCTCGGTCTTCCCCATCCTTCTCCCTCCCCGTATATTTTACCGTTCAACAGTCAGTGTGCTGAAAGGTATCCATCCATCACTTTCTCTCTCCTTGGTTTTCCTCACCACACCACCTCGAGACGATGCAACAGGATATCATCGGATCATCCTCAACTCCGACCGAAAATATCATAATGAAAAGAACCGACCAACGCCTCCGGCTATGCAAGGATTGGTGATGATACTAGCACCATCACCAATGCCACAAGCGACGAAATAAATGAGAAAGTAGCATCGTCTACGAGGAAGGGAAACCTCACCATATCGAATCTCGAGAGTGAATAGATTTATGGGAGCGGATACGAATTATGGGCAGCCGGCTGCTCCGAGATCTAAGGAGTCTTAGGTCGCTTCCAGTAATATTGCTAACCACAAGTTAATATCTCAAGTCCGTCAAAGAATTATGGGGAAGCCATTACCTTGTGTTGCTTTCTACATGCCCTCAGGCTCGGCTTTCGCAAGCCATCCGTCACGGCAACCCGGCGTGACTCATCATCATCGTGCTCGGGCATATAGTAGTATTCGCTCTCCAGGGGCTTACCAGCCGCATCCTTCCCCTGACGAGTGATGATACCGATGCAAGAGGTTTCCGCGATGATCTTACTCAAAGCGGGCTTGGTTAGGTCCTTTTTCTCTTCGGCCGGCAGGTTGTTCATGATGGCGGACAGGGGGTTCGATGACAGTCTGGAAAATGCCAATTGGTTGACAATATGGTTTCGGACAGCAGCTACGTCGACATTGCTATTAATGATCTCCTCAGGCTCTGCCGATGGTTTGGCAGTCGTGTCGCCTGACGATCCATGATGAGACTGCTTAGGCGATCGCTTAGGAGATTCAGCAGTGAAGGCAGCTAGGCGATTGGAAAGGTTGGCTCCAAAGGGACCGAAAGAATGTACGATGGGATCATTCTCCTCATCAAGGTCGTCATCGCCGGGATCGCTTAGATCACTGGAAAAGCTGTTCGTGATCTCGGTCTGGGCAAAGGATACATCTACATCAGCAGCAGGTGCGGGAAGCTCCTGCTCGTCTCCACTCGCATCCTCATAAATTTGGACGGGCTCACTTGGGTCGTCGTCTAGAAGCAAGTTGACGTTGCTTGACGAATTGCGTACTGCTGGGCTTGGCGACTCCGGCGAACGGATACGCGCTTCTCGTCGGAGGGGGCTTGACTGTAAAAAGTCCGACACAGAGCCGTTACGACGAGGTCTAGAACGTGGTGATTCATCCCACGATGAGTCTGATAGGTTTGCAACAGAGTCGTGACGCTCCCTCTTAGGCCAACGGATCATGACTCTTGCGTCCTGCACATCCACCATAATCTCGGTCTCAGTTTCCGATGTGAATGTATCTCCCTTTGACAATTCCCACGTTCGTCCCTGGCAATGCAGTTTTATTCCATTCCAACCATTGCAGATAATCTCGACCTTGTTCGGTACGAAGGGGTCCGGGGCGGGAATATATCGTGCCTTCACATGGACTCGAGAGATAAGATGGTTGGTGGAAAGGACATGGTGAGATGAGCTGCTTGATCGGCCCATCAGTAGCATCTCACCATTCTCATTGAGCTCGACGGAGGGTACTGCGGATAAGGGTGCTCGTTCCGATACGGTTGATTGAGTACGTTGAAGTCCAGGCCTAGATGATTGAACGCGTGGAGGAGACGATGACAAGATGCCGGTACTCGAAGTTGGGATAGGGGTAGGATACTTCAGGAAGGCACTCGAAGCGGCGGATCCATCTCGAGCTTGCCTCTTCAATGGTCTTGGAAAGCCAGGTGATGATGAAAGAGGTTCAAATGGCGGAAGCAAAGATGGTGCAGGTCGCTTCTTGCCAGCTGTGTTAGAGATGGAAGAGGCAGATGCAGGGGGCAACGTGGGCTCCTCTGCGTTAGCCCCGTCCATCTTCTTGATGGGTGAGGATTTCATGAATGGTCAAGAGGCATATCAAAGGAAAAGTAAAATACACAGTAACATGAAGTGTTGGAGAGAGTGACGTGATGTTTAAAATGGTTAAAAAGAGGGATTGAGGAGAAAAGGTTGAGAGAATTGAGAAGATTGGCTGTATCACAGTCCGCCCTGTCAAAAAAGGTGTGGGCTCTCTGCGCGTCTTAGTCGAGACTTGGGTTCGCGGTGCGCGTTCAGTACACGCTCTTTTTTTAGCTGGCTTTTCCCTCCTCTCCACTTATACAGTTGAACTCCGTGTCCGAACTAATGTACCTATGCAGGCTGGTACGTGCCCCCTTTTCGGCGTTTTCGAATTGGATAGAGTGAACAAATTTTGTGAAAAGTAAATAAAGTGGAAGAATAATGTTTGCGATTTTTGTGTCTTTTTTTTCAATTCAAGGTCTGAGAATTGGTCGGGTTTGGGTCTGGTAAAAGAAGACCTAATGGAAAAGAGTGTGAGGAGGGTTCGCGGCGTGGGTCCTAGCGTTTCTCAATTGTTCTTTAAGAATTTCAGTATGCGGGCTCCACTCTTCTCACTTTGATTGTCTGGGCAAGAGCGACCGACGCGGTTTCTCCTCATCCCATATTACATATTACCTAACCACCTCCAGTCGCGGTTGCTTCATCCAGTGAGTTTGACCTAGGCAATTACTGCGGCGCGTTTTTAACCGTCAATCGGCCTTACTAAACCAACCAACCTCCGCAAATACTGCCTCTTTGAAGTCTCTTTACTACAGTATCTACTACTAGTTTGGATTCAAAGTTTTAGCGACCCACTAGCTAAGGGTCATATGCAGCCCTTTCTATGTAGGTACCTTCCCAAGGTATGAGATATGTTACCTATAGATATTCTCAAATTATACTTTATACAATGAAGACGGTATGATAGGACACAATGTGTATGTGTATATGTAATGCATGCGTGCTTATGCATGTAGGACATATATATATTTACTCACATACCTACCTACCTTGGGTCTATCTCAAACTTCTAAATGATGTCTTGGACATTTGCTTTCCGACTTCAATAATCACCATCGAATGATGCAACGTTTTCATTATCTGGGAAGTCATAATTATTATATTCACTAAACGGTCCTTTGGGCTTATAGTACCTAGGCAAGTATCTCATTCTACAGTCAATTGTATGCAAGACGTTGAGACAGCAGATCGTTATATGATCACCTAGTTTGGTAGTATGGTATCGTTGACAAACATTTGAAATCCAACAAACCCACAATACATTTGTTACACATTATGAGAACCTTGGAAGCTCCTCGCCGACATGCAGAGCGAAAATTTTGCTCTGCTTGCTAACTTCAATAGCGGTCAATATCATACGTCCATACGTCCCGTCGTGCATCATACCAGCCTCTTTGGCCTCTAACCAATGCATCTCCACCGCTTAGCCCGTACGCTGCTGCGCTTAATATCTCCTCAACCTCCCCAACACATGAAATTATGTAATTCGGCCGACCTTCCGAAGGCCTTATTTCTACTGCGGCAAAAGAAAAGGAAGGAAAATGTATGAGGCGACTTGGATGAGAAAATGCGCCGGGTATCTTCGTATGCGTATGCGAAATATTCAATGTTGGATGGATATGGATGTGAGCCGTTGGAGAAGTATAATGAGTTAACTATTAGGATGCAACGAGAGACAAAGCCATTGCTTCATCACCACGCCGCTCTGCTAATTCGTCGAACTTCCGCTTGGTCTTGCTTTAGCATATCTGTGTATTCTGCTCTCTTTCGAATGAGAAAAGCAAGCGACAGCATGTAATCCGTCTCGTACTTCCCGGACGAGATGTGCATGAGGGGCTTTATAAGAACGCCAGCTAATCGTTCGGCCGTCATGTCATTCTTTTCTTCTGCCTGCGCCACATCGGCCCACAGATTGAGCAGCAACTTGAAAAGGGTGCGGCTCGGCCCTCGAAGACAGCCGAGAGCTTCTTCCCAGAAGTCGATACATTGGTCAAGCCGCGTTGCATGAGAGCCTGAGAGTGTCGCCTGTCTCGAAAAGGCAATCCATCGCTTTGCGGCCGCTTCTGGGATTAGCGGCTTAGGGAGCTGCGAAAGGAAGAGTAGGATGAGGTCCGCAGCATCGTATACGCCGAAGTTGTTCCAATTGACATCTTCACCGTACGTTGGACCACTGCTGAAAATCTCCTTCAGCTTTTGTACTCGATAACTATCACCCGGCTCGGCGAAGATATCCGGTGCCTCGACCCCTTCGTGTTTCAAAAAGAAGCAACACTTCTGCATGCATAGGGGAAAGTCCCTTCGCGAAGAACCCCCGTTCCCCGAGTGGTGGGTTTTAGAGGTTCCCTTAGCAGTCTGCATACTCTTCTGAAGTGATACACCGAAGACCGCATTGGCACTTGGGCCTTCTGGTTCATCCATCATCAACTCCGTGTTCCACATGGGTAGTTTCTTGAAAGATACCGATAACCTGTGACTACCCCTTCTCACAAGGCTGGCCTGGATAATTGGGGGCTGCATATCGGATGCGGTACTTGAGCTTGTTGACCGTGTGTGAGGCCTGCCCTCCGAAATCGCATTTTTAAAGGGTGCGAATATCTTTCCAAATCCTCTACTGCTTTTTGTCATCACGGAAGGCTCCGGTTCTGATGGTCGTCCTTCCGAACTTATTTCAGTAACGACGCCATATGGATTGGTTGGAGAGTCTGGCATGGCCTCGAACGGAGACACCGCATGTTTTCTGGCAAGCTCAAGTCTCTTGATATCCTTCGGCGGTGGAGTCGGTGCTCGGCTGGGAACGCCTACGAAACTGGCCATTAACTCTTCAATAGTCGGGATTTTTTCATCTTCAGTGTTATCCAGCACATTGTTAAGCGCCCTAAACGCGGGCTCCACGGTTATATCAATCGCACTGTCAGGTTGATCACCCACATAAGCTCCGAACAGCTCACTCTCTCCCACAAAAGCACCCTGGCTCGTGCTTCGGTCCATGTTCCGGTCGTTGTTTTTGACAATCTGTTCGGCCTCATGCTCGCTCTCCTTGCAGCTGACGATTCCCTCGGCAAACGACATCAGACGAGTCATATAATCGTACAGGCTGAATTCGCCTTCTCTCTTCTCAAACTCGCTCGGCAGCCGCATCCGTAGTTGACTCATCTCAACTAAAATTCGCGAAACGTCCTCCAAGACCTCAGCACTATTCTGATATCTTTGTATCGTATTTCGCTTATTAGGCTCTACATCTGAGGTGGCATCTCGGATTGTAGTCCTGTTCACGTTTGTTAGCCACCAATTCGTTAGCTGGCTACATCATACGTACGCTCCGACCAAATCTATCGCAAGACCTAAAACAGCCTTATGCGCCTCCAGGGAAGTTCTGAATGTTGCGATTTCTTTCCTCCCCGTGTCTAGCCATTGCAATCTCTTGTCTGGCTTTGGTAATTCGCTGTCGCTAAAAGCGGATATCCTTGAATCTAAGTCGTTCACTACGTTCGAACAATGCTCGACGACAGCGGGAATACGCTCTGCCAGCTCTGGAGGGAACAGACCAGCATCTTCCTTCAAGAGATCTAGAACACTTTGCAGCGAGTGCAACTCGCGCGAGACGTTATCTACGTCAGATCTGGCCTCCCGGACCTCGCGGACGAATCCATTAAGAGCGATATCAGCTTTAGCAATTGTATTGCCGAGAGTGATACAGTCTGTTGTGATAGACCTTTCGATCATCCAAGTCAGTGTTTCGGAAGCTCGAAAAAGACGCTCTGGGGAATTTTGATGGGAAAGCACCCACTGTGAATCCATAGTGGTGTTGACCCGCGGTCACCCACTATTCCAGGTTTCTAATGTCCAAATGCGCAAGGCATCGACCACATATATTACTCGCGATAAACAGGTAGGAGTCGGTCGCGGCTGTACCAAGGTAGGGTGGGGGGTGAAGGATGGCTTTTCTCACACACTCGTCGCGGGAGTCTGGTGCCCACAAGCGGGTATAAACTTACAATAATGCGGGAGCCTGTCGTCACCGACACAACCAGGCACACCTAAGCCGACCAGGGGTGCTCACCTACTTTACGGATGAGCTTTAAGATTGTAACGGGGATTCCGAGATGGGTTGCGGCCGAATATACAACGAGATCAAATTAAGAAGTTCTCAAGGAATCGCCAGCATGTACCATCTTCCCTCACGAGGTATAGAAGATGGGGTTGGTCATCTGATGAATACTGGCGCTCTCTTCTACTTGTGTAGAATTATACACGTGTATACTTGCGATGATCAATTTTTCTTTTCTTTTTCTGCTTTGTCAACTCTCTCATATCCCGTACTATGTATGAATTCGTTTCCGAAACTAACATGGACACCCCAGTACTGCCAATCTCCCTTCTTGTAACGTGCCCTTGTTGCGCGGCCAACTTCCCCGCTCACACGTGCAGATTCCATCACGGCCAGTACTACGAATACTAGGTACATGATCGTAGGAAAAGGCGGAAGAGGCACGGGCCCATCTATTAACGGGCTTGAAGCTTGTACAAGCTCTTTTACTCCCGACTTCAAGTGGATACAGCCAATCAACCCGACCGCCGAGATCCACTAGACTATTAAAAGCTTAGGGTCGCAGTGCAGCCGACATCTGCAACCTATTTCCAGGTTGTCAACTGGTTTGTTAAGCTCAATCGAGGTACCTAGTCCTTGTAGCGGATGGGTGCAGCATCTAGCCTCTCAGCAAACGTGGGTTGCGTGGGTGGTTTACTTCTGCTTAAATTCCTACACCCGAGGGGAAAAGAACGGTTCTATGGCCGGCGTTCATCTCGTTTGATGAACCAGATAATCTTTTCAGAATTTAGACGGGATTTACAAACGTCAACGTCACCAGCCTTGTCTAGTTCCAATCGGACGATTTCTCAAAAGGGGCGTTTTGAACGGCTAGATTTTTCTAGCCCATACTATTATAGGGGCTACGGTACTTTTATTGGGTTATGATCACAAGACGGATCTAACGCTTATTATCGCAGGGTCCTAATTAGTTCAAACTTGCCTACTAGCCGAGCTGCCGTAGTCTCTTCAAGTTGTGGGAAGTGGTCTGATACTAAAAGAGAGATTGCTTAAGTGTTTAGTGTCGTATGTGGAATACGGTACTTGATAGACATGCATCTCAGATCCTTGCCATCCAAGTTTTTTATTCCGAAGCGTCCTCGGCAGAGATGAAAGGTAATAGCTGACACTGACAGTTAGAGTTGATGATGAACATGTTCGCTGATAGAATTAGGAAAGACTTCGAAGGATTCAAACCAACTTACCAACTGCTATAGCCCGAATTTAATATCACTAATCCAACGTTCCTGAATGGGCTGACAGGATCTCGGAATATCGATAGGTCACCGTAAGCACTTTACTATTTGCAGTTCACCAAAAACCCACCCATAAACAAGGGCACCGAATCTTTTATTGGGGCACTCTCATCTAAATCTGTAGGTAATTACCTAAATAAAGCTTTCTCTAACTTACCCCAGCAGCCAACCCCATACCTCTATACTACCATACGTACATACATACACACTGCATCTGTCGTCAAAGATCCTCCAACAACAAAATACACTATGTTGTCAGCTTTCTGTGACAAGATCGCCTTTCGTGCAGTGGCAGTGTTTTGCGGCGCGAGGCTCGTACGGCAGGATCTTGTGGTAAATTGTCTGTGTTCCTGTCGCTTGCCTTGCCCCTTACGGCAGCCCACAAAGCTCGCATTGCACTATTTATATGTAGGTAATTCACAGGAAGCGCTACCTACCAACTGCAGTTGATCGTTCTGATCGTTGGTGGGATTCCAGTAGGTAGTGGCATCTTACATGTAACATTAGCTTTTCTTAATGTCTTACTGTTGCATACTTAGGTGGCTAGTTGTTTTCAAATACGATCTTGTACGAGGAATTACGTGCTCTGCGATGTAAGGAACTTGAGTAGGTACCTAGGTGCGTTACCTCAGCCAGCCCGTTTTAATCATCGCTTCTGTGACCTTTTCATCCCATTGCGACAACCTGTCAGCCTGTCAATGCAATTTAGGTAGATGTATGAAGATTTGGAAGCTGTCGCAGCGTCCCCGCTTCTTACTGGACGATGAGCGCTGATCAGCATGAGCATCACAGATCGACGAAACTCGCCGAGCTTCGGGTCTGCCACCACACCAACGTTTCAACGGTGCGCTCGGATCGTCTTGTTGGCTGAGCTCTTTTCCAACAACACCGTCAGTGGAAGATATACGCAGTGAGGCTTTAATGCGTATGTACGCAATCGATGGGATGATCTGTTCACTTACATTAGTGTAACGGATCGTAGATTCTACCGAGTGGTTTTCGTTGCCCTTGTTCTGGATGTTTCGTCTATATATAGGATGACATCCAACGCAGGAATTTTGGCATTCAAGGTCTGCACTTAGGTCTACACTGAGGCTAGTTTGATAGTTTACGAACGACTTTAATTGAGTAAATGCTTAAATACCATTGGATCTGGCGGTACTATATTAATAAGATCGTATCTACAGAGATTCAAGCTATGTTCCAAGCTCTGTTTACCCCAGATCTTCGAGCACGTTTCATCATTGGGGATCTTCTGGAACATGACGACAGCAGAGGTCTGAGCAATATTCTGCGGCCAATATCAGCCATCGCCGGGTTCAATCTCGGTGAGAATCTGGAATGGAGCTCTTCTCCGGTTATGTGGCTGCAGACATCTCCGTTGATAACCAAGGCAACCTGGTATTCTAAGCCACTTTCACAGAGTCATGTATGTATGTCGTAAGGTATTGGGACCGAGTAATTTCTCACTAGGGAGCTGTGAAACAACTGTCAAGGAAAGGTTCGTGTTCGTACCCCATCCATGCGAATCCCCCTATCCAAAGCATAAACGTCGGTGATATCGCATTTGCCTATCCCTCCGAATTATTAGCTGGTTCGCTATTATTCCATACCGTCTACAAATCACATTAAGGAAAAGTTAATGGAATAACTCAATTGTCATGACATCAAATCCAAATAGCTATGATAATTGCTAGCCCAGGATGCAGCTGATCTCTGTGCCTTTGATAATCTAGAATTATCCAGTAATATTATTGTCTAACTCAATTATTTCATATAATATTTCTATAGAGTCCTGCTATTTTAATAGTATTGCATTTTAATACTATATTTACTTCGTACGTGTTAGAGAAACTTCTTCCAGAATGCCCAGTGCCTAGCGCATTAGCAATGGCCTAAAAGGGGATTAAATCTGTGAAAGCTTAAACATGATTGGTCATTCCAGTATAGGTTCTGAGTGGTAGGGATTAGATATCTAATTCTGGGCTAGTGAAGGCGCTTGGACCAGTCTCGAAAACTCTGCCCCACGCTAAGATAAGTGAGATAATCAGATTGTGAAAACCAAAAAAATTATCAGTTGCGATTAACAAAGTGAGGACGGGAACAGCTTCAATCAACAAAGTTCATCGTCATCACAATGGCCCCTTCTAAATCAGTCACTTTGCGGAGTGAGACTGCGGTCTCGCTCGTAGATCCCGATCAGGTTCGTATCCTTCTTAACCTTCAATGCATAACCCAGGTCTAACATTTCTTTTTCTTCGTAGAGCCTCAAAGCTTCTAAGGCGCTGCTTGCGCATATGAAAAAAGCTTCGAAGGAGAAGGCCGCCAATGCAGAGAAGAAAGACCTCCTAGCAGATCCCGACGATGAGGATGGCTCGAAAGAAACACCTATCTGGCTTACTCTCACCACGAAACGCCACATCTCCGACTCCCGAAGCCTCAAGCCTGGCAAGATCGTCCTCCCTCACTCTCTGAACACCGACCCCGAGATAGGCATATGCCTCATCACCGCCGAGCCCCAGCGCCACTACAAGAACCTTGTCGCGGCCGACGACTTCCCGGCGGACCTGCGCAAGCGGGTGACGCGCGTGATCGACGTGGCCAAGCTGAAGGCGAAGTACAAGGCGTTCGAGGCCCAGCGCAAGCTCTTCGCCGAGCACGACGTGTTCCTGGGCGACACGCGGATAATAAACCGGCTCCCCTCCATCCTCGGCAAGACGTTCTACAAGACGACGGCGAAGCGGCCGATCCCCGTCGAGATACAGGCGCGCGTGCCGAAAACGGACGGCAAGAGGGCGAAGCGCACCAAGGATGCCGACACGCCGAATGCGTGCACGCCGGCCCAATTAGCTGGCGAGATCGAGCGCGCCGTCGGTGCGGCGCTCGTCAACCTGTCGCCTACGGTCAACACCGCGATCCGCGTTGGAAATGCTAGCTGGACCGCCGAGCAGATCGCGGAGAACGTCGACGTGGTGGCGAAGGCCCTGGTCGAGAAGTTCGTGCCCGGGAAGTGGAAGAACGTGAAGAGCATCTACGTCAAGGGGCCGGAGACGGCCGCCTTGCCGATCTGGCTGACGGACGAGCTGTGGTTGGAGCAGAAGGACGTCGTGGCCGACGGGTCGGAGGAGGCCAAGGCTATCGCCGGAGAGAAGGCGAATATCGGAAAGAAGCGAAAGTCGCTTGAGGGACAGCCCGAAGAAGCCGAGCCCGTGACGAAAAAGGCTAAGAAGACGAAAACTCCCAAGGCTGAAAAGTTACCCGAGAGCGACGATACGAAGCTGGACAAGGAGATTGCGGACAGGAAAGCGGCGCTGAAGAAGCAGAAGAAGGCCGCGAAGAAGGCTCTGGAGGTTTAGGGATTCTTCTTAGGTCATCCATCATATTTGTGTATAGATGTGACAAGGGGAGTTTGGGGTCTACTAGCATAGGCTTTCACGAACAAATCAACGGCGTACGGCGGGAACAGGCATAAAAGCTTCTTAATCAAGAGATTTATTCCATGGCAAAACGTTACATTAATCCATCAATCCACATTTGCTGCTGCGTAATCGTGATCCCTATCCAGCCCTCCGCAGGTAATTACTAAGGGTATACATAGCTAAAAGATGTCTAAGCGATTATAGCTCGCCTATTTCCTGGTCGTCCTTCAAAGCGCTCTTCTTGAAAGGACCGAAGAATTCACCAAATGTTCCCTCGAGCACCTCATCCGTTAATTGCATGTGACCGCCAGGAGTAGTGTTGAATTTCAGCCCACCCTTCCTGTCGAGGGCCTTCAGACCGATCCAGTCTTCGGTGTATATGGGACGCGCCCTCAGCGGCGTGACCGCGGTGCCGTTCACCTCGTCGAACCAGCCGGTCTCCTTCGGGATGACGGTAGTGTCGTCGTCGAAGAGGTACATGACGAAGTTCTCGAGGCTCGCGATGTTCTTCGCGTAGGTCTCGTTCTTGACGGCGCGCTCGTTGTTGATGTCGGCGAGGAAGTTGGAGTTCTCGAGGTAGCTGTCGAGGTCGGTGGGGTCGCGGAAGTACTGCGCGGGCACGAGCCGGCTCTGCAGCCACGAGCTCCAGGTGTTACCGTGGAGCAGGGCCATGGCGCCCTTGCACAGCCAGTCGGCCGCGGAGCAGGCCTTGTAGTCGACGATGCCGTTGTGCTGGCTCCCGAACGTCACGAGCGTCCGCACGGGCGGGAAGTTGCACCGCTCCACGTAGCCCCGCAGGAACTGCCCGCCCTGGCTGAAGCCCACGGCGTCGATGGCCGGCGCCGTCGAGAGGATGGGATGGGATGCGAGGTCGTCGCATACCTTCGCGATCTGGTCTGTCACGTTGCCGTAGAAGGTCGCTGTTCGGTCGTTGGAGGGGTTCTCGTCCAGGCGCACGTAGTAGACTAACGTGCCCGGGTTCACCTTCTCGACTAACGCGCCGACGGACTGCAGTCCCTCTGCGGAAAAGGTGTCGCCGAGTCCGTGCCAGATCACGACTGGTAGAGGCGTGTCGTTTTCATCGTCGGCAGTGGACTTGAAGGGAGTGGGGTTTGCTAGGGCGACTTGGAGGGCGGATGCAAGAGACAAGAACACAGGTAATTTTCGTAGGATGGCCATCTTGTAGACGGGTGCGCAAAACTTGTAAATGATGAACAGAAAACCTTGGAAATGCTAAAATGGCATATTAAGAGGTTGAGGATATTCAGAATTGATGGAACTTGAGGATGAAGGAATAAAGATGAAACTTTGGAAGGTAGAGACGAAAGGGGAGCTGAGGTGGCTGTGTGTCGGATTTGCGATCAGGAGCCCTGGCTGACCTCGGGACCTTCCAAGGGTTGCATTGCATGGCTGTGAAAGCTTATCTTATTGGCTGAAGCTTCCTAAGCCGCCACGCGGCCGAGCAAACCGAAAACAGAACACCACGATTTGCGATTGATGCGATACCTCGCGATTGACGATGGCTTCATGTCGACTTTTCTCGTAGCAGTATATAATAGGTTTCCGTCAGTTCTGTAAAGATTAGCTATGCCATTATGTTTCTGTTTTCCCAACTCTGTTTTTTCCCTTTTTTTCCTTTCCTTCTTTTCTTTTCTTCCATCACGCAGATGCATCACCCATCACAGATGCGCACCACATCCTGCACATCTAGCATTTCCTGAGCATTCATTCTGCGTGCACCCTTAATCATCACTGCCAACACATATTCACCCACATTCATTGGCAATTGTGTTTATTCCGTTATCGACCAATTTTTAACGAAAATTTGGTTCTTTTTTTATTATCATTGCCAGTTGATTGAAGCTGATGAGTACCTATTAAGAAGATGGATTTGGAGAAGCATTCTCAAGACCCTGAGACCACTGACGTAGTGGGTCCTGAGAGCTTGGGACCCACGCGGACCGGGTCGGCTGCCAATGTGGGATGGAATGGGCTACAGCGGCTTCCTCCACCCCACGGACGGAAGAACTATTCTCCCTTCACTAACATGCGCTATGGCCCTCCCAGCGGCCCTCCTCCCAGCTGCTCTCCGCCGAATATTATGCCCCGATTCTACTATCCACCTCCAGCAATTGGACCATCAGTACCACCCCAAATACCACCTCATTTGCAGGAACCCGTAGTATTTCCTCGATTTATTCCTCCTCCACAATATCCCATTTACAGCCCCCCGACTGTAGCGGCTGCTCCTAATAATCCTTGGGATCTTTCCAATCTCGGAACTTCCCTTAATTCGATTCCTCAAGGTTCCCAAGTCGGCCCGCCTAAGCTAACAAGCTCTTCTTCCGATGCCACTACTCTAAAAGCCCAGAAGTTTGAAGAGGACGAAGAGGACGAGGAGGAAGAGGAGGAAGAATCCAAAGATTCTTATGGTTGTTATGAACGCGGTCAACTCGCCGCTTGCTTCGAAGATTCTTCCACGGATGACGATTCCGACGATTCTGACGCCACCGTTACTGCTCAATCCTATGCTGCCAGTGTCGAACGCGCGTGTGACAAGCTTTCTAAGTTGACGTCGAAATTGACATTGGATACCTCCGAACACATGGCGCCGAGTCACGCTTTCAAGAATGGCGCGATGGAATCTCGAGGACTTACTGCTGGCCCCGACTTAGGAACCATCAAAGTTGGCCACCAGTATATCTGCGAGTGTCGTATCGGCCGCATGTTTGCCGAGAGACGACTGGATCCTGCTAGAGAGGCTAACTACCGTCTTCAAGGTATCCAAGTCATCCAGTCTACTAGAGAGGCTCTGTTGCTGTGAGTTACCCCTTGTCTTTTCTATTTTCTTTTTTGGCTTTTTTTGGATATCCCTAATCAACGTTTGCTACCAGACCGGTCAAGACTTATAATACTGCGTGTACTCTGTACCATCGCTTCCGCCTAGACCACCCTACTCCCGACTACAATTACACCGATGCTGCCTTGGCCTCTCTTTTCGTAGCATGCAAGATCGAAGACACGTTGAAGAAGTCGCGCGAGGTTTTATGCGCTCACCACAACCTCAAAAACCCGGACCATCCGACCACTCAGGATGACAAGGTTAGTCGATTACTGTCACGCCTCTTCCTGTATGAATGTACTAATTTAAGATGCAGATATTTGATCAACCGTCCAAGGTTCTCATCGGCATCGAGCGATTTATGGTTGAAGCGATCAACTTCGACTTTCGTGTCCGGTACCCTCAAAAGATTGTTGCCAAGATCGTTAAGAAGGCTCTTGCTTCTCCGGCCGACATCTCGGACTTTATTCCAACCGCATTGAAGATGTCTATTGACCTATATATGACTTACGCACCGCTCAAGCACAGCTCATATACCTGTGCTGTTGTAATTGTGCAACTCACCGCTTTAATCACCAACCAGTTCCATGAAGAATTTGGAAGTATGAATCCACTTGATTGGCACACCGACGATCAGTGTGTAGCTGAAGTAATGCTCGATCTTCTCGATCTCTACACGCAGCATGGCAAAGCTACTAAGGTCGGTCCTGAATTTGATTTACAGGTTTTCATCGACGTCCAAATTAGAATCAACCAGTACTCCGAGCATGCGGGCCTCTCGCGCTACCTGAACCAATGCAGAGAGTGTCAATCGACTATCCCGCCTCCCACGCCGTCATCAGACTCGCCTATGTCGTTGAACACACCTTCTGCGTCGGGAACCAGCACTATCAAGCGCGGACCTAAGGGTGCTGATGGAGGTACAACGCGGTTCATCTTCGACGCAGATGAGGCGGTACGGGAGAAGACGACTTACAATGAGTATAACATGGATGAGTTCGAAGAATGGGAAGAGGAGTTCGAGGAGCCGATCCCGGACCTTCGCGACGAACGTCGTCATGAGCCTCGCGGTCCTAGAGGGCCTCGTGGTCATGGACGCGGTCACGGCCGAGGTGGTTTCGATCCCGGCTGGACGCCTCGTAACCGTCATGACCGTCGTCGCCGCGGTGGCGGTTTCTACTAACCTGTCCCCGCGGTAGTAGGAATATCTTCGACCATGACTTGGTCGAGTGAAACTAAGTTTCTTCTTTTTCTTCTTTCTATGATCGAAAAAGTTTCAGGTATTCGAGGCGGCGAGTGGACTTGGTTTCTGTCGGCATTTGGCGGAGTACGGATTGATACCCCCTTCTGGAATTCACGTTACGGAAAAGAGTTGGTGGGCGCGTTGGTTCTACAAAACTCATAGGCGGTGAATGTTGTATGGGTGGCACTTGCTGGTAGGTTGGGAGATGCGCAGGTGAGACTATTGCATGGGTCCAATGAACTGGATGCTTCACGTTGCAATTCTTATGACATAGCTTAATACACACATGGCTAATGTTATACAGTCGTTGCCCCTAACGGTAGCTACACGATTAAAGTAATCTGGAAGATACCCTTGATCAAGTGAGTACCAAATACATCGATGCTTTTCGATCCTAGTGATCGATATGAAGAATGCTTGCGACTAAGCCCCCTTATCCTCTCCCCACGAATAACGTATATACAGTTACTAGTAGATGGCATTGAGCGATAACATCTAGCCAGGTGAGTTCTTTCGTTCGCCAGATAATGGCTACAGGATCGAATGGAAAGGGGAGTTGGTAAGCGAACTCTTCACCCCTGTCTAATCAAGGTGCCAGCTTGATGGATATCAAAGTGAAGACGTCCTTTCCATGATACGCGACGTGTACCCTACTTATTAAACATTGCTGTTAGATTTTCTTCTAAATTACCTTATCGTCAGCATGGCAACCTACCATAAGCAGCCGGTATCTTGGGGATTCCAATCCGCGACATAAGCCTCTACAAAGGTTCACGTATGGGTGGTGTCGAGTTGTAATTCACGATGACGGGTGGTCCAGCCAGTGTTGGGTATGGAATTTGATCTGATCACGAATGTGTCGACCCTTATGTTCCTCTAAATCTCGTTTCTATCAGTTATCAGCAGTTCCTTATATAAGTGGACGGGTGCAAACCCACTGCGGTGTATAGAAACCCATTTTCGAGGGAATCCAAATCATCAAGCCTTGGAATTGGTTCTAGGGGGATGGTCGAGCGGTCGTTTGGCGACTGTTTCCTGCGTCTGTGAAGCATACGCATGAGGAAGCCGAGGCCTGGGAGAAGACACATTATGAGCAAGGTAACTATGCCCACGATGGTTTCATTTGTCAAGACCATTTATGATGGGAATTCATGGATGAATGATTGCGAATGGTTGAGAGAACATCGGATTTCAGATACATATTATCCAGTCAGGTTTATATATTTACGCTCATATTTAATAACCTAAGTAAGCCCTCTCAACACACGCAACGCGGCTTCATAGGGAAGAGAACATCCATGATACCCTACCTAGGTACCTAGGTAAGCTAGGAGGCTGTGACTAGCTTCGTGATCTTACTGTCAAGGACGTACATAGGTACATTGTAGCGCCAAAGATTTTGGACAAGGTTTTGGACAAGATGGATTTTGGACAGCGCAGGAGTTGGGTTGATAAACCTGCATATTCACGGCTTACCTTCATGCCAGTAGTATGTCGTCTTTCAAAGGACGGTGGCGGAGCCTGCTCGAAGGCCGACTGGCTGCATGTCTATCGTCTTAACGTTCCAATGAAAACATACAATATATGCAACCAGAAATTGGACAACATACACCGAATACGCCATATCTGCAGAGCCACCAGAAATTGGACAGCATTCTGCCTAAGCAAGACGTAGTGGATGCAGCCTGTAGCATTGAGTAATGAGACCGCCTTCTCCATGTGATGTAACCATACCTAGAGCCTGCTGCTCTTGTTAGATGAGGTTTCCGCCTTAAATTCTTACGTCCCTCCTCTCTATGGAATTTCAACTCCTCCAAGTAGGTATGCATTCTATATCTCCATGGCTAGTATGGCGCTTGCCCAACGACCCCGATCAGGTTCCGCGGGCGGAATATGGGAACAAAACGAGTCTACCATCCGGCAGCTCTATGAGACAGAGAGGAAAACACTCAAAGAAGTAAAGCAGATCATGGAGAGTGAACACGGATTCCCTATCACTCCGTACGTACACTTGATGTATGGTTTGCTTTCCGAAGGTTGCTAATAATGTCAACAGTCTGTCGACGTATGAAACAAAGCTGCGAGATAGACTGAAGTTACGCAAAAAGCTCAAGAAAACAGACTGGATAGCTGTGCATCACCATTATCTAGCCAGGGATGGCAAGGACACGGGAATCTATCTCAACGGAAGGCGTATTCCATGGAAGAATGCCTGGAAAGAAATCAGAAGATCGGGAGCCCGATCAACAGGTACAGGTGTGTGATTTCTTCGAGCATAAGTTTGCTGGTTATTATGCCGGATTTTTTAGTGGTAATGAAATTCTAACAGGCTCAATATCTTATAGATCGACATACCAGGCTTCCGACAGGCGTTGTGGTGAGGACACCATCTCCTGCTGTAGAAGACCTTGCACTTCAGCCTTTACCAGTATATGAAGCACAAGCGCCAGTTCACTCTCGACTTTCTGTTTCTCCATCCACAGATCTAGTTGCTCTACAACCTTCTAGGACTCATATCTACGGGTCAGTAGATACGACCCAATTATCCTGGGGATACCAGAGTCGATGTACCTCAATACACGATTCAGACTTCGAAGCTAGGGTTGCCAATTCTCTCCAGCTTTCCTTGCAAGAAAACGTTGTTGCTCTTCGAAACATCCCGTGGGTCTCGTTCAAGAATGAGGTTCTCTGTAGGTACACGAAACCCTATTACCTTATTGTTCTAGCTAATGGATATTCTAGCGATTGTCTGCAAGTTAGGATTTGACCCCACGAGGAATTTCATGGATGGCCTACTTGGAGAGGATTCGTCGGTTCTTTGGAGATTTACGACGATTTCACCCATGTTCTCCTTTTTAAGAGACCTAGACCCAGCACCTGCGTCTTCGGTATCCACGTGGAATATCAACGTCTATTACCTTCTAGCTGAAGCAATCTATCTGGTCTCCAATGATTTGCTGGATCATCGTTGCGATCGCCGTCGCAACAACGAACCCTGTCCCGAAATTATCCAACTTTTACTCAAACGAGTACCCAAAACAATTCTACTAGGATTGTTTCAGAGCGACCTTCCTACTATAAGGTCTCTTTGGGACGTCCTAGCATATCATGCCGGAATACATGGCTATAAGGATGTTTTCGTTCTTTTGATGGAAGTTGGACTTCGGCACTCTGGATGGATCCTTCCCGAGGGTTATTTTTACCTCGCTTCTGCTGTTTCCATGGGAGCACTTGATCTTGTTCGACGCCTACTTAAAGTTGGAATTCGTGCTGATTACGGAATCTACAACCCTATGGACGACGACGACCCATTGGCAATTATACATGCGATTGCTACTGGGAGTATGGAATGCCTAAAGCTATTGTTAGGAGCGTGCGATGTCAACCGCAACGTGTGCACACGTCCTGAGAATGCAGGATGGTCTAACTTACAGTCGTTGATATCTGTCTTAACTGGCAATCCATCCGCTACGTTTGCGAGACGAGACCACGCATATCTACCGAACTCTTATCGACAAACCCCAAAGGGAATGCTTATACTTGATTTCGACCTCGAGAGCGAGTCAGTAAGCCGGGCGGTAGACATGATCCTAGATAGTGGAGCTAACGTCGACTTGACATGCGATGACGAGTCATTGTCCGAATTATACTCATTTTACTATGGCTATGTCAGTCCAATTCCGATCGAGTGGCGTCCGACAATACTGGAATATTGTTATTACCAGGACGTAAAGCTTTTCATCAGGCTAGCTCCGTACAGCACTCAAGTAATTGGGCATATTACTCGACCAGGTATTTGCCATTCTGCGAAACAAGGCAAGGAAATGCTACGCGAATATTTGGCATCGAAATCAACTGATTCGGAATTTTATAAGATGGCATTTCTAGAATTGGTCCTTGCCGAGCAGTTCTTCGAAGAAAATAAGAGCGCTGACGTCGAGGTCGTTCGAGGACTGATTGAATTTGGAGTCGATCCAAAACTTGCTTCATTGCGATCGGGTGCCAACCATCTTCTCTGCCTCCTAATAAGACAAATTCGCAGTCACAAAGATGATTGCGGTGAAGAGTTTTACGACATGTTAAAATTATTTCTACAGTCAGGGCTGGCTATAGATTCCGAAATACTAGAAGCCGGGGTCGAAGAAGTTGGAATCGATATGCTGCTAATTCTCTCCCACCACGCTTCCAATGTTAGCAAGGACGGCACAGAAGCATTATTGACAGCAGCTTGTTTCGACAATTATGAAGCCGTTTCATGGTTGCTAGAGGCTGGCGTTGATCCTAACGCCGTAATCGTTATAAAGCCTGAACCTTGGAGCATCATTGCTTTGGCGAGCTTGTCTAACTATGATTTTGATTGCTGTCGTGGCCGGCGCGAAAATCCGGCAAGCTGCGAAATGCTTAAATACTTGATTGATTGTGGTGCAGTGTTAAAGAATAACCCGCATGATCCGAATGCGTTCGACTTCCTGCACCGCCTTCTCTCTCGTTCTGAGCATCCTCCATTATCTCCCGAAAAAGTTAAGCTCTTTCTAGACACGATAATGGACCAGCACGATTTATCGAAGCCTGGAGCATGCCTATTGGAAGCTTCACTTCGAATGCACCCTAGCGACTTTGGGCGATCTAATATCGATGGGGACGGTCGGATAAAGATCAGACTGGCAAATTTTGAACAACTTCTTAAAAGAGGTGTCCCAGCCAGAGATAGCCACGTGTTGGCATTACTAATCTTATGTAAAGGCCGGGACGAGTTAACCCAGGAGGTTCTGAACGCAGGTGCAGACATCAACGCATATTCTCAATTGCAGGACAAATATGACCTCAGATATACCCTCTCAATCACCCCGATTCAAGCTGCCGCCTCTACAGGTAATCGGTTTTTGGCTGACCAATTGATACGCATGGGCGCCAACGTTAATCAGCCCGGACTTGGACTTTGTGCAAGAACGGCTCTACAGGCTGCTTGCGGATGGCGCCCGAAGCCGCCACACCGAAAGAGGGACAAATTGGATATGATCCAACTCCTGATTGAGAACGGGGCCGATGTTAACGCTCCTGCAGCGCCTGGATATGGAATGACGGCCTTGCAAGCTGCAGCATCGGAGGGGGATATAGAGGCTGCGCTCTTATTAATTCATTTCGGAGCAGATCCAAACGCACTCCCTGACAGAAAATTTAGAATGTCTGCACTGGATCAGGCTGCATACAGAGGTAGACTTGACATGGTCCAGCTTCTTTTGAACGTCGGGGCCCTGAGTTGGGTTCGAGGTCGAACTGGATATCGTGGAGCGATTTGGTATGCAAAAGTGCGCAAGTTTTTCGCTATAATTGATTTGATACAAGAGCATGTACGGAGCGACTTCAAGGTAATTGGAGCGAGCCTTGCCATGACTTTCGAAAATGACGCTGGGGCTGCATCTGATGAAATCTGGCATCCTAATTGTATATCCAAGGATGAAATGGCCCAGATTGGGAGGGAACTAGACAAGATCGAAAGTGGAATGATTGGGAATGGTTCATGGTCCCGAGAGTACTAACGTTTTCATGTTGAACATTTTTTATATCAACGGCGTACTTGGAGTTACTAAGTAATTGCGAACAAATCCATTTATAAGAAGGTGACTTGCGACGAAATTGTATCATTTGCCCACTAATCGCCGAAGGATTCCCTGCTCCGTCGTTTGGGGTATGCCATATTATCAATTTTACCTATTCGGCCAGTATCCAAGCAATGCGCGTTGGCGATTTACATCTTTCTGCTCTTGCTGTACTTGTTCGCCTATTATGCCACCCCTGGATGGGGAATCTACCCGCTGGCTTGGTAAGGGAGTATCTACTGCCGAACCGCATCAAACCTATCATCGCGCCTGACGTACGACAGTGCTGCGCCGCAAGTTTATGATGAAATCACCTAAGTTAGCGACGTGAGTAGTATCGATCGCAACGCCGACAGATTGGACGTTGAAGGATCTAGGTCCTGCGGCATCAAGGATGGCTGCGAAGTCGCATACGGGCTCAAGTTGGGAGATACCCAGCTTTAGGGCGGCGAATATATGGCAACTTCCTTCGTAAACCGTCCTTCTCTGCCGTCCCACGGGCCAGAATCGGCGACAAAACTCTTAGTGTCGCGTATTTGATGTGCGGTAGCCTCGAAGTCCGATCTCGAGTTAGCGCTTGTTACGAGATCGGTCTTACCCCTGAATAAACAAAGATCCAATGGCTATTAGTCAGGGTTATGAGAGCCAATAGGATGCGTATATATCATTTAGCATAAGATGAGGTGTTCGCTATGCCATATTAACCTTAGCTTTCCACCGTCTCGGGTCCGTAGGGCTTAGCGTAGCATGGGCCATCCAGGGGTGCAATTTTCCAAAACATTCAACGTCGAGAATCGGCAACAAGTCATGATTTTGATCTAGCGTTATGATAATGGCCAATGGTCCACGACCGAGGCATATGGAGTCGTGAACCGTCAAGGCTCCGAAACAATTCAAGTGCTCTCTCTACTAGGCGGTTTCGTGTGCACATTTCGCCCGGAACACCAGATCTGGGCGGACGAACTGTAGAATTACTATGGATCCCGGATTTGCTTCGACATTATGTTATTTAGTCCTTCCAGGCCCATCTTTTCCCGATAAGTTTAACGACATACACCAGGCCTAGTAGAACTGGCACTTCAATAAGAGGTCCAACAGTGGATGCTAGGGCTTGGTCGCTATTAGGCCCATAAGTCGCGATAGCCACAGCGATGGCGAGTTCGAAATTGTTGCTAGCAGCAGTAAAGCTTTGGGTAGCCCCGAGAGCGTAACCGAATCCGCACCGATGTGTAGTCCACAGAGTTAAGAAAAAGATGACGATGAAGTACACTATGAGTGGGACAGATACTCGTAGGACGGAGACGATCTGATGGACGACTTGCTGACCTTGGTAGGCGAACAAGACGAGGATCGTGTACAGCAGGCCGATCAGAGACCAGGGGGCGACAAATCTTAGGAAGACCTTCTCGTACCATTGCGGGCCAGCTAAAGCACGCAGTCCAAAACGCGTAAGTATAGCAGCGCCTAGTGGGATGCCGAGAAAGGTCCCCACGCTGGTTGCGACGACCTTGTATGAAACATTAAGCGGTCCGGATTCATGGCTGATCACCCGGATGAAGAAGACTGCCAGGGGAGCGAATAGGACCATCTGGAGGATGGAGTTGACGGCTACAAGAATAGCACAGTACTCGTTATCACCACCAGCCAGACCTGTCCATATGAGAACCTTTGATTGGGTTAGTACTTTAATCACATCTTTGCGGATCTTCGGGCGTTCATACCATTGCGATGCATCTACCTAAGCCGACAAGGATCAAACCTGTACGAAGCTCGGGCTTATCTGGTAAGCATGCCCACGCAAGGGCTAGCTATAGCGAGAAATAGGTGAGTCAAAGTTGCGAAGGAAAAACGAAGTGTGGATCGTTGAAGTTGCCAACAGTTAGAATTTACGAACCATAAGGGACGGGGCTACGATCCAATTCATAAAGACGCTGAATGCAATCTGCTTCCAGATACCTCGGTGAGAGAATAGTTCATGCAGGGTCTCGTACCGGACCTTGCAGAGGATGGGGTACATCATGACGAGTAGCCCGACAGCTGTGAGCGCCACGGGTTAACACAAAACAAGCCATCTATCATGAAACCCTGCCGTGTGTGGGGGCAGGAGAGGTGATGACTTGCCTATCGGCACCGAGACGCCAACGAATTGGCCTTTCTGCAAGGCATCAGCTGTTTCCGGTACAAAATTGCCCAAGATAATGCCAGTTGCCATGGCAAGCAGGATCCAGATGGCAAGGAAACGGTCTAACCAGCCAAGTGACTTGAACGCCGACTGTTTTGGCAACGTAGTTGGGCTCTCCGGCCGATCATTGCTAACAGATGCTTTCTCTTCGTCGGTGTTTGAGGTGGGCCGAATGTAGATTCCTCCCGTGTCAGGGAGATCAGGATCGGTCTTCGACTGCTTTTCCATACCTAGTCGACGCTGAGAATTTTGAAAGCTTTGTTACGTTCGACTTCAGACAATTCGCACTACTGGTCCTCACGTTATGGAATGGCCCCTTATTTTGACGACACGTAGGTATTTATATCAAGCTTGGAAACTTCATTCGCAAAGAGAAAAGCCCTTAACCTCCCAAGCCGAAAGAGATAACGATAAGGACCGGTCAACAATGGGAAAAATGGGTGGTCTGTCGTCCAATCAGATGAGGAGAGGGGCATTTCTCACTTCTTTAGTGGGTCATTCTTGTTGTCCGCCAAGGCACCAATCGATGATAAGGTTGATTACCTTAGTAAGCAGCTACGTTCATGCTTAATGGTTTGATCACATGTTGCTTTGGAGAATATGATATCTCAAGATCTTTCAAGCTTGCAGAATTATTAGACATACGGGTTGCAAGCCACTCCCTCGGCGATGATGCGATTGGGTGGCTCGCGGCCCGAAGAAGTCTCCCGTATATGATTGGCTATGGGGTACCTTCAAAAAAATTTCCCTCTTTTCGTTCGAAATGTCCATCATTCTAGTCATACAACGAACATCTGAGGTAGCGGCACTTGCTGTTGAGTTGCGTCCGAATTTGGCCATGGTCATGCTGGGTATGGTAATTGCCAATGCTTTCGTAATGAGTTGTTATATCCCATTGTCACTTGGGTCAATTTCCCTACTTATATATATACATTGGGCAGGGTATGAGTCTTATTGTCGATTCAGGGTACCTATATCTATTTGGTAGAGATTATCGACGTCTATCTGCAACTTGTTATGGAGAAGGAAGGAACTTAGCCTTTAAGCTAAAGGGTTGCCATGCATTGCTTTAACCAATGCTCTCCTTCTTAGCTTTATGATATCGTAGTATTGTATTATGCATAAGGCAATCAGGTCCAATACAACCTATGCTTTTGAAGGGACTCATGCTTAGGAAAACCTCGAAGAGTTGAATAAAGGAATGTTCAGTTATGTCGAATTCATACAAATATCTCTATAAATAGGTAGATAAATTGTCTGTTTTAGGCTAAGCTTGCCCATATTTCCTTATCTGATAAATGATTGATAACGTCTTCTAGCTGCTTGTTCGCCGGCGAACTCGCCTGGAGAATTGAAAGGCAGCTGCTGACAGCATTGGTCGTTCTCTTTTCTAAAGTTTGGTTTCCGCAATCTGTCGTAAGTGTGAATGCCACGTTGATATTGCTGAAGATGAGAAGAGCTCTACAGTTGTCCCCTCCATGTGGGGACTTTTCTTGCCCTGTGCAGGTAGTGGGCATATGACGAAAGGCAAGTGGGTAGCTAGCTCAGTTCCAGTTGCCCAGGTGTTCAGCTCGTCTTGAACAGAGCAGCCAATCTCGAGTGGGTACCATGTATCTGTACAATTACAAGAAACCCCCCTAACGTACATATCTAGGTATTTATATACAGATACAGATATGAATTAATATGAGAAATCAATATTTAAATATATGACAATTTATCAAAATTCCTGATCTATTGGCATAATAGAAAAAATGACCTCGAATATCTTGAAACAATCTTGTGGTATCGCGCAGAACTGTCGGACCCCCGAAGTAGTAACATTGAATGCGCACGCATCTGCGAGCATCTCCAGGTACATGTACAGATTCGTACACAACTCTGTAGTTATACTGAGACCCATAAATCTGTAGCATCGGGTGACGCACCGACCACAAACCGAGCAGCTAAATTCAAGGTCACTGGTTGCACAAGCACCTCCTGGGCAGGATAAAGCACTAACCCTCATTGGCCCTCGTCGTCATTTTTTCCCACTTTCCTAGAAATCCAGCCACCTCACCAGCTTCCAAGCTCTTTCAAACCAATACGACATCATCAACCTCCGAGGCATTCCACATCACCTATTTCACCTTCCGAGTAGCACGCGATCCCGCCTCTACGATTTTGCGCTTTTCTGCCTCAGAGATTCCTTTCGGTATTTTTGCGACAACCTTTTTTTCTTTTCTTTTTTAAGGAATAGTAAATCCTCCTGCAGTTTTTATTGGGAACATGGCACCTCCGCCCTCTGCGAACTTGCCTCTCGGCGAGAGGCTTCTAGCTCTGGCCCAGACGTTGCAATGTATGTGATCCCCATTCTTCCTCTCCAGCTTCCCCTCCCTTTTACATTTTATGCTAACATTTGACACCTCGCAGTCGCTTGGTTCAGCGGGTACGTTATCTTTCGTCGACTATAATCTGCATTGCTTGACACCGCTGGGGGATTCGGTTCGGCTATATGTTCCGCTCTCCGATTCGAGTTTGACATTGTGACGGAGAACTCGACTGCTAACCTCTACATTTACCTTCATAGACATCTTGTGCTCCTCCTGTGCATCTTCCGATACTCCTTCTCCGTTATCGCTTTCAGCTACAACACTGGTTCCGCTCGGTTCACCTACCGCACAGCTTTTGTCTCCGCAGCTCTGACTTATGGCATCGTCGTCTACAAGACCTGGCGAGCCCGACAGAAGGTTGGCGCCAAGAACATAGGAGTCCTTGGCCTTCTCTCTGATGAGAACGTTCAGTATCTTAGTATGTTCTTCCCTATTCCTACGCCTAGTAACGGTGATGCTAATGCCCCTGCCCCTTTTCAGTGCTGGCGCTAGTCTGGCTGGTGAACCCCCAGTACTCTCTTGCCATGCTCCCGTATGGAATCTATTCCGTCTTCCACGTGGCGACCTACACGCGCAACAACGTGATTCCTACGGTTCAGCCCAACAAGGCTCCTGCCGGCACCTCTCCCGGCTCTAAGTCGCAGTCTACCAACCCTCTTGCTGAAGCTATCGGCAACTTCGTCAAGCAGTATTATGATGCGTCTATGTCTATCGTGTCTACTCTTGAGATTCTCATCTGGTTCCGACTGTTCCTGTCCGCTATCTTCTTCCAGCGCCGCTCTTGGATTCTTATCGCCATCTACACCGTCTTCCTCCGCACTCGATTTGCCCAGAGCTCCCATGTACAGGACTCCTTCAGAGCACTCGAGTTGCGCTTGGATTCCTTGGTAGGTGCCCAAAGTACGCCCCCGGCCGCGCGATCTGTTTGGGAAGCTGTGAAGACTGCTGCGCGTCAATTCCACGACGCTACCGACATCGGCAAGTATGCGAATGGATCCGCGGTGCCTAAGAAGACATCCTAATGTCTGATTCCGCATTCCTACCCTGAATAAGGTCGGCCATAGTTGGACGCCTACGGTGATACGGTGGAAGAACAAGCACGTGCCAGGCTATGGAAGGGTTGGTTGGTATTAAGACATTACATTTCCGTCACAACGCAGTTGGGAGACGGAAGGTTGCAATGAACGATACGGGGTATGATAACGTCGTTAGCAAAGATCGCTGGAGTTCAGAATGAGAGGTAGAAAGAACTCCGCCCAATGAGTGATGTGGCTTTCCTACATCTTGATTTGGTACACGGTAGTTGGGGCGAGAATAGGTGACTTGTATTGCATCAGGCTGGGTAATGGGCACTCTGTTATACTTGTTTCTCATCCCAGTTTTTAGCCAGAAACAAATCCTTCATCTCACGTTGTTTAAGCCTATAAATTTGCCCAGGTGCGTTCTTTCTGCTAAACGAAAAACTTAGGCTCTGAGTTAGTGTTGAATTACCTCTCTTCGGAGTTCTCCATCTCGTCGTACTGTCTAGGGACATATTATATTCTGCGATGATGCTACACTTATCATGCTGCTAGGTACGCAATCATGCCCGAGTTACTCTACTAGTCTCTTTGGCGCCCTCTACACCGGCAACATCAAAAAGGGCCAAAATAGGGACATCTATCCACCAATGCTCATTCGCGAAGGATATGACCTTGCATGATGAACTACCTATAGGCGGACATAGAATGCCTTCAAGTCCACAATTTGCCGAGAACGAGACGAAAATTAATCCATTGTATTCCAACCGCGGAATTGAAGGGATGCAGCTAAGCTTACGTGATACCAGTGAAGTTGCCATGAAAGAGAGGATATATATCTAGCTAACATCATGATCAAGGTCATTCTTCTGTGGCAAAGGAGGTTAACGGTTACCTTGTTTCCCAACCCTTGTTATAGGGGGTCGTTTGGTCTACATTTCATTAGCCTCAAAGGCCCCGTCCTTTGTGCCAAACCTGAACAACACGAAAGCAAATCGTTTAGACGCAAATGTATTTGCAACACAATAAAGTTGCCAGATACACGTACGGGAAGAAAACTGAAAACGTCTAATGCCTTTGTCCGCCCACTTCTTCAATCATGGCTATCCTCGCGAAAACAAGGCGGCTCGAGTGCTTGTATACGGACAATAGGTATCCTCGGTTATCAAGGCTAATTCAAACCTACCGCTCTTTCTAGATTAGCTGTTATCGAGAAGGAAAGAAGAAAAAACGGATATTCGACTAAACAGGAAGCGTAGAAAAAAGAAACCGTACGAACCAAGGCCGAAGAGCACGCCATAAAAACTTGAACAATCGGATATCAGCATGGCGAAGCGTTGGTTGGCTAGGAGGGTCAGGGTGTTCCAGAAACTGGGGGAGCTGGTCGGGGGCGGGGGCCGGGTACGGAAGGCGAAGCGCAGGGTGTCGCCGACGAACATATCGCATCCCATGGCGGCGGCGGAGATCGCGGCGATGACGGGGAGGGTGATGACGTTGCAGGCTTTTGTCGATCCGCCCGCGGCGGGCGGCGGCGGCGGCGGCGGCGGCAGCCCCGAAATACTTATGGACGGCGCCGACGACCACGGTTTGTTTTTCGACGACGAGGATGGTGGTGATGGAGATGTGATCATGCATGACTCGGACGAGTCGGTTCACTCGCCGGTGGAGGTGGAGGAGGCTGATGATCCGGGTCACGGCGCGGATGATGGTGGTGGTGGTGGTGGTGGTTATGTTGGTGGTTATGTTGGTGGAGATGTGATCATGCATGGCTCGGACGAGTCGGTTCACTCGCCGGCGGAGGAGGAGGAGGGAGAGGAGGAAGAGGAGGGGTCCGATGATCCTAGTCACAGTGCGGGTGCCGATAATGATGGTGGCGGCGGCGGGGACCAGGATGAAGAAGAAAATGTTGTAAGCGGGCAAGGGCCTTCTGGTAAGGTTACTTTTAAAGTTATTGATGGTCAATGGAAGGTTTCCCATGCTGGAGAGGATCGAATGGACGAGAGAGATGATGATAGCGAAGTGGAGGATGTGGGTGGTGGTAGTGGTGGTAGTGGTGGTTCTGATAACACGCCTAGTCTGTTGCCCGATGGTTCAGAGGTTGATTCAGCCTGGGGTGTACCTGGCGTTTTGCGCTTAAAGGAAAGCCCTGGAGATGAACCAAAAGAGGCCACGGACGATGGTTTTGTGTGTGTAAAGGGCTCAGTTGAGGACCAACCCTGCATAGGTGTAGGGTACGTATCAGAGACTACAGCGGAGAGTATACTGCTGAGGTTTTACTTGTTGACCATTTCAATGCTAACTCAGTGGCAGTATGTACCAATATCTCTTTCCATCGACAGTCATTCAGCCGACCTACCTCTATGGCCGTTCTCGAGAGGCGTGTCCGAAGCGTAAGGCTGCTCGTAGTAGGTATATCTGCTAACAATTGGTAGAACTCGAGTTTCTTCTGGCAATGTGTCCGACGCACGACGATGGAGATGCACACCCGGCTGAAACACGCTATCTGTCAAAAAGCCTCACAGGGTATGACTACGACCAGCATTTCGCCAAAGGCAGGTTGCAACAATACGCTGTAAATAGACTATTAAGGTCCGTAACCCAAACTCCTCGCTTTCCATGTTTTCAAGGAGAAGTCTCTGTATAAAATTGTGTGACTTCAGAGCCACCACGGTGGATATCCATACTATTAAGTCCCTGAAAACTTGTGGAATCTAGAGCGATGGCTAAACGTGTGGTTGCTATATTAGGGTACTGCGACGGGCGGGCTTACCGGCCCACGAACCTCAGGTTATGGCCGGTCATGGGCTTGACATCACTGAGTCTGAATTAAGTGACGAAGCGGTGGATTGGCGGGAGGAAGTAACCGACTTCAAAATCTTTGCACAGCAGGAGAGCATAAGAACTAATGCTGAAAACCAAGCCACCGCTGACAGATTTTTTGAGGAATGGAAAACCAAGTGCGCTTCTGCCGGTGCGCTGATGAGAGCGATGCCTACCAGCGAGATAGATGTCTTATGTGATGAAGTCGCTACACAACTTAGAGATCCCAATGGATGGGACGACGAAGTGTACATCGAGCAGGTCGTCGGTTTTTTCAAACAGAAAGTGACTGAAGAGAAGAATAACCAGAAGAAGGATCATACCAAGGAGTTACGGACCGCAGAGGACCCCGATTATGTCCGGGCAAACGGTCTTAACAAGAGATACAGGGCGGTATGTAATATTTAGTCCCTCTTTCCCCCTTTACCTTTCTCCGTTCCCGGTCTGTCTAAGGAGTGGGGACTTCATAGTCGACCTGGGTTAGGAGATGCTGCTTTCACGACATATTTGAAATCCAAATTCTTCACGTAAAGAATGAACTTACTAACTGTTGCTACCAAAGTGGACTGCTGTACAAGATGTTTCAGTCGACGGCAATGGCATGACTCCTAACCGCTATAATATACCTAATGACCGAGCAGGTCAAGTACCAATGGAGATCTATCAGGTATGTATCATCCAGTGCTCTCTTTTCCTCTCCACGCCTACTTCAATGCCTACCATTGGCTGATCGGGGTCTGTCTATGCCTTTGCTCTCGTGGCATACCCCAAAAATCTGGATTTATTTATGAAAAGAAAGAATATTGACTCTTGCTGCCGTAGTGGTTTGGAGCAGAAGTTGTTAGCCCTGTTTTGCCGCAGGATTCGGAGGTAACGGCCGAAAAAATACGACAAGCTTGCGCTGCCCTTCGGAATTATTTCCGCATCCACAAACCCATGGAAGCTTCGACGGGACTTCATGTTCATTTCGGCCACAAGCACGGTTGGAACCTATACGAAGTCAAGAGATTCGCGTCGATATGGCTTCTAGTCGAATCGACCCTCATACATTGCCATACAAAGGATAGGGGCGCCGAGAGAATGAAAAGATGGTGCGCAAGGATGATCGAGGGTACCAAACTGGCACAATGGCTTTTCGGTGAAAACGACGAACAAAGAAGATTGAACGGATGTGCCCCGAACGCAACACCAGCAGAAACGGCCAGAGGACTGGCAGCCTTGAACGAAAATGTTGTACTGGATGCCCTCACTCCACAACAAAGAGAATTCCTCGAGAATGTTTGGACCTATCCATCGCTTCTCGAGATATATGATGCACTATGGGGTGCTTCGGGATTATATGAGGAAGGAGAAATCACTTCAGGGGCGCGAATACGCATAACGGGCGAGAAGAGGTCCAGAGCTGCAGACGAGGTAGAGCATCAGACTATAGAGATTAGAACCATGCACGGGACGGTTGATGCTAACCAGTAGGTTTCATTCCCCAACCGGGTATAAAAGAGACTAACCTTACGTGCAACAGCATAAACCATTGGATCGTCATCTTACGGCGCATTATGCATTACGTGCGCAACAGCAGCGCAGAGGAATTTAGGGATATGCTTCTCGCCGTGTGCCAGCGTACGCAACAAAATCTTACCTCGGACGGCTCCGATCTGTGGGTGCTCCTGCAGATCCTTGAAGTGCCGGAGGACACACGTCACTTCTACGCGCACCCTTATAATAGGGGCTTTGATACTACGTCGGGAGCACAATGGTTCGTGTATCCCGATAGAGACCGGGTGGATTGGGCGGATCCATTCGTAGTAAGAGGCCACGGCGCAACGCACGGCAACCAGTATGACGAGTTGGCACCGTACCCGTAGATGTACACGGACAAGTATGGATTCACAGATGTAGGATATATGTAGTGAGAATGCTGTTGATAATACCTGGATACATATAGGTGTCTGTATAAATATAATTGTTATTATTAGTAGATAGGTATCTGTAGAATGAAGGGGGATAAAATGTTGTATTGTTGAAGTTATGTTGGTACCTAGGTATATATCGAAGCACTACAAAGCCACATCTTCAGCCACATAGCAAAGCCCCAATAGCTCCCGAACCCCTGAGAACCAGAGAACTCTAAATCTGGTGTCTCCACTCCTTACTGTCGATGACGTACCGTACGTAATGAATGACCTACGTTGTACATGGGTACCTATGCCATATAAGACATTCTTCTTTCAACAATAATCTTGTGATCCTTTTGATACCACTTCGCGCTTACGAGCTGAATTAGAAGTAATAGCCCACCATGTCAATTGACCGTTTGGAGTCCTCTTGATACCCAGTCTCAGCCTCGAAGAATGGCTTCTTTGCTACGTCAGATCGTCGCAGGGCCTCGCGCGAGGCATCCCGAGGCAGGGCTGGATCTTTGCTATGTTACCGACAACATCATCGCGACGTACGTATAATATATATAGCCCCGCCGTTAAGCACATTGGGACTGACGTGATCGCGTCAACAGCTCCGGCCCGTCTCAGACCTACCCGCAGCGCGCCTATCGCAATCCTCTCGATCGTCTCGTCGCTTTCCTCGACTCAAAACACGGGAAGAACTGGGCCATATGGGAATTCCGTGGCGAAGGCACCGGTTACCCTGATGAACTTGTCTACAATCGAATCAGACATTACCCGTGGCCGGATCACCACCCCCCTCCGTTCAGGCTGGTACCCATGATCGTTGCCAGTATGCGGAACTGGCTGAACGGAAATGACCTCGGAGCTGATGCTGAGGCGTCTGACGGGAAGAAGAATATTGTTGGGAAGGTCTTAGACACGTGGAAAGACAAGAAAGACGGTGGCCGGGTGGTGGTGGTGCATTGCAAGGCTGGTAAGGGCCGTAGCGGAACTATGGCTTGTAGCTATCTCATTGCCGAATGTGGTTGGACGCCAGAGGAAGCCCTTGCGAGATTCACCGAGAGGAGGATGCGACCAAAATTCGGCGCCGGCATCACCATCCCAAGCCAACTCCGGTGGATAGGATATGTCGATCGGTGGACTAAAGGTGGGAAGAAATACGTCGATCGGGAGTTGGAGATTGTCGAGATCCACGTCTGGGGGCTGCGGTCTGGCGTCAAGCTCTCGGTCGAGGGGTTCGTGGATGGGGGCAGGAAGATTAAAGTTATTCACACATTCACGAAGAAAGAGAGGCTTATAGTAGAAGGCGACGCGCCGGGCGATAGCGGAGTCATAGATATGTTCTACGACATGGTTGGCTATGGACCTAACTCTACACAGGGGCAGGAAGTACTCGATGAAGCGAAGCAAGCCGAACAAGTGCAGGACGCAGAGGCTACGGCAATACCACCTAACGAGCCTGCTGCTTTGTCGTCTAAGCCGAAGAGAAATACAAGCCCAAAACTTATTACTAAATCTCCGCAAAGCTCATCTACCGAACCGTCCGAACCTACTGATTCCACCTCCAAGGCTCCCCAAAACGGTGGTCAGCCAAAGTCTAGCAACACCTCAAATTCGTCATCATCTCTCCTTAAAAATGACGACGACTCCGAACCTGGAGGCATGGCTGTCATTTTTAAACCTCATAAGCCTATCAAGTTGCCTAACAGCGACGTAAACGTATGTATTGAGCGTCGCAACCGTGCACCTACTTCCATGGGGTTCACTATGGTCACCGCTGTGGCGCATGTATGGTTTAATGCCTTTTTTGAAGGTAACGGACCTGAAAAGGGCGGTAAGCCTGACCTGAATGGGGTCTTTGAGATAGAATGGGATAAGATGGATGGGATAAAGGGCTCAAGCCAGAAGGGCACACGAGCTGCCGACAAAATTGCAGTTGTCTGGAAATCCACCGTGCCGGATGACGAGGCAAGGGAATTAACTATGCCCAGCGTTGACGCACCCGTACCTCAGATGCCAGCTGCTGACTGGAAAGGAGAGAATGACGAGGATCCGGACAACCAGAGACATCTCGGGTTGCGCGTCAGGAGTCCCGATAGTGCAGATGTCAGCCAGGCCAGCAGTATCAAGGGGGAAGCTGTCGGTGAGACCAAAGACAAAGGGAAGGGGATCCAAGATGATGTTGGAGCTCTAGAATCTGATACGAAAGGCGAGAGCAATAACGACTCGCGAGATGAGGCAGAAGAGAAGGGGGGTGATTCAGAGAAACTCCAAGCCTATGCGGATAAACTGCCCAATCCCGAAGGAAAAGAGAAATAATACACGAAGTTCCAGCAAGGCATCATTACGTATAACAGTAGAGATACGATACAGTTAGAAGTTTTCCTATACATCAAGAGGTCGATTAGGAATGACTGAATGCTTTTCCATTGAGGGTATGGGACTTCCGCATACCACTTCGCGATAATACACCCGTTTTACCTCAACGGTCAAATTTTCCTTCTCAAACTCAATTCTCCCTCATCCGCCATGTTTTATCATCTATGCTCTTACGACCGCTTATTGAGATAAGGGTACGTATTCATCTCCTCAATGTTGGCACTGAGAGGTCGTTTGCATTTTCTATCATATATCCTTTATCTACGAAGTAACATATCATAGTTACTGCAAAGTGAAGGAAACATTTATGTTACCTTGGATCGGCATGCAAAGTTACGAGTTTATGCTGAGTCCTCAAAGCGATCGAAGATCATCGAGCCAAAAAGACGTAGATATCATGCGGCGATCACGGACACTGATCAGCCAAGACCCTTCTCAGCGCATAACACCAGAGATACATTCTTTTAGCCTCTCTGAGAATCCGAGGATTCAGACATAGGCCGGCGGAACGTGGGTTGCGTCGGCAGTAATGGTAAGATCATCACAACCCCCAAGTTTACATGAGGAAGAGCAAAGGAGGGGCAGAGCGGTGGGATTGCGCCTGTGAGCGATCTGATAGGAGCCTTCGAGGTTCACCGAGATGGGTTTATGGTGTGTTAAGACGTAAGAACATGCCTAGTAGGTGGACTCTATCCACAAACTGAAAGGGCGCCGCGAAGGGAAGGAGTACATGAGTAACTCCGGTCACTGTCTGGAGCATAACGGACCATTCCGGGTGTCTACATGATACGAACTCTCATTTTAATTATCCTAGGCACCTAGTCAGCTATGTAAAACCCCGTATATTTCGTTCTAATTGGCATGAGATATCGCCTCAATTCTTTACCCGGCTACTTCAAGATTTAGTTGAAGTGCGTGAGATACGACTCGAGATATACACATACGGTGACCTATAATATATGCCTGAAGCGGTATACGAACGTCGTAATGGATCTCACCAGTCGGTTGAGCGGAGACGTCAATAGAGCTTCATGTATCATCTTTTCAACGACCGGATATAATGAAAACGAGATCTAGCCACCTATTCTAACAAGCCCTGATATCATGTTTGTTTCTCGGGCATGTATAATCCGATATCCCGAATCGTGGTGAATGTTGAGGCTGTAAGGTACCGGACGGCGCTTTGTAGTGTTACATCACCACCCACGCCAGACCCGAGCATCGATGAACCTTCGCCATCTGGCTTTTCGCGCGGTTAAACTTCGAGTAGCAGAGAAGTTGGGTCGAAGGCATTGGCGAGGATCTCTATTTTGGAGAAAGATCTTTTGAGACTATTTTTTTAAAAAAAAAGATAAAGATAAATAAAAACCTAGGGTGTCAAGGCCGAGAAATCACTGGATGGGATAACTAGAACACGTCGGAGAAAACGATGGCGTACCGAGTAGCACAATCGTCGATATTAACTGGTTCTAATTTCAGCATCGTTTATATAGAGGTGCTCTGCCAAGTTCGCTTGCTGCCAACTTGTTCTGACTTTGCGATATGGGCCTCCTTACTGAGATTGCCTCACAGTGACAGCATTTATGGGAACTTGCGACCAGAATGTTCTCATAATATAGGCCTGCGCATTTGATTGGAGTATACACAAATAGGCTTAAGTTGCAGATCTAGAACGAAAGCGACGCCAGCTGCAGCTCCTCGCTTCTCGGCTGGGAATTTGTTGGGAGCCCCTAGGTTAGCATAAGACATATTGCCCTATCGCATCGAGATGCGCCCAATCCTTATGTAGATTCGGGCTTCGATGCTCTGGTTCTTATTTAGCGACTTCTACTTTTGAAGTTCTTGGGACGCGGTTTTCCGAGCCTCCCGAGGATCGCCGTCGCGTTGTCCTGATACTGGCGTCATAGCACTTCTCGGATAAAAGGGCTTCGCGATGGGGGGGAGCTCACGTAAGGATCTTATTCAAGGAGCTGTATATTACGGATCTTCAAGCGCGCTGGGAATTCCCTTGTATGGTAATCTCGCTAGTCCAAGACTCCGGGACCGCCCACAAAGCTGATCATCTATTGTCTGCCAGTCTGCTCAGTCTGATGGGAGAGAAGAGAAATCTTTTCCTGGAAGATAACGGAGGTTCTCTTATGCAGGTGACAGGCCGCCTACTGTTACAGGCTAAGATCAGCCTCAATTGAGTTCTTCCATGCTAGTCTGCTATCCATGCTAGCATGCTGCATGCCTAGGCGTGCCTGGCCGATGGGCAAGGCCAAGAAAAAGGCGAAGATTATCCACGGCTGGTAGCGAATCTCACATCCTCTAGCGTACCATCCCTATATTTACTCAGGCAGCTCAGGGCCGAATCACGACTAAAAGCGTGCTATGATCGGCACTTGGTTTCCCCTTGTTCATGTGGGCATTCAGTTTGAAACTAGCCCGCCTTGCCCGCCTTACGGAATCCGGAAACTCGATTCACATGTTGAGCTTAGTATAGAACTGGGGGTTTCGCGAATTGAAGGCCGCCGCAGTGACGGCAATTCTTTTAATTCTTGCATAGTTCCCTGCAGTGGCAGAGTGGGTGCGCCGATGACAATTCGAACTTCGAACTGCCATGTTAAGTAACGCATGTCTAATTGGTCGGCAATTGGACGCTACTAAAGAATGCGGATTGCCATCTAGTAGTATCGTACGAAAATCGGTGCCGGAAACAAAAGGAGCAAAAGGAGCGCTGGCTTTTCTTATCTCCCCTGGGTAGCTTAGAATGTCTAGGTAGTATAGAATGTCCTAGACCGAGCGCATAGGTTCTGTATTCAAGTCTTCTAGGCTAGAAGCCAAGTTGGCCAAGCTTTTATAAAGCTTTTACAATTTTCCCGTGCATCTGATGCCATGTTTAAATCCGTAACCGGTAATATCAATATATGGAAGCGCCGCCTACATTGGTTGGGCTGTAGGGCCGTCGACTTGGTGTTGTAGCACCCTCTGCACGCCCCACTCTCTGTCGAACTCTCTGGATATTATCTTGGCTTCCAGTTTCGTTCTGGTCTATGCATGTCAACTAAAGGGCGACTAGGATAATAAACGGACCAATGAAGTCACCCCCATGTGCCCTCGCCAGGACCTGCAGCATGTGAATTCAACCGCGCACACCTCCGAAAACAGTGACGACTCTCTACAAGACGGCAGAGAAGAATTTATTCTTTATCTCGGTCTCTTCACTTCTAGATTCTACGTTCTAAGATAGGGGTTATGACAAAGTCGTCTCTAAGTCATCTCTAATGTCTATGTAAGTGAGTTAAGTAAGCATTGGGTGTAACGCGACGCGTATACTGTTACGCGGAATGATTATTCACTCCTTAGAAAGTATAGCTGCAGTCGATGAACCTCTGCGCGGCGAAGTCTAAAGAAGAAACCAGCGTGTATTGAAATGTCACGTCGCCGCTGTAGCTTAAATAGTAACCGACAAAGCAGTGCAGTGTAACGCTGCTTACTTCCTCCGCGCTGGGTCACAATCTGATGATTCGGGGCCTGTCCATAGCTGTATTGGGGCATTCCCCATGGGCCTGATAGGACGGATGTGGGTGGATAGTTATTACTCACCGATGCCCCTTGCTGCTATGATCTGAAGTTGTAGGCATGCGGCTGCACGAGTAGCGCCGGGATGTCGATCGCCCAATGAGGATCGCCGTTGGCGTACATGCCACCCCTGAACTCGGTTTCCAGGTTTCCCTGTCGAAATAGGAACCAGGTCCCGGTGGGATTGGTCAGGGAAGCACCATTGTCTAGGTTGGCCTCTTTGATAATGAATCAATATACGTGAACGCTACTGCTAGGTTAATGTCAAGAGTCAGGAACTTCCGTACTGCGTACCGAACACCGCAACTCATATGCCGATCCTCTCTTGCTATGGCCGCCAGCTCGACGCGCCCATATAAGGAGGTCCGTCTACTCCCCCGAGCCGGATATTCCTTCTAGCTTTTTCTTTTGCAGCATCCTCCGCCAAACAGTCTTTCACAGCTTCCAACTCGCCGTCGACCAACCGTCGCCACAGTCCTTCTCAGTCTCAGCCATGGCTCGTTTCTTCGCTGCTCTCCTGGCCGCTGCTGCCGTATTCCAGGTCGGCTCTGCCGCCCCTTACTCATTCCCCAACGGCACCGCCCCTGCTGCTCCCGTATCTCTCACGTCGAGAGCCATTAACAGCACCGCCCCTATCCCCGAGGAGATTCTCAAGCGTCGCCTCCGGGACTTCCCCATTGCTCTTCACCGGCCTTAAAGGGGTTACCTTGGTCAACAGATTGTCGCCAACTATGACCTAATGGAAGGCCGGCGACTCACCAAGGGGGACGGTCTGGATGGGGGGTTCTAGCGGGCGACGTCAAGCCGCTAGGTCGTTCACAGAATCAGAGGAAAACTTTGAGATGAAGGATAACCTATGGGGGACGACGCATCGCCAACTGATTCTGGTCCTGTCCCGATCGTCCCAGCACAAGAGAGACCCCTATTTTGTATTCATGCCGATAGACGATTTCACGACTTCTGGGAAAGAGTTTTCGGATTCGCGGATATGTGAAAGCTGAAGGACACGGAAGAATGCTCGCCTCGACTTACCTAATGGCCAGCTTTTCGACATTTTGTTTGCTAAACGATAGAACGAGCGAGTTGGATACTGGAGGAGTTGAGCGTGGATACTATCTTACTATTCCGAGGTTTACTGTCTTTCATGTCCAAATACCGCAACCACTTCAATTCGTATATATAATATGACTCCATTGCTCGTCATTTTCTCCATAAATGCGCTCGTCATCTGTGACTTGTATCATGCCGATCCTTTCTCTGCTAGCATTTATATACTTACCGGATGAAGAAGCTCCCATATAAAAACTTTACAGTAAGCATTTGGCAATGACCTACTGGTGATGGTAAGGGAATGACAGTTAACTATATCATAACTGTTCGTCTACTAAAAAGGGAGGTTAGCATGATACTAATCTACCTGTGTCCATGAGCTCCATATTGACATTTCTTTTCCTTGGTTCGTGGCGTACAATTCGCATCCTTTCTCTCCTATGTACTATTCTTCTCATGGACTTTACCTCTTAGAAAATTTACAAACTGGGCCTCGAAAGGGAATCTTGTGATTTTCTGATATGCTCAGAACATTGTTAGTATATCTCTCCCCTTATCATATATCTTCTAGACCTTTTCCCACCACTTTCTTCTATCGCAAAAAGTCTTCTTGATTTCCACATTCGATGATGTTACATTGAAATCAAGTTCCCATACTTTTAGCACCCAATGCCTCGTGTGTGCGTTGCGTTCAATGGTAGATGTGAAAAGTACATAGAATCCCAGTTTCACTATTAATACGACGTTATTCTTTCGGATGCTAGAACAATCGATATTACTTGAATAGAATCTCTTTCATCATGATCAATTACGCCGCCGAGACGCATAAGTTGTCGGTAAAATGCAGCAGCGGAGTTGAACGACCGTATCCCATAACCACAATTTAAGCTTCATTATAGGTTGGGATGAACAATAGTCGTAGACTAGTGTTGGTTTCTAGAAATAATACACCGCTACATTATAGTTTTCTGCCTTATGATCAACTTTGTTTTTGAACTCCGGGGATGTGAGAATGGATTTACTTAAATTTGCCCCTTTTTGTCATACATTGGAAACAGGGGGTAACCGTCATGACCCCCTTTTGCAACGCTTTTACACCGAAACATCACCCTTTCTATATAGGCTCAACTCAACAAATACTAAAGCTACTAAACAAAATCTGGTCATGCTACACTACTGAATAGCCAGGGCTTACAGTCATAAAATTCAAAAGAATTAAAAGTGTTTCTTGATGCTACAATTGTGACGATTGCCCTCAGGGATGAAAAGGTACATTGCCCCACCTACAAAATTAGGTGCGAAAACATGTACTTTGCGAAATCTCCCCAAACAGCTATCTAGCGACAACAAAACTTGGTATTTTAGATTTGTGATCCTAGGTATGTTCACCAAAAGGGTTTACTCGATAAAAGCTAATTTTTAAGCCGCAGTAAAATATCTTAGCAATAATTAGAATAGCAAATTATAGTTATATCCATAATAATTTTAATATGCTTAATAAGTATCCTCTCATATACACGAACCTAGCTAGCCTGCCCCTTAATAATTGTAATAAATAAGTAAATTACCTACTTTACTCATTCAATTAAGCTACGAAACGTCAAGGTCCTTGAGTTAGGGGTCGCGATATAACAGTTTTCGCAGATTTCCCGAAGTACATGTTTTCACACCTAATTCTGTATGTGGGGCAATGTACTTTCTGAATCTCGTTGTATCTGCTACGGTCGCAACGCAAGGAAATTTCTCAGAATTTAATGGGCCTCGTAATTAGGTAATAGAATCAATTAGGCATCTAGAGAGGCTATTCTTAGTTGATTATCATCGAAGTGAGCTGAATTATGCCCGTATATAAAAGGTGACATTTTGGTGTAATGCGTTGCAAAAGGGGGTCATGACGGTTAACTTTTAACTGAAAAAGGAGAAAGAATGTCAGGGGCATAAGTGGAGCAGGCCTAGAAGGAGGTCCTGCGGACCTCCTGCTAGGCAAGCGCGAGTTAGCAAGGTATAAGAAGGGGGCTTCGCCCCCTTCAACCTTAGGAGAAGTAGCGTTATTAGTTCATCTCATACTTGCTATATACTAGCAGCGGCTACGCCGCTCCTTGCACTCACTTTACGCTTGACTTAGGGACCTATTACTGACAAAGAATGAGAAGTTGCATCAAAGATTCAGATGGTACCAATGTGAGCCTAAGCTGCGGGAGCATAAGTCCACTTATCCCTCCTAAATGTTTCATGATAGACTTTCAGAATATTCCTCCGGGCGCAGAATACTTTCTGCATGGACCATGTTCGCGAGCGCCCAGTCTTCGATAGAACTCCATTTTACACATATAGATTTCGAGCTAGACCTTGCGTCCGGCTTGTAGGCCGATTCGCCCCAAGAATAAGAGTAGACGTGGGTATCTCCATGGCACATGACGGCGAGGCGGAGCGCCTCGGTGCAATGGTCTAATGAGCGTTAGAAATACGCAAATATACTCTGATTAGGGTCTCGGTACGAACCGATATGTGCGATTAGGTTCGCGTCCTGGTCCTCGGTAAGATTCGGGTAGTATTTGTTGCGATAGATGTATAAACGTATTTGCCGCTGGCCAGGTGTGAGTCCCTTCAAACTCATTAAAGGATCGGGAATTAACCCACTAGACAATGTAGCTGATGATAGACGCCGAGTGAGGCAGGATATCCACCATCTTTGAGCCGAGCCAAGTCCTCCAACGACTCCCCAGCTTTATCAAGCTCCTCGAGAGTGGCATTGAACCCAGTAGCTATAGAAAGGTTATATTGATAAATCCACATATATAGGTAGTGCTTGGAGTATGATGCACTCACGTTTTGTCAGAGAGACCCAGGCATCGTCTTGCTCTGGTGTGGGTGGGCCTGAGAATTGGCTGTAGTGATGGTCCGTTGCGCGCTGTCCGTTGACCTCATACTCTATGAACGGGTGAACGGGGGCTTTGAAATTGTCAGTATGTTTGAATATTTAGGAGTTTCTGTATGTTACCAACACCATGTTCGACCTTTCAGAGGCATAACATTGAGACTATCGTGATGGTAATGCAGCAGCAAACCAACCAAGAGGACGAGAGCAGCGTGTATAATAAAGATGTATACTCGTTTGTAAATCAATGTCTTCTCTAGGTGGCTCGCTAAAGAAGAAAATGGTAAGGAGTAATCATTAACCTCCTCCATAAGGTGTTGACTTTCCTCGTCATCCGCATTACCGCTACCTCTGGCCGACAGACTAAAGAAACTGGTGCTCTTCATGTTTACCGTGAAGTATAAAGTTGGGCAAAGAGGAGGGATTTGGTTTCAAATAGAAAACAACTGAGATCTAGAGATGGAGCACACTCGGCAAATAATAACATATTAAGAGAATAAAGCAAAGAAGGGAGGAGAGAATGTCATAGTATCATTAAGCTGCGGAATGCTTTCGTCACACCAACCATTTCGCCCCCACGAACATAATGGGTTGCACTACACGAACGTACAACCATCTGCTGTAGCCATCGACCGATTTAAGGCTTCGAAGGGCCATCACCTTGATGTGATACAAGAAACGAAGGAGATAAATAGCTGATCAGTCCGGAACTTGAAGACATGCTCTGGTGTCAAAGCCAACTTCCTTTTGCAACTCTAAGTCTCTTCGTATTAGAAATTCCTGACATCTTTTCTACCCTGACTTCGAGAAGACTCTTCTCGACTCAACAATTTAGTGTGAAAATGTTTTTCAAAAAGATAGCCATCACCCTCGTAGCCCTCATCTTCGGGCTGACTACTGCTATCCCCGTATCCACAGGTATGATTTTAAGTCCTATCTTGTTCGGCGTCCGGACTAACAAAGTGGCTACAGTGGAATGCAACCCTACCGCCGATGAGCCTGTTGCTGACTCGCCGGATGGCTGCGACGCAAGAAGGTTCTTCTGATTTGAGGAGGAACGGCTCCAAAGGGATGATTGATGAGTTGTGGGAGATGGAATAACAAGAACAGTACCCTGTATTCGGAAGCTACAGATATGGATAGCTATCAGAGGGTTTGTGAGGTAGAGATTAAACCAATAGGCTTCCTTAATGAAAGCATCCGGATAATTTTGGCCCCATTTGGTGCTTCCTATTTTATATGTGACTTAGAATGGTAGCTCATAGGATGATGTCCAGCTCTGCTAGTGTTCTATGAAGATGTTTGAGGTAGTCTGGGTTGATCTCGGACGGTATCAGCATCGTCTCCTGCTTCATGATTGCCAATGCGACACTTCTTCTAATTGGACATAGCAATAGCGTTTGTCGATCACGTAGCCAAATATCCCTCATATTGAAGTTATGTATGTCTCATTGTTGACCACTCCGCCAAGATTCCACAGCCGCCTTCAACGTCATCGATATCCACAGAACGTTTGAGATGTCGATATCACGGGTTCCTAGCAGAAGACGGCAAGGCGTGAGCTAGGTAATCGATTGGCCCAGATAAAAGGCCCGAAGATAGCTTGAATCATGAATATAATGTAGCACAATAGTGAAGGATGGCAACTTGATAGGTATCAACGCGTCTTCCTGTGTAACCGTAAGCTACATAAGTGTTTTATGATTATTCTATTTATTGCAGCTAAGCTAATTGGCTACCTTATTTATAAAGTGAACACAAGAAGGATTCTGGACGTTGTATGCTGCATTATAGGTAGGTACCTAACTCGTATTGCGGCATCAACGGTGCTTACCATGCAGTAAAGCTAGTGGTGAGTGTGTAGCGAGGCGTCCCGTACTCAGCTCTCCCACCTCTTCTAAATATCTAGATCCATTACCTTATTCCGGTCTTGTGAATAACGAGCCATAAGAAAAGCTCGTAATTACGTAAATCCCCTTTTGTTTCTTTCTCCCCCATTTCTTACTCTGCTAGAAGAAAGGGGCTGGTCTCGTCGATGTAATGAACCTGATACAAGCACCTAGGGTACTAACATGGCTTTCTAGATTACTTACCTAGTAAAATAACTGCCTGAGCACCGTCGACCATTCTACCGCAGCATTATTCTCATCCTTGCCACTACCTATGGCACCATATCAGCACTACTACGAGAAGCCAGGCTATGTCATCGCCGCATGTATGGTGCTCTCGGTAATAGATATCGTTGTCGTCGTTCTTAGAATATGGGCGAGGCTCAAAAAGAAGGAGCCTTTCAAAGCTGATGACTGGTTTATCATTCCAGCACTGGTCCGTACCACAGAACTCTACCTAGGCCATAGCTCACATAAGCAAATAGTTGAACACCCTCGGCATCGGTATATCAATGACATTTGCTGTTTCTCAGCATGCCCTTGCATACCGCACAGTGATACCGGCCGATTTTCGCGGAAGTACAACGACCCTGATCACACCGCAGATTATTTTAGCATCGCAAGTGGGTGTATTCAATTGACACAGGAAGTTAGGGCGCATGTGATCTAACCTGTGTACCAGGTCGAATATGCCTTCGGTTTGATGCTCTGTCTCGGGCTCGGATGCGTCAAGATCAGCATCCTCTCCTTTTACTTGCGAATTTTCTCGGTCACTCGAGAGACAATGACACACAAAGCCATGGTCGGTCTAACCGCCCTTATTGCAGCTTGGATGACTGCCTTCTTTTTCACAAACTTGCTTGTGTGCAAGGGAAACTTCTGGGCCTATTGGAGTTCCGCCGTAAATCTCCAGAAATTCTGCCCTGGTACCACGTATAAGAGCCTCGTGTTCGCCATCTCCGATTTCATCACGGATGTTGTTATCCTCGCGGCTCCAATTCCCCTTGTGCGTAACCTCTCCCCTTTGACAAAATGAACGAAAGCCAACTTATCTGCACTTACCCAGGTTTGGCGTCTGAATATGCCGACTAAGAGGAAGATCGCTGTCAGTGTTGTCTTTCTTGTCGGGGCAGGGTAAGAATAGAACCTTCATGGAAGTTTGCGACAATCAGCTTACATTTACTAGATCAGTGGTGGCCTCTCTAATCCGAATGGTACAGATCATATCCCTGTTCAGGAAGGGATTCAATCCTAACGACGACGAGATTTGTAAGCTTCCGGACCGTGCCTAGCTACCATTAACGTTAGCATTTACCTAACAATGGACAGACCTCATTACCACTAATCTGTACTGGGGAATGATTTCTTGCGGAGTCGGCATTATTGCAGCTTGCCTTCCAACTCTACATTCGCTTCCCAAGCATTGGAATCTTTTGACTATCGTAGACAGCGCTAGAAGCATCTTGAAAATGTCATCTCGTAGATCATTATTGGATGACACTGACCATCCAGATACTCGCGGAGTAGCTGTGGGTCGCCCCTATACCCAAAATGCCGGGTTTTCCAACACATCAGTTCGACTACAGAGTAAGAAGAGTTATCAGCATTCTCTAAAACCGGAGGAGTTTCCCATGGATGATCTAAGGGGTTATGAGGTAGTGTGAATACCTAGCTACTCTCTCCTTGGAAGATAATTAGATACCTACCTATGCAAGCAGCAGGTGACTCTGCCAAGATCCGTGCAGGTAGGAAGAGCCGAAGATGTGAAATAGAGTCATATGCAATAGATCCAATAATATATGTATCTTACGCCGGCGAGGATATAGAATAAGCTACAATGACGTTCGTTCGAAAGATATCATACCTGACATAGAACGGCTATATCTGGGAGCTCATTACCTGTGCCTAGATCAGCTTCCATCTTCGCGTCATTGCTGAATCTGGATTACTGGTCGAAAGGCCATCTATTTTAGGTACCAGAACAAACTACACCAAAACCACTCGAACTAGAGTAGACCAGGATTACGGTAGATGCTAGGACCGACATGCATGTAGGTAGCACAAAAGAGCGCCCCGCACCACCTGTAGGAATAAGGGAGGTAGGAAGGAAGATAGGTAGGTACCTAGGTAGGCAGGCAATCCTACCTGTGTGCTTATCCCAAGTTCTCGCTCTCCAGCCTCTTTGGTCTTTACCATACTGCGCTTGTTCATGTTTTTTTTTCTTTTTTCCCCTTCAGATCTTAGAGAACGAGCCCCTAGTCACTTCTCATCAAGATGACAAAACCTAAGATTCGGATAGCTATCATCGGTGGCGGGCTGGCCGGAGCCAGTCTCGCCAACGCTCTCGTCCGACACGCACACCTGGAGTTCCACCTATACGAGTCGGCGTCCGAATTCTCGGAGCGGGGTGCCGGAGTCAGTCTTTCCAAAACTGCCCAGGGGGCACTTGAGCATATAAACCCAGCGGCTCCCGAGATACTGAGGAAGGCCGGCGCCGTGGCGCAGAAGTCGTCTCGGAATATGATTGTGCGTAGTATTCCATGATGATTATTATGATGATAGGATGGATCGAGAAAGGTAGTTGACTAGCTAAGCCTGCAGGGCTCCGGACCCCACGCCGGCGCTGTCGTGTTTGACTTGATCGCGGACCCCAAACGTCTCGGGCTGACAGTCCATCGAGCGTCGCTTTTGCGCGAGCTCCTTGCCCCGATCCCTCAAGAGCGCTTGCACACCAACAAGAAGCTAGACAGGATCACGCCCAAGTCAAGCGGCTGCGTCGAAGTCGTCTTCCAAGATGGCGAGTCCGCTCTTTTCGACGCGGTGATTGGCGCAGACGGCATTTTCGGCTCGATGCGGAAATACGTCCTGGAGGACTTTCCGGACGCGTGCGACCCGTCGCCCGCGGGGTTCTGGGATTGCAGGAATGTGGTGCCGTTTGAAAAGGTAAAGGCTGCCCTCGGGGAGCAGTTCTTCGAAACGGACCGGCAGTATGGATGGTCTGGTGATGGGGCGTTTGTGATCCATGACGCCCTCGAAGACAGGACTATGGTCCAATGTGCGGTGTCGGCAATCGACAGAGATCCCTGCGATGACCGAAAGCAGCCGTTGACGAGGGAGTTCTTGGAGGAAACGCTCAAAAACTGGATGGATGGACCGATCGGTAAGGCGATTATCGACGTAAGTCTTAAAATCTACCTACCTTTGTTGCTGAGCCCTGTTTTCGCAATTCGCACTCACGCAGCAAGTACAGCTTATTCTCGACCAGCCGGATGCACACAGATATTCTCAATGGGAATTCAGATCAACACCAACTTACGCAAAAAGTCGCGTCTGCATCGCAGGTGATGCGGCCCATGCCATGACGCCGTGGCAGGGCGCCGGCGCCGGCCAAGCTTTTGAGGACGCGATGATTCTCGGCACACTCCTTGGCAATGCCACCACCGCGGTGCAGATCGATGCTGCGTTCCGAGCGTACGATGCTGTCCGAAGACCCAGAGCCCAGCGCATCGTCGACTCAAGCAGAGAGACGGGATTGATCATGACCGGCCAAGACGCAGAGGCAGGACTAGATCCGGAGAAACTGAGGCCTGTGCTGAAGTCAAGGTGGGACTTTATTTATGGCATCGATTTCGTGGCGTATAAAGAAGAGGCTCTCGTAAAAATGCGAGAATTTGAAACGTGTTGAGATAGACGCAGGCTATTGGTGTTCCAACAAAAATTATCAATATACATAGATGTTCCCTAAACACCAAAGCTCTTGAGACGAAAGTTGAATAATGATCTTCACTTGTATGTGCCACCCTGATATTGCTGTAGGGCTGTCTTGGCGCTCGTACTTCGTATTTTAGTCTACCTATTTTGGGCATAGGTACCACTTGTACGTACAAGTCAGGGGTTATGTCCATTGCCTCATCATTCCGCCTGATTTCAGCCCCATTGGTAGTTATCGATCTTCCCGAGGTGATCTAGCTAAAAGGGAGAGTGGCCACATGGATGAATTCCTCCCAGTGTTGGACGTGGACTCGTTCGGGTATCCAGAGAAGCTGAATTGATGCAAGCCACGAATAATCGATTCGACTGTATTTGGATCGGAGAGGTCGACGAGAGACCATCTGCCGTCTCGAAAATACTTGAGCAGAATCCATAGTAGTATGAAAATGATCACCTAGATGTCAGGGGTGAGACATTGTTGCTTGGAGACGCTTGGACACTTACAATAAGATATGAAGACAGGAATGGCTCGACATAAAACCCGTTCCACAGTGCGGCGCCGTTAACTACCAGTAAAACGAACAAACATGCTATCAGTCCGAAATAGGCCGTGAATGGTTGCCCATTACTTATGTATGGGTAATCATTGTCGTCCCCTTCGTCAAATCGACGAACTCGCGGCACCTTCCGTTCCATGAGTTCATCCTTATGTCGATTGATGCTAACACATGTAAGCAACTTAGAGACAATGTGTCTGAACAGTGTCTTACCAGTTATAATACCGAATAAAGGCCCAACATTCGCAAGCCCAAACGATCAGAACACCTACACTGCCCATATCGGCGAGGATATCGATAAACTGATTTCTCTTAGCATAAGCTCCTGAACTGATAGGATGTGTGACTGTACTGATGTTATTCCGGATGTAGCACCTCCACCTTGACATTCAGGCGCAGCTGTTCCATCAAACGAATTGGTCTCCGTACCCTGACTTGATTCTGCAGAGGAGCGGGCAAGCTGTAGGAACGGTAACCATATAAAAGCAAGGGCGGAAACGGCCATTGCTCGAATTGGAACTCTGTAACTATTCGTCCTTCCAAGCCAAGCGAGGACATTCAGATACCAACGCTCGTCGGGACCGCCCTCAATCTGATTGATCAGACCGAATAGCATTCTTGAAGCAATAAAAAGATTGGTGTTGGCACACGATAAAGCAGTGAGCACGAGGAAACCATTGAATGCACTAGCTACCCCAGGGGCATGGGAAAGTTCTGCGGCGAGAACGAAAGCTGAAGTGACAGCGGCCTGGCTTTGATCAACCCAATCAACTCGTGGTAACTTCTCGTTAGTGGCGTCCACAGTGAGGGAAAGTAATAAACCGCATAATGTGTACGCGAAACAAGCGAATACGGAGATCCATTTTGCAGAAAAACGCACGGTGTCTCCTATGTTTCCCGTGTAGTTGAGTTGCTGGGATTCTCCGGACCCAGTAGACTTCATCTTCGGAGGCCTAGCCTCAAGGGCAATGGCTGCTGGAGTTTCAATGCCAACATATGCAAATGTCGCAATTGACAAACACATGCTAGGCGAATTGTCAGTCTTCATCTACCAAGGGGTATATCACGGCTTACTGACAATAGAGCAGTTACCCAATTATGAGCTGCGCAGTTGTCAAAATGAGTAGGGTTTTCCCAGTCTAAAATGTCAGTAAGTATTCTTCATGACATCCCGTTATAAACACCTCAGCACCAGGTGGGCGACGTGAACATAGTATAGGTACCTACTTGCAAGATCATGAGTTCCCCGAGCAGCTACATATCGTAATTAGCACGGCTTCATAAACTGATCCAAAGAGATTGCCTTACCGAACACTATCATTGAAATGATAATGATAACCAGGCAGCTGAGCTTGACCACAGCAGTGGCTACTTCGAACCATCCATATAGCTTTAGACTTCTCAGCGAGATTCTCGCGTATATTGTTTGAAGAGGGGAACTTTACCTCAACTCCGAATGAGTTGATCAGAATTAGTATCAGCGGTATGATCAGATACAATACCACCCCGTCAAATTCAGCACTGTCGAGCCAGAAGTGTATCTCGGCAGCTGTAGCTGAGATTAAGTAGGCAAACGCAACGGAGTATGTGAACCTGTATTGTGTTAGTTTCAGCCATGCGTTGTGTTGAGTCCCCCTTGACAGACCAATATGCGATGCCTACAACAATTCCGAGTTCATCATCCACAAATTTACGGACGAAGACGGCCAGAGCGCCGGGAACCGGCCAGATGCAGAGCAGCTCGGCGATTGATTGCATTACCACCCACGCCAATATACCCATTAGTAGAAAGGATAGAATAACGGCCAATGAACCACCTAGTTCCAAGACCTGCCCGCCGCGCCAGTAAAGCCCAGTTCCTAGGGTTGCGTTGATGGTAATCATCTAGCCTTCTTAGTTTCTGAGTAATAAATCTTAGGCGGAAGATGCTCACAAATATATGAATAGAGCGTAATTTCCTATGTGCCATCCTCCTCTTCATTGTTTCTGGTTGAACTGCAGATATTTCATGATAGCGAAGTTTGTCGTTTCTAACATTATCCCAGCCTTGTAGAACATTCGCCTGGGTGAGCCCCAGGGAATTGGTGTCAGAGCGTGAATTCAGATCCATGAGCCGTTTCTCAAGAATGAACGACCTATCGTGGAAGCCTATCTCCTAAGAATAGTTCCAGGTCTACGACTTTGATTCTCGTCACCCGTTTAATTTAAGAATTTTTGCAAAATAATTTAGGTATGGAATCACGAGAAAATCGAAGTGAGACAGATACGCAATGTACCTAGGTAACGGATGACGTGAAAAGCCTAGAGAGATATACCTACTTCCTGCGCACAAGGCAATCTAGTTCGCGCCCACCATTATATCATTGGGGGCTGAAAGGCTGCCGGCTGATCACCGCTGCGCCACGGTGCCCTGATGATATAAAAAACAACCAATGGTTGGAGGACTTGTCACTTATCTCGGTGAGCCGGTCTTTTGTACTGTGCACGAGGAAACGAGTTTCAGTGTGCTTAGGTGCCTTTTCCGTACTTCCCGGTCGAAACGGTACCTAATAGAAGTTGCCTAGTAATATTTACATACCTATAGGTAGGCCAGTAGCAATATTTATTCCTACCACTTCGTCTCAAAGCGTAGAAATAGGTTTCTAGGAAACCACTCATCATAATTCCCCAAAACAAGAAAAAATCTTTTGATCTTTCCATAACTAGAGCATTATAAGTGACGCGATGCCAGTGACACAAAACGTTCATTCGCGATACCTCAAAGAGAAAAGTCTGCAGGCGTTACTTCAGAGGCTGTTCCCAGGGCAGACTGATTTTAATATTCGGGTACATAATGGGTATAACAATGTGCTAATTGAAGATAAGTCAGGCTAACTGGCATAGCTGCGAGATGATCAATGGTGCTTTACTGTTCCCACCCAAGTCAGTGAGGTGAGTTTCGCTGACAATGCCCTTCTTTGGCATGAAGTCCTAACACCAACTCGATAGGATGACCTGAAGTAAGATGACCAATCAGTTACAATTCCTGTGGAGATGTCTAACGAAACCAGCGGGATCAGAGATACCTAATTATGCCTGCACTACGCTGAAATCTCTGACCGATCGTGGCGCATACTGGCCGCAGGCAGTGCAACGGTACCGCCGAAACAGATAAGCCGCGGCAGACCGGGTGGGGAGCTGAAAGAGGCGAGTTTAGTGTGCCGTATACATTTAGTTGATATTCAAATATAAACCATCTAATGTTCAGTTGAATATACACCATGATCTATGGGCTAGTTCCAGACAGAAAATGAGCATGTCGCAATTTACCAGCGAGAAATGTTTTGTTAACGAGGCCACTGGACCTATCAAGCTCATAGACGTGTTACTACCAAATCAGAGCAACGAAGTACAGTCTCGACGACAATTATACACTGTGCAGGAAATCGAGTCATATTTTCAGACTGCTAAGCCAAGAAACTATTCACATCGTCACCTGTATGTGGTTTAGGGGCCCCCTTATTAGAGATTCGAGGATTCTTTCTAACTTCCCCTAGATCTATATGTCAACGGACGTCATGGAGTCCCTTACAAACTACCAAGGAGATGCTCGAGCTCTTCGTATCCACGCATAACATAAGTAGTTCGTTCTGGGATCTCCCGTCTTGCTTTTATCATCGAAACAATGATGTGGAAATCAACCATTGCATCCCAGTCACTGTAATTAGGAATGGCTCTTGGGTTGGTGAGAATCAATATTGGAACGGTTTCAAAGGAATTGCTCTACTAATTACACTCAAGAGATTGGATATACGATCCGCTATCCCGAGTTGAAACCCGACGGGCAGCAATGGGCTATTCGCCAAAGTGCTCTCTATTATCGACATGATGCGAGTACGTCTCAGACTGTATCAGTGTTGTTCAGCCCAACGCCAAACTCCGCAGCGCATCAGAAGATAGAGGATTCCCTGCTTGGCATCGACTCTGGCTCAAGACCCCTATTTGATCCATGCCATATGCACGAAATCTTGTTTGCGGCGTATTTTCCAGCCTTCAGGCAATATATAGCTTCTTTAGAAGCGAAACTTCTACCTATAGTGAGTTTATCATGGATTCGTCATCACGGCAAGGCCATTCAATGGGCTGATAGATGTAGACAAGCACCACATTTTCCACATTTATCGATGAACCCTTACGCGTGGGATACGATAACTTGAGCGCTCTAGCAAGCCTTGAAAGCCAGCTTCTTCAGACATCGAGTTTCTTGTCCCATGGAAAAGAAGTATTGCACGAATTGTCGGCTATACTGGGTCGGGAAAAAAAGAATTTCCAAACGGCGGAGGCGCTTGATAATTATTGTCGTCAAGCTCTAGCTCATAGCCGTACCGCAACGCTCTTGCAACGGCGAGCAAACACTACCACACAACTTCTGACAAACACCCTGTCTTGCCATGACCAACTTCTAGCCAAACAGCAAAACGATAATATGCTGCGTCTGAATAAATCGGCCGTGTTCCTAACCACTCTAACACTTCTATATCTACCTGCTTCGTTCGTAGCCGTGAGTATGGAATACTACACCCTACAATTAAACTCCATGGATTTGACTTACCAACCGATAGACATTCTTCGGTATGAACTTCTTTAATTACGATGAACAAACAGGTCATCTTAGCAGCACTCCTGCAATTTGGATATATGTGCTTTCCTCCGTTATACTGACCATACTTACCTTCTCGGTTTACTACTGGGTCATACATCATGATGGCACGCTAGTTAAAAGAATGTCACCGAACATTAGTAGCTTTAATGTTGGGGGTTTGGGGACATTGGCCCGGCGCACTTTATCAATAAAAGGGGGATCTACAGGAGGGCCTGAGAACGTGCGTGCTTGAACAACTCATCGGAAAAATGGAGCTGGCTGAGACTTAGACGTGCTATTAAGAAATTGCTATTTTCTATCGAGGGTTTGGGAGGTTGATCCAATATATCGTGGTGCAATTGTTAGCATATGACGATACAATAATAACTCCGCCTTGGTTCATTGCACTAAGCCCCCCTGATCCCTGAATAGGAGGTATATCTTCGTTGCTAAGGAGCCTAGCGGCGAATTTGTCGCCATAACGAAGGTCGGGAAGCTCTTTGATCTCCCGAGGCTTCTCTATGCGGCCCGAGCGAGTAATAGGCAATTCTAATAGCAACATCATATGCTTTCCGGTTTTCCTTCCAAAGGCAAAGAGCCTTGACCGTTGTTTGTCTACCAACAGCTCGGCAATGGAATAATTCTGAAGAGTTGTGTTCTTATTGATGGCGTAACCATCTGTGATCCCAAAACTTCGAATAAGTAGTTGGTTTCCGTAGAGGACGATTGCCATTGTTGGTTTATTATCTAAAACTGCTAGGGTCGTAAAGAGGCCTGCGGAGTTGCCACTATCGAAATCCTGTGCTCGTTGGTTAATCAAGTTCCTATAGCCATCTCAAAGGATGCTCAGCAACTTACCTGAGGTTTTGAATTGAGGGGGTTTTCTATTGGTAAAGACACAACTGCTCTAGAGAGTAGTGACAAACATGAAACCCGGACATTATGTTGTCTATCTATATCCGGCTGGGCGACTGCACAGAGATAATCATCCGCTGGAAATAATAAATGTGTAACATTCCTCTCTGGCGCTTCCACGGAGAATTGGCCCCACAGGCTCCTGTGGATAATCTTATGCTGCAGTTCGTTGCTTGAGCTTAATGTGGTCTCAGAATTAATCCTGGTAAAGTGTAGGTAAATAAGGATTCTCATAAATTAGGTAAGTTATAGAGGCTATTATTAGGTACCTTTGAGTCCTATTTTGGAGCAGACTCCGGATGTCAGCATAACAGACCCAGGACTTGTCTTCGCCTTGGGGAGCCACACAGGCGATCATTTTACTGTCTGGAGATATGGCTATCTGATAAACGCCATTTTGGTTCGATGTCGGGAGCGCAATCTCGTATTTCTTATCGAAACTCGGTCCTGATCTATCGTATCTGTCCAAATCGAATAGGTAAAGCTGGAAATTGTTAGCGCTGTCTTCTACGACGGTATGAAGGCGCAACTTAACATACGTGGGGTTGAGAGCCTGTTGTTGAAGCAATAAGATACTTCTCGGTGAGTCTTACGCTTTTCCATTCGCCAGGGACATCAAGCTTATACTTAGCGACCTTATTAATTTCCCTTCCTTTATATGGTAGAAACGATTGCGCGTTATATAGGTTGATCCAGTCCCTCGTCCAATAGGCTATAATGACACCGCTATGCGAGATAGAACACCCAATGAAAGTCCTTGTATCGGCGAGCCGCCAACTTCTAATCTGGGTCTCCCCTAGGCCGTGTCTATGATATCAGAAACATTAGCAAGGAGGAAAATAAAACGAATGTATCGAAAAGAGACCCCAGACTTACCGATGAGAAATTACTCGCTTCAGTGGCGCAAATATCTTGCCTATCATGTCCGAAGGCCCCGACTCCTCGTCGCTCTCCATTTTCTCACTGAGTTTTTGGTAATCACCGGAGGCTTTGTGAAGTTTATCGCTAATAGATCTTGCGGATTCCCTTTGACCAGGGTCTAGCTGCAAAATCTTTTCTTCAAGATGCTTTAATATGTCCTCCACCGCGTTTCCTTCAATCGAATTTCTCTGTTTAGCTTGTTTGATAAGGCGTTTATGGCAATCTCTGACAGCTGGATGCAGTTTGGTTTTCGTGAAATTTGTATGACGAATGAAGAAAAAGTCACCACCTCCAGCTCCATGACTCTTGGAACGGTCAGAGCGTTCATTCGAATACGTATCGATACCCTTTTGCCCTTCTTCGTTGTACGTGAGCATAACACTGACAACACACCCTAGCGACCAGACGTCACTTTTTTCGTTCATCTTCCGCAAGTCATTGGTTGACTCAGGCGCAAGGAATGTGCCCTCAGCTCGCCGATTCACCGTCCCCGACATAATCGTCTCTTCCCTCTTCTGAAAAGCAATACTGATATCTCTGTAATCATTCTGACGCGAAATTTTAACACGTGACATGCCAAAGTCACTGATCTTGAAAATGAGCTTGTTCTGATCTCTCTCGTCACGGAAAACCAGAATGTTTGCTGGCTTGAGATCCATATGGTAACATACTATCGGATTGTGGTTTTGATCTCTAATTTCGGAATGGAGAAATTGCAAGCCATCCGCCAAGCCTGAGGCGCTCTGGAGAAATTCTGCTTTCTTTAAATCGTCAGTGGGCGGCGCATTCATCTTCATCCATTTCCCAAGGTCGCATTCTGCAAGAGGCATGAATAGGCTGAAAGTGTTCCCGCCAAGCTGAAGGCTACCCAAGGTCTCGAGGATGTTCTCGCATTTCCGAGTCGTGTACAGAATCCGCTTCATATTGTCGTACTCTTTCTGAAAACTATCACTTTTCTTGAAGTCTTTCCGTGCAATTAACCTGGGCTTATTATTTACCATAGAAGATCGGTTATCTCTCAAGTGTCCCGGAGCGACTTCAACGCTGTATACTTCGCCGTAAGCCCCTTCCCCGAGCAGTTTCTCATTGGATAGGTAAGGGAGTCTTTGCCTCCCGCCTTCAGGGACTTGGACATCCTCGCCCTGTAAAAGGACAACGGGACAAAAACAGGGTTGCGTGTCGATGAAACTATTGATATCGGGGTCATTATCTACACCGAGTATTTGCTGAAGCTGTGATCGGTCTGCTGGCAGTTGGCCGGGCCTGCGTCCTCCATCGGAGCATCTTGACCAAGCAGAGGGAGAAGGGATAAGAAGATTCGTGATGAAATTTCTAGCTGCTGCTATGCTACAGCGCGCATAGATCAAAGTAGCTAAGAAATCATGGAGTCGTCGCTCTGAAGTTCGAGAGACTAGTATCTCTGCAGTTATGCCAAGGCCGAAGTACTCTTCAATGGATTGAGGCACGACACTAAGGTATAAGTGATTCAGGATGGTTGAGTGGAGCACTTCGCGGGCGGTTCCAACCTTTGCGAAGCGCAGCTCGGTAATCTCACGTCTCTCAAGCCTCGCATGGATCTGCTTGTGCAACTCCTTGAGAATCTCGTCGTATGACGAAAAGGCCATCCGGTCGAAGTGCCGATGATAAGATAGGTACTTGTCGAATAACTAGGATCATTTGGCATAGTGGCGCGATATGTTCGTTTTATGGAAGACATATGTACCAGCGTCGGGCGCATTGGATTACGTTGCTTTCTGAAGACAGCGTAGTTGTAGGCGACTATTGAAGATAGGCGCCTCTGCGGCTGACTCCCCAAATCAGAGCTCAAGGGTGTACCTTATCGAAGCTGACTGTAGGAAGGATAGGAAGGATAGAAAATTATTTCCGTAAAGGGCTAGAGGGTCGACGGATGTTGTAGCTGTGCGATTTGTACGCCCCATCATACCCCTTTCTCGCGTTACACTTTGAGACAGTGTAGTATTTCCAATCGCACGGATTGGAGCCCTCATAAATTCCTCCAGCCTACTAGCTGCTAATATCAACTACCTATCTGTCTGTATCACGCGCCTCGCGTAGGATGCGTACCAATGTTCCCAAGGTCGCGGGCAACCAGATACGGATCCCTTATCATTATTGGTACTAACTGAGATTGCAAAAAGCAAAGCATACCTACCTAGGTAATCACTCGTAGATATATGCTTAGACTTTTCTACGCAAGCTACCTTACGATGCAACACGCCTCCGTTTAGCGAAAAACTCACACCAACTCGAAGACGGCCTATCCTTCCAACCATGTAGAAATAGATTAGAAACCAAAGAGTAAGCACTAAATCCAATATTTAAAAGCCTCATGGACGCCTTCGCTGTGTGCAGGGGTTCTAGAGGTAAGTATGAGCCTGCAAGGAAGGAGAGTACCTAATACCAGCAGATCTTACTGTATGAATCTGTTAGTCTGTCCAACCTCGTATCTAAGAGCTTAAAGTTGACAAGCTAGATCCTTGGGGAACTTGCGTAAATTCACATTGTTAAAAAAAAAGATTATATAAGGGATCAGTTCAACAACTCCTCAGTCACCTGACGTGCATTGAGGATCAGTTGCATTAGATAATCAGTCAGCTGGCAGTCACCAAACGATTACTTGCGTTCGAATGGAAACACAATTTATTATGTAAACATTAATATGTAGAACATTCTGTTTCTTTCAATTCCGGGTAAGGAATAAGAGCAATGCCTCACGTGAGCTTAGTATCAATTGAAGCTTCCGTCATATCACCATCTAAAAATGTCACATATGACGCGGGCCGACCGTAGTAAGTTAAGATGGCACTGATCGCATCGAGCCGTTCGTAGATCTAAGGTTGGAGCCGGCGATGATGGCGGGGTTGGAGATATTGGAGATTTGACCCTCCTCCGCCTCCTCCGCATTTTTACCCCAGACGAACCAGGGTGGATCGACAGCGTATGACGCCCGATGAGCAAATCGTCGAACTTTCGAACGAATAGATCTTGAGATTGTTTAATGGGATGTTGGTCTCGCTCGCACATCGTTGCATGGCTGACATCGAACATGAAGTCATTCGTCACGAGACATCATGAGATGGATGGCCTGTCTAGGAATCTAGCTCTATTATATAGATTGCAAGTTTTCCTTCGGGCCTTGCAAGCTTTTGCTAGCATTCTTACCATCTGACATTGGAAAGCAATCAACACCTTATATCAAATCAAAACACAGACTTCGAAGAACAATTTCAATTATGTCTGCAGACGGACACGGACTTCCCGACAACGCGGTCATGGAGGCTCACGACATGATGCACCATGCCGAGCAAGAAGAGCACGAGCACGAAGCCGCTATGAAGCGCGGGATCACCGATGACATGGCTGAAGCCGAATACGACCTAATACACGGTGCCGAGGAGCGAGCGGCTCGGGATGAGGTAATATTCTGCAAGATCTAAGATACCCGACAGCGATGCCAACTGCTAACTCTCTAATAGAGGAGACGAAGGGGGTCTATGACCAAGGTCAAGAAGACCATAGAAAAACTCATCCCTGGGAGACATTGAAATATCTCAAATGATTTCTGTCGTCATAATGTCTAGTTATTTACTGTACAGTACCTATGTTGTCGCGGTCCATTTGGATGATATCCTATGTCTCTTAAAGGTCTAACTGTTGAACATCTGGAAAGACCTACAAAAAATACCTACCTATGTATCAAATACTCCTCGATCAGGTTTAGTTGTACAACAATTTCATTACCGTTCTGCTGAACTTTCGGACTTGATGTTCGTGACTAGGGCAGCTTAACACAGAAAGGGGATGTGCTGCTTAATTCTAAATCCCTGTAGGCTTAAGCACAGGGACAGTCGACGTCTTATATCTACTACCATTTTCACCCAAAAGGATACATTGAAATCGAGCTCCGAAGCAAAGTATACCCTACCCTAAACTAATGCTTCCAAGAGCTTGTCGTCAGTTATGGGGTTTAGGCTATTATGGTACAACACACTGTTACTACATCACGGAACATAAAACTGGCCTCATCCAATCAGCACAAATAGCCCCGCACATCAGAGCGCAATTCTCCGACTACTTAGTATCTATGAAGGAGGCAAGTGGTACCGATTCATATGGTGTTACGTGTTTGGTGGGTGGAAGCTCGAATTTACGTCTTCTAGAGCGCTGTGTCGTGCAAAGTGAGGGTTGAGCCATTCGGTGCAACAGATCGTATTATATAAAGTAAACCAGAGCTAAGCGATACGACTGATATATTTTCGTGGTGCTGTCGTTAATACGTAAGGAGCGCAAAAATGGCCACAGCTGTTGCGACGACGCAACTCCCCCTTGCGTTCGAATCGCGCCTGGAGGGGTCTGTACAGTCAACTCATTCCAAGAAACGTCACGACGTGCCGACGAGCATCAACTATTATAAGGACCCAGGTGACGGTTCTCTACCGATGCCCATCGTAATCGCCGAGTAAAGCTGACTTCCCTCAAACTTTCAACATAAGAGCAAAAGCTGATCGGCCCCAAAGAAACACCGTGAAGAACGAGCGTCCGCACATACCACAGCAAGTAACCATCCACGACGTAACGGGCGAAGAAGAAAAGTACGCCCTCGACAGCCACGGGTTCCAATTCCTACGGCACGAGAGCAAGCTCGAGTCCCTAGAAGATTTCCAAGACGAAGAGCTCGTCAAATCCGAGTACTACCCAGAGTCGATACAGCTATTAAAAGACATGCAAGCTCCCCTTCCCCCTCCCTCTTTCTCTCTCTTTCTTCCCTTGCCTTCAGCGACCATACGACGCGGCATAGCTAACACACGAGCACAGAACCGGCGCATCCCGCATCTTCATATTCGACCACAAGACGCGCTGCGGCCCGTCGAACTGGCACAAGCTCGGCAAAGGCAACCGGTCCTCGCGCGGGCCCCTGTTCCGGGCGCACGTAGACCAGTCCTACGACGGCGCGGAGCTCGTCCTGCGGCGCTGGTTTCCGGACGAGGCAGACGAGCTGGTCAAGCGGCGGTACCAGATCATCAACGTGTGTTTCCCACCTTTCCAATCCCCATCCCCTTCCCTCCCCTTTCCCTTTCCCTTCCCTCAGCCCTCATCCAGAAAACAAAGCTCACGCGTAGCCAAACCCCCCTAGCTCTGGCGACCCATCCGACCCATCGCCAAAGACCCGTTCGCCGTCGCCGACGCGACCACGATCCCGGACGCGGACCTGGTCGCCGCCTCGATCATCTACCCGCGGGACCGGGACCGGGACGAGACGTGGACGATCAAGCCGCGGCCCGCGCACCGGTGGTACTACAAGCGCTTCCAGCAGCCCGGCGACGTGCTGCTCATCAAGTGTTTCGACTCCGACGCCGCCGTGCCCGCGCGCCGGGCCCCGCATAGCGCGTTCGAGGACCCGGACTGTGAGGACGCGGAGTCTAGGGAGAGCATCGAAACGAGGGCTTTGGTTTTTTATGATTAGGCAAGGATTAGGGATTAGGTATGCTGCTGAAATATTGACTGTGTATCAATTGTTGGTAGGAATTACGAAGGTATTATGAGTTTTCAGAAATGAAACAAGGGGTGATTAAAGCCTAAACATAAGTCATCAAGCCACGCACTCAAAACTTACTTGTAACCGGGAAATCAATTTGGTATCATGCTATCCGTATCACTAACATCATTCTCATCACATAAAACTCGTCTGCTTCCCATCCTTCACTCGTCATCTCATTCTCCATTCCACGGCTTAGATGGGCTGGGCAACGGGCTCGTCTGAACGCGGGGCCTGCTCTTGAAAACAGCCTCGTAATCCACCTCATCGTCTTCCATAAGCTCCTCGGCGATCGACGTGTCATTCATATTCTCCTCTTCCAATCTAGGGAAGTAGTTATCCTTCCTCGGCACTATCTTGCTCTTCCTCTCTGACCGTCTCCTTTCCAATCGTGCCTTTTGTTGTGCCGCCTCGAAACCCGCCATAGACCGTCGGGTTCGGGCCACTAGGTCTTCATACTCTTCACCCCTTTCTGCGGTGCGATTCGTAGTGTTATCGGAGCTACTTTGCGTGTGGTTCAGTTTTATGGGGGATAGCTGAGTTAGGTCTTCGTCTTTTTCATACGACTTCGTGCGCGACATGGACATGCGTGTCCTCTCGGCTAGAGACAAGGTGTGGCGGTGCTTCTTCATTGGCGAGGGTGATGCATTCAACATATTTGCCAATATCTCATCGGCCATAGCTTGGGTAGGAGAAACAGACTCTGGAGAGGTCGGCATGGGTTCAATTGTCTTGCTCGGTTGCGTCAATTCGGTGGGTGAAGCATCACGAGAAGGAGCCGTATACGAAGTTGAAAATGACGCTGTGTTCTCCGGCTCGGCTGGCTCTTGGCTTTTATTTCGAGACTTTGCTGAAATGAAGGATTGAGGTATCGCAAATCCCGGGTTTTCTAGTTCTGGTGATAGACAAAGGTCGTTGGTATCTTGATCGTATGAGGCTTCAGATAAAGATATTTTCGGTATCTGCCCTCTGGTTTCGACGGTAGACTTGGGACGGTTGAGGCGATAACGGCGTCCAACCGGAAGCTTCGCAATCTTCTCAGCCGGTCGTTTATCCTCTGCCTCATCCTCCCATTCACTAATGTCGGAGATTGGGTCGGCCGCTGGCTGAGGTGCTGCCAGGTTCGCATTTGTGTCAATGACGGAACTCCTTCTTGACCCCCCGAGAAGGTTAGAGAAGTCGGGAATTTTCGGTTTTCCGATGGCATCAAGCTCGGCCTTCATGTTATTAAGGATTCTGGCATACTGAGGTGGTGGGACGCTGAGAGGGACTCTGTCCTTCGCGTCTGTCTTGTCGATGTTTAAGTGTAGATGAGCTGTGAAGTTGAGATCAACACTCTTCGATTTACCCTTATTTTTCGAGTCCTCCGCGGGTGGCTGTGGCATATTTCCAAACATTTTCTTTCGAAAATCGTCCCACTTCTCCAATCTTGCCCTCTGTACGCGGACTCGGTTGTCTAACTGCTCCAGTAGACCAGAATTCTGGTCTTCGAGGTCGGAAATTCTCCCTTCATGAATGCCGGCCCAAACATCGTCGAACTTAGTACCTAGCAGCCCACCTTTACGCGACGGAGTATCGTTAAGCAATAGTGAGTCGATCCATTGGTCGTTTCCGGTCCAATTAGTCTTTACGATTTTGTAGACTTCTTTCTTCACTTTTTCCGACGTTTCGGCCACGCTTCGCTCGGTATCTGCTTTGACTTGCTCTTTTCGTTGATCAATGCCTTGTTCCTTCGATGCCAGCAGCTTTTCGAAATCACGATATTTCTCTCGCGCAGCATTCTTCCTCGTCAATAAGGAACGTAGAGATGCCTTGTGAGCTAGCAATAGTGCATTAAGCTCGGTACGGTCCCCGGAGTAACCCCAGTTCTCTAAGGAGATATTCTCCGAGAAAGTAGGCCGGTATTCTGGCCCTGAATTGAGCGCTCGCTCTGCCACCAATTTCTTCAATACCGCCGAGGAAAAGACAGCCAGGACTTCTTCGAGTCTTTCGCCTTTGCATTCATCTAGCATGGTCTTTCGCAACACGGCATCGCGACCGAGGACGCCATTTTTCTTGGCTTGCTCGAGGCCCCGGAGCAGAGCAGCTCGAAGGTTGGTAGACTGTATCTGATCGAGGGGCGGAAAGAAAGGGCGCAATTTCTATAAAGCATTAGAACACCTCGCTTCGTCGCTAACACACAATGACATACGTTTTGAGTCTCATTGTAGTCCCAAAGGGTGAAAAGCTGGTATAGAGCCCATTCCACGCACTGAATCCGCTTCTTCTGCCCGCTCGCGGCATCCTTCGCGGAGAAGGTCGCGAGAGTTATTCCCGGCCAATCGGGTTCGAGATCAAGGTCTAGCAAACGTAGGTTTGTAAGGAATAGAGCTATGTTAGAGGTTGTGGTAGGTATCTGAGGCGAGCTGGTGGTAGCTGAGACAGGCTGAGGGGCGGTCAAGGCAGTTTTGGCGGGGACGCGTAGCGATCGTGATCGTGCCGCCGACGTGTTGGCTTGCTGAAGCGACATCGCGGCATTGTTGACGATGGTTAGTAGGAGGAGGTTTCTATGCTGCCATACGTATCGATGGGTAGGACTTCCAAGTAGGTATTGGAACGTACAATTAGTCGAATAGTTTCCCGTGCCTCCGGAATAAATAGATGTAGGATGGTGGAGCTGTGAATTGTTGGAATTGTTGATTTATCCAGCGCTCATGCGTCAATGGGTTGTAACGGTCTTATCGATAAGACCTCGATCCAGCCAGCCTTTCCTTTTCGGGCTATACGGTGGATTAATTACTAGTTGCTAGTGTCAATCAACCCCTGAGGTTTAGCCAATCGTCTCCCTAGCCCTAAAAACTTCCCGAAAGTTACCAGCCTCCAGGGCCGTCTACAGGGCATTGTCATTCTATCCACAAATGTGTACGACGTGAGACTTGACCAGGTCACCACCTTCTTGGTACTACGATGCCACCTCATAAGAAACCTGTTCTAGTCGTCTTCATTCTTGCAATGGTAGATTCCTGAAGTGGCTCCTAACATTGTAGGTAAAAGTTTCTAGACAAAGACACCAATAAGAATCAAGGAATTATACCTTACACCGAGCACATACGGTAGGCCAAGGCAAGAATATCAAAGAAAGGATGTATATAACTCGAATCCATTCCGTGGCCTTTCCCTTTAGTCGTCCGATCATAAACCCGTAACCCGGCGCCGTATACTCCAGGTCTCACGAATCCCTCCTAGAGAATTCGAACTATGAATACCAAGCCCCTCCATCTTCAATATCTCGACCTTCATTTAGCAATATAGGTATGTAGCTAGGGAGTGTCTATACGTAAGGCCTATGTACCTATCCATCCCTACCAATCCAAGCCCACCGCCACCATTCCGCCTAACCCCTCCGCCCCTCTTACCGCTACCACCATATCCGTCCATCCACCCAGATCTTTTATACATACGTCCCTACTACCACCGCCACCACCACCAAAATCCCCAGCTCCTCCAGCCTCATCTCCCACACCCCCTAGAGCACTCCCCCTCCGTCACGCACTTGCAAGCGCCGCACGTGCCCGCGAGGATGATCGTCAGCTCGCCCGACACGGGGTCGCAGTGCGCGCCGTTGTTGCTCGCCGAGCACATCGCCGTGACGCCGGGGGACCCGCAGTCGAGCCGCCACGACCGCGGCGCCTCTTCGCGGTCTCCCGACGCTTCCGCCGCCGGCCGCGGACCAGGTCCCGGGGCAGGGGCTGGGGCCGCGAGGACGAGGGCGGCGGCGGATTGGAGGGTTAGGAGGAGGATGGATTGTGAGATCTAGGTAGGGAGTTGGAGTACGTAGTTAGCTTTAGTTGGCTTTCGTGCTTGGGATGTAATGGGTTGGTTTGGGTCGAAAGCAAGGTGAGTCGGCGAGGAGATGTACCTTCATCTTGCTGTGCAGTTTACAGTTTATCTTCTAGCTGTAATTCTCTAGGCGTCTTATCGAGCGTTACACAAGGGCTCTCGTATGGGTAAGTTTATGGTAGACCAAGAAGAGAAGAAACGTCAAGCCGCAAAGATGATCGGCGAAGTCGTTGACTTATCTAGTAGAGATTTACGGACGTAGGCAACCAGGGAGGCATTTGACATGGCACCCTACCATACTACATGCCACCAACACAGGTAGCAGGGACATATATAGGGAGATATAGATATATATCCCAGCATACCCGTGAGCCCGGTCTCGACTCTCGCCTCCTAGACCGACTACCGCTTGCGGCCGAGAAAGCCTTGCTGAGCGAGGTCTGGCCGGATGTAACACAACCTCGGGGAGGTAAGGCGTACCGAGTGGCTGGCTAAGTTGACATCTATTTACGAGATGTCCTAGAAGCTAGATTTGTTGATAATTAGCCGGAGAATCGCTAATAGATGACATGTGATAGGATCGTTTAGCATGAATGGAAGCCGTCAAACTTACATTTTTGACTTGTTGGGCCAACGTGATAGGAAAAGTTGGGATAACAGTCAGTAAATAACTACAATTTACCTGGGCTGGACAATCGCGAAATTCCCAGAAAGGGCGTACACTGATACCCTGACATACAAAAGCTTCATCAGAACATCAATCCAACGTGACATTCCTCATACAAGAAACATAGACGTATGGCCATTTTCAGGTCGGCCCTAAGAGCTTCTAATAATACGCAAGTGATGTCCTTATTAACTCACCGGCACCTGGCAGGCCGACGCCCGAAAGTAGCGATCTCATTTATCCATATTGCAAACGACAGAGGAGTTATCGAGATCGACTACGTGGAACTACAAGTCCCCGGATGCCCGCGAGTCCTTATTCGGACGTGAACCCATACGCACTTCCTCGATCTGATAGACCGAGGCCGTCGTCGCGACAGCCATAGCGATCGGAACTCGGCATCAGATCGTCGCCCCAATCGTCCGTGGCTGCAAGCGACCTGATATCAGAACTGCCACGCCATCATTCAGCTACTTTACGTCAGTAAGTATGACGAGCATTCGTCTCCTCCAATTATTCTTATCACACAGGCATCTTCTATACCGTGGCGGTTTTTTATAAGGGCAATGGTTATTAAGCTACATACCAAGCTACCAAGACACCAACCCATCCAGCCATGGGCATACCTAGCATCCAGTATCAAGCACAGTTTCGCCAGTAGACTCCTGCATTTACGTACAGCCAATGTACTCTCCTAAAAGCAATATGGAACCGGGACGGCGATCGGGAATTTCGTTTTCTCATTTTCTCGTTTTCTATCTTTCATCGTTGCGACCCATATCAGCAGCCAAGCACAGGGCTCAGGTGGATTGAGAACAATATCTCTAGCTAAGGGCCGGTCGAGATTAGATCAATGAATACCGAATAAACCCTTCAACTCCGCAATGGTTAATCTGCCAACGCCTTGGGCGCCTTCTTCACTTAGGGCTGCATTGACAAGCGTGCGCTTCTTCTCCTGCAGGTCGCGGATACGGTCCTCGACGGTTCCTTCAATTAAGATGCGGTGAACCGTGACGGCATTCTTCTGGCCGATGCGATGAGCTCGGTCAATGGCTTGTTCCTCAACAAACGGGTTCCAGAACGGTTCGATAATGATGACGTGAGTCGCCGCAGCAAGGTTCAGGCCTGCGTTGCCGGCTGACAGACTAACCAGCATGACCTGGACGTCAGGTGACTCCATAAACTTCTTCACGGCCTTGTCCCGGTTCTTGTGGTCCATACTTCCATCGTAGCGCACGTATTTGAATCCTTGGTCGATTACCGGGATCTCAAGTAGGTCGAGGAAAGACGTCCAGAGGGAGAAAATGAGCGTCTTGTCCTTAGGGTTGTTCTGTCTGATATCGCCTAGTATCTCCATTGTCTTGTCAATCTTGGCGCTTGGAACCCAATCCCTCTTGAGCTTCCTGAGATATTTGGCTTTCGCAGCTGCATTGGTAGAGCTAGCCTTCTTCAGGGCTCCCAATGACATGAACTTGGTCTTTCTCTTACGTCGCTTCTCGCCAGCTGCGCCCTTGCTCTTCTTTCTTGACCCGGTAGATTGCTTGTCGGTAGACCGCTTGCGTTTGCCATTGGAACGAGTCGATGGTTTCCACTCATCCGAGTCCGATGATGAATCAGGTGTAATCTTGCGCTTACTAGATTCGGCGGGACTCTCCTTGGTTTTGATTGAACCAACTCGTCTTCGTCTCCAGATTTCGTCCAGAGACACCAGAGAATCGGAATCGGAATCATCTGCGAGATCCTTCTCCACTGATTCCTCTTTCTTAATAGCCTCCTTCAATGCCTCATCCTTAGACTCTGAGGGCTGTCTAGACTTTGTGTCTTCGGGCGAATGATCGTCGGACTCGGCATTCTCGGAATCTTCAGCGTCGCCTTTGCCAGTCTCGTCTTCATCTACCTCGTCATCCTCGTCCTCGCTACCAGACACAATAAAATCCTTGAGATTTCCACGTTCGTCAACGTCATCCTCGTCATCGTCATCATACTCCGAATCATCATCATCCGAATCGTCCGAATCACTAGCGTCCGCTTCAAGCCTCTCAGGCATGTGGATTTCCAGGAAGAAACAATAGCAGATAACCTTGTCAGATTTGACCTTAGTTTTGCAGCCCTGGTGGGGACAAGTGAGTTCTTCATGGGCGTCCTCGGCGTCTGGTCTCTTGACTTCTGTCAAGACCGAAAAGCAGGTGCTACACAACGGGTGGCCGCAGGGGTAGATGAGAATCGGATTCTTGGTGGTCGATTGGCAAAGAGGGCATTCAAATTCATCTCGACCCTTAAGTCTCTCCACAATCCCCTTTCTGAGCTTGGATGCAAGCTTGCACATATCGTCCGACGAGGCTTGTATACCTTCCGGAATACCGAAGTCTCTGATAAGGTGCGGGTGACAGCATGCTTGACGTAGACGGAGGAGCAACACCAGTATGTAAGTGTACTGTCTCATAATCATGCCCTTCTTCAGGAATCGGTTCACCTCAAGTTGCTGCTTATGTTCAAGGGCAAGGTAGAAAGCCTTCTCGTCCTCACTGAACTGGGTCATGGCATCCTTCTTTTCAAGAGGCGGCAATCGAAGAATTGGTTTGCCATCGAGCACGCTGTTCTTGGTCCGTCTCAAAGTGATGCTTCTGAAGAGTGTCTGAAGCTTTCTCATAGCCCTGTCACCGGCATCGCCACCCCAATTCTCAATTGGCTTGTTGATATCCCAGTTGAATCGGAGCCATTCATCGTAAGGTTTGATCCGAAGAAAACGGATGAGGGCATAAATTTCTCCGACCTTGTTCATGAACGGAGTACCCGTCATACAAAGCCGGTACTTCGCCTTGATCATGGCTGTACCCAGTGAAGACTTTCCCGTCTTAGTCTTGATGTGGTGAGCTTCGTCGAGAATTACTCGATGGAAGGTGACATCATCGTTTAGAATGATCGGCTTCTTGGTTCTCTTGCCCTCGGCGATCGCTTTATATTCCCAAGCGATTGTCCCGTAAGTGGTCAGCACGACGTCGTAAGTGAGAAGCTTGGCAACAGTGATTCCGCGTTTGTCCGCGCCATGATACAGGAGTGTCTTCAGCTTGTACGCAGGCTTCACCTTGGACTCAATTTCCCGCTCCCATTGCTTCAGTAGGGCAAGTGGGGCGACAATGAGTGTGGTCTTGCGGGTAGGGTCCGTGGACGGGTGTGCCAAAATCAAGGCAAGCGACTGAACGGTCTTGCCCAAACCCATGGTATCTTTTTAAGTAGTCAGCGTCTTCTTTCATGGTCAAGTTTGGTAGATGATTTATAAATACCTGCTAGAATACCGCCTCTCTTGTTCGGATCATCCTCCTGTTCCATCAACCAGCTAAGGCATACCTTTTGGTGGTCCATTAGCGTACAAGACATGGCAACAGGCGTAGCCTTTCGTTGCTCGGGAGGGATGTCAATTTCGGGCAAGCGCAAGAGATGTTGCACTGCTTGACGTTCATGTGGTTCATGTTCCTGCGCATTTTGCAGATGCCATAAAGGATCAGGATGACTATCGTCGTCTCCAAGTTGGGAATAATCCGGTTCATCATCTTGGTCGTCATCGCCATTGTAGTCATCGTGGTCAACACTGTTGGCGCTGAAAGGAGTTGGCGGGCGAGCAGCGAAGTTAGGATCTAGGTGGCGTAGAAGTTGTTGTGGCTGAAGCTGAGGCAGCTCAGGCAGCTCAGGATGGTCGGGTTGATAAGGCTGTTGAGACTCACCATGCTGCTTAGGCTGGCCAAGTCGGCTTTGGTCAAAAGCGCCCATCGATGTCTGATATTCTGAGACAAGTTCAGGTGCACGTCGCAACATGTTAGAAACATCGGGTAGAAAATCCTCAGCAGGTCTATCGGACGCCATGGTGGATAAGAATTGCCGGGCAAGCTCGGGTCTGCCCGGAAAGCGGTCCTACAAGAATTCAGTTAGTACTATATCAGAATTTAGAATATCGCAATTGATGCGTCAGTAGATGCGAATCTCGAGTCTCACCTTAATCTTTGCTGCAAACTGGTGGATAATTCCGATTTCAGGTAGTTCCTGTTTTATTCTCCTTCGGTTTTGCGAATGTTGCTGGTGAATAGGTTGCTGGGTTTGGTATTTGTGGTGTTGCCGATGGGTCAGATTGTATTGGGAAATACCGTCAGCCGGTTGTTGTAGGAATTTGTCGTGATGTTTTTGATGCAAATGATCTCGGCGCAATGGTTCTCTGGCCCGTTCCCTTGCGCGGCGCACTTGTTGCTCGCGTTGTACTCGTAAATGCTCTTTTCGTATACGTTCCTGTTTCTTATGTTTTTCGCGCAAGTATTGATCAGTCATAGATCGGCGATGATTGTTGTTGGTAGAACGATCAAGGTGTGCATGGTTAAGAGGTGGGATGTGGGTGGAAGAGTTTGTAGAAGTAGGTTCACGTTCGAACTTTTTTGCACGTTGCTGATTCAACACACTTTGTGTTGAGGAAGAAAAAGGCGGCGGTGGCATTGTGAATTTATATTGTGACAGCGTGATATTTTGAGTTTTTTTTCTACTAGGTGCCTAGAGGCAGGCACAATGTAGGCACGGTAGGCACTGTAGAATATGTATTGGAAGGCAAGTGCGGCGTGTGCAGCAGGAGCGGCAGGCTCGATGCTGCCGTGGCCACACCAGGCTGCGCCTCTAACGCCTATTGGAAATTATCGCGTTAAGGTCTCTAAGGTTGAATGTTAGGCTGAAATTGTATTCATCAGGATTACGGCTGCAGGTGCAAACCATTTCTACTGGAGGAGGGAGGTACACGCCGTCGTAGGTTTCGCAAGGCTTGGAGCTGCCGCCGTTTGTATGGCAAGTGCTTGGGTACAAACGAGAAGTTTAGGAAGTGACTGTAACATCGATGCCAGGCGAATGTGAACCGGTAGGTCGGTTCGTGCAAGACCTCCTGAAGATTGACGCGCAGGCTCGCGTAACCACGTGCATGCTTTTTGCAGGGTTTCTAGAACAGCCGGAGCCTGCTTAATCTGTTTCCGGACATAGTACCCACTATCCACGTTACCGTAGGTAGCAGTACATATCGAGAGGTACCTACGTACCAAAAGCAAATTCTCTAACTATTAAATACCTACTACTGTGTACATCATTTAGCCTCTTTTGTCAAGGGCAGCATCAAACTTTCATTGACCTAAAAAAGGCACTATATCTAATTTAGCATACTTTTTGGTACCTAGTGGGTACCTAGTGTGTACCTAGCTTAATTTAAAGCCATTTCGATATATTGCTACACCTTTAAATTCCTTTTTCAATCTTTAGACCTCCATGAGATATCATATCTCGTAGATATTCAAATGCAGCCTACAGATGTATGCAACGCCTTCTGAGGATGACGTAACACGTGCAGTTGCGAACCAAGATGGGTAGGGGTCAATTATCGGTCTCCACAGCGGGAAGACCCTGGCGCGCAGACACGGGTAGTGGGTCAAATCCTCCGAGACCCCCATAAGGTTACAGTATTATGCAGTATGCTAGGCACGTACCAATGATCGATCACCTATAAAGATCTAACGAGCAGGGGGCAGAGCGTAGTTAATCGTTGTGAATTAGTATCCTGAGTCACCGGTGGAACCGGCTTCCTCCCTCAGTAAACTCCGTAGCTAGGTACATGATTGTCTGTCGCACACAGTTCGACGAGACGAAAGACTGTGCTGAAGATGGAACTAGTCAATCGGACCAACTTCTCCCATGACTTGATGTAGGATTCTCAACTTTGCAACCATCTGCATGGCGATATAGGAACGTTCTAGCGCGTTCAGTCTTCTCACCCTAGCCTCGAACTCGTCACCCACGAGTTCGACGCCGCCAATATCGTCCAAGCCTTCAAAGTGATTGTCACCAGCATCAACGGCTCCAAATGCCTCGGGCTCTTCCAGTTCATCAAATTGTTGGCCATCATCAGCGACGACTGCGGGGTTCTCGGGTTCTCCCAGCTGCTCAAAGTGGTGGTCATCACCGACAACGGCTTCTTGATCCTCAAGCTCTGCCAGTCCCTCTGAGTGGTGGTCATCATCAATGACGACTTCGGGATCTTCAGGCTCTTCCGGTTCCTCGAAGTGGTTGCCATCATCGGCGATGGGTGCGGGTTCTTCGGGAATTGCCAGTCCGTCGAAAAGAAGTAAACTGTCCGCGCGGGTCACGTACATCCTCTTTTTCTTTTCCTTTTTGTCCTTCTTCTTCTTAGGGGATTCATCCTCCTCATCCTGTTTCTCATCCCGGCGAGCAGAAACTCGCCTCCACATCTCACTAAAAGAGAATTAGTATGGGCAATCATACTAGTATAGTAAATAAAAGACTAGGTAAATTTTTATAAACTTACTAGTAAGAGCGACTAGGAAGAAGTTGGTAGCCTTTATGTACCATGTCATCGTAAACATTGCCCCAATTCGTGACCTTGCCAAGTCGCCATTTCTCTGTCGGGAGGGTTAATTCTCCATGAGTAGCAACGCTTCGAATAAAATCGATCTTCATAGGCCGGGGCCATGCGGCCCCCGCCATCTTGTCAAACTAGTAGTTACGACACTGATGATATTCACTGGTAAGTAAATCGACCCAGAACAAATTTAGAACAAGACTATGCATGATAGCGATGTTTAGAAGAACTTACGACGAATATGTGAGAGGTAAAGGAAAAGTACGATATAGTTATAAACGCGCGCGATGGATGGTGGGTGTGGTTGTAAACGCGCGCCGATGGGTGGTGGATATGGTAAGCGATGATGGGAGAAGTGAGAGATGTAAACATTGCTGATTGCAAAGGGAATCACTTAGCTTGAATTGAATATTCTGCCAGGTGGTGTGTAATTATTTCTCTACGATATTCACTGCCAGGTAATATATCATCGTCGACGACATGTTCCTCCTCTCGTCCTAAGTAGGTAGGGGTATGCTTCTATTTGAGAGTAGGTATTATCTCCACCGTCAGTTACCTACCAATATGTCCAAGTAGTTCTATAATGGCTCTTGTTCATAGAAGTAGTATCTATATTAATGCCTCCAATCTCCCAGCTACTGTTGTGAAGTTCGATGACATAAATATCACTAGATTATTGGCCATTAGAGTCAACAAGATAACATGAGATATTACCAAAATGCACATATGCATTAATGTCGACTCCTGAGATCAGTATAAGTACCTTTGTCGTATTTATTCTGATCTGGCATCCCCTTTCTTAGACACTAGAATGGCCGATTCCTTTGACCGGCGGTAGGGAGAAGAATCACAATTACAACGGATGACTTGATGGATTAATCTCAGAATAGGTATAAAACATTTTTAGCGGTACGTTTTTAAACCTACTTTGCCTTGTGTTATTGTCACAGGAATGCGCTAACCTAGGTATCAATGATGCTTCTTGTCAACCAGAATTGAAGTATTGTAGATGCTTAGGTGTATCCTACATCCCAATTCCTATATAGACAACCGGCAGTTAGAGGGGTATTTTATTTTCAACTATGATACTGTATTGCCCCAGTTAAAGGTCCTATGGAGTGGTTTGGTCTATAATGGTTTCCTCACTTGCCAAGATTTATAATCTCTATCGAAGTCCCAATTCAGTAGGTAAAAATCGGCTACAAGATTGAATTTGATGGCCGGAGTGGTATGGCGGTGCTTACACTCTAGCTCATTGTTATAGCTGTGGTTTCGTTGGCAAGCACTCGCCTGAGAGAGTCCGAGTCCTTATCGGCCAAATCAATCTCTCTATCCTCCTCCTCCTCCTTCTTCTTCTTCTCTTTTTTTTTTTTTTTTTTTTTTTTTTTTTTTTTGGTGTGTCAATGAGCCCCTTTTTCCGAGAATCCATTTTGATTTCGCCCATGCCGCGTATAGCATGGGAGTGCATACAGAAATATGAGAAAGATTTAAGTAATCCCTTCATCCCAATAGATATCACGACTGAGCTGGCATTTAAATCTAACATTGATAAGTTCTTGATGGCAACGAATAGTAGTGTCAATAGCGACAGATACAGGCAGGGCATCAAAAGCCCCTATTGAATATCTCACACAGTAGCACCCCTTCCAAATCGTCGTCTCATCCTCTAGTAGTGGTAAGTCAGGGTGTGAAGAGCATTGCGGGCTTAGACTTCAAACCATACATCTATATCTTCAGAATAGGAGGTTGTATTTGCATTATCCATTATAGACTTATATCAAGTTCCGAGTCTCATAACATCCATCATAGCCTCGTCGCTAGAGCAAAAGAATGCCATGGATATCTTGAACCTACTCGAGATTCCTAAAGCGTTCCTGTTTTTATGTATTTTGGTATGGCAAATCCTTAATCGGTCTCGAAAAAGCTCGCCGTTTTCTTCAAGATGGACAGATCGATGAGTCCCATGACGCGTCCGTCAAGCCGTCGCACACTCTCGTCCCAGTACCAGTACACGGCGCCGGCTGCTACAGTAACAGCGATCTGTGTGATCCCTATTCCTAGCGTAGCCGCCTTTAGGCCATCCCACATGAAGATAGCGTTAGGTAGGCCTAAAATAAAAGCGCCTACGACAAAGTGCCGTAAACATGTTAGACCGCCGTGCATGTCGGCCGTATTGCGTAGACCAACCGCAAGATTGGCCGAGGTAAAAGCCGTAGATCTTTGGATGATCGGTCGAATGGTGGCGTCGAGCGCGAGAGACCCTGCTGCCAGAAGCCCAAGCAGGAAAGACGCGACTGGCAGACTGACCCGGTTTAGCCCTAAGTCCCATGGCGTGCTGAATGGTTTGGCCGAGCCATCTGTCGGCATCTCCATTGATCCCGCAAGGTACAGTCCAAATCCGAGCATACCAATTGAAGCGACACCGGTACCGACAGCAAGAGTTACTAGATGGACGATCGGTCTGAAGCGCATCTGAAATATGGACGAAGCAAGCGCTACGGCTACAGGAGTAGCGAGTAGAAACGGCCCTGTCATAAGAGTGCCAAGGGGTGCCGAGGGCAGCATGAAAGGGAGTGGAGAGAAAAGTAGCGAGAGTGAGCTTGCTAGGCCCCAGAAGCCGGCGTATGGCAGGAGTGTGAGGGTAAAAAGAAGGACAGTGGTCGGAGCAAGCATAGCTCTGGGAGCCTGTAAGATCAAGGGTATGCTGATTTCACTTGCCTGGTACGCCCAAGGCTTCATCTTAGTGACGTATTCTACAGCAGCTTCTTTTGTATATGTTACTGTTGGCCATAAGGCTTGAGAACGTTCGATGGTGGGCGGCTGTGTATCGTCCACTGTGCGGTCGTAAGTTGTCTCAGGGGCTCCAAAGACTAGCAATAAAATTGAAAGCGATAGGAAGGCACTCATGATCTCGAATTGCAGCTCGAAGCCCCTAGGACCAGCAGACGCAGTACCGCCAAGTAGGGGAGAACCTAGCATGGTGGCGATCGAGACGGTATAATGAATTATGATCATTGGTTGTCGTTCATGTTCCTGCAAGAATTAGCATAAGAATCGTGGGAATGAATCTTTGGGAGGATTACTAACAAAATACGTATCCTGGATCGAGCCCAAGACCAAAGTGTCGAATGCACCCCATCCCAATCCCTGGAATATTCTCGCGACCATGTTCTGCGCCAAACATCCCCTTACGCGAGTGTTCCAAACCACTCCAATGAATAGCATTACCATTGATACCAGATATACTGGCCTTTTACCCCATATCTTCGCTATTATCAAGGAAGCCAAACCGGTAATTGCAGATACCATCAACGGCACAGCGGTCAAGGCGACCGCTGCCGTATACGACACGTTTTCCTCTATCGCGATGACACTGTTCACGCTGATATACGCCGTCTTCATTACCCCTACTAATGCGACCATAGAAAGGAGCGCGCCTAAATTCAAATGTTTCTTCCATAACGGCCAATTCAGAGGATCTTCAGGGTCTTCGCTAGGTTGTGGAGAAAGCTCGACTTTTGCATGTTTCCCCGTGCCGTACTTGATGGTCCGCTGGGAACTCGTCGTCGAATATGAGGCCCCAGTTGCCGTAGTCGCCACCGTAGCGGTAGTGGCCGCAGTTCCTGGTCTAGGCCAGTCCTTCGTTATCGGCCTCGGGGGCTTCTCTTCAATCTCTGACGGCCCCAGTGTCAGTCTCACATTTTTCCCATTACCTCCTAACGCGGTCAACAACGACTCGAGATCACTTGTAGTGGATGACTCTCGAATCGCATTTACGTCCTCCTCTTGTTGCGTACCAAAGTCTGGGACATTTGGTAAGGGTGTTGGCGGAGGTAATGGCGGAAGCGTTTTCCGGAGGTTTGCGGTTGTTCTTGGTATTATTCTTGGCGGTATGGGAAAACTCTTTTCTGCCTCGGATATCGCTATCGTTGACTCCGCTGTTGACTCTGTCGTCGACTCGGGTCGTTCCATAATGGCCAACTATTGACCTCTTACTACAACCTTCCCGCGATCAATCTTCAACTAGGTAGTAAATAACACGCGTGGATATGCAGTAGATTTTGCGCTCGAAGAGATTGTCAATTGTCTCGCTGGTAAGCAACAAGAAACCATTTAGAAATGTATACAAAAGAATGTACCTAGCTAATACAATCAAGAAACGGTGAAGAAAAGGGCAGCCAGGCCCGCGAAGATCAACTTCGAGGAAGCGAAAGTGTATAAGAAAATTGGTATAATAATGGTGAATGCAGATGAAAAATGCAGATGAAAAATGCAGATGAAAAATGCAGATGAAGAGAGTTCATCAACTGTGATCGTGGACGAACTCTGTCTACGCGGCGACGGGATCGCACGGACAATGCGTGCGTGAGATCGTCATCCTCTTCATGGATCATCACGGGCACTAGCAATTGTGAACAAGGGTATTATTCGCTATACCTCAAAATTGTGCCGGGTTGAATACGCCCACGAAACAATACAGGGTTGCCTACCTCCTGCTCCTAGGTAGTCATGACTCGGTGGCTGAGGTGTGGTAGTTTGAGCAGCCCAACTGAAGCCAAACTCTGCTTCACGTTTTCCATCACCATCACAGCTTACGGTGAGGTCCATACGGTAAGTTCGTGGGGGCTCAGGATGCTAAGCAACAAGGGACTTTGTTCCAGTTAACCGGTCTGACCGGTCTACCATTGCCGAGGCTAAGGCTCGACATCTCACTTGCGGCTCTCTAAGCAAGATGGGCCTTTTTCGGAAATATGGAATAGCGTATGATCTGGACCTTGGTTAATATTCGATCCACCAGATCGAGCATCTCGTGAGAGTCGTGGGATAACGATAAGAAAAAACCGAGAAACCTTTTGGAACTCGGCTCATTCCGAATTACGCTTAGGCCAGACCGGCCAGACCACTGAAACTCGACTGATGCAGGGGACGTGTCACGGATCATCCCGCGTTGTAACGCTGAAGACAAGTAGTAAGTACCAGAGCGAACCAAACGTCGCTAACTCGGTATTCTCGACAATATGATATATCATTCTTTTATAAGTACCCTCTCCTCCTCTTCCGTCATATTCTCTCTGTTAAGTAAATAAGCTTACAACTTTAATGGATACTTCAAGACGGTTAGCTTGGTGAGCTAGATGCCGTTCTAATTGTTCTCGTGCTAAATCTTACTAGCTGAAAAATATTCAGCGTAATATCGTAAGAAGCGATGCTACGATTGTATTAGAATAAGAGCTGTTTAATTGATCGCGTATAATTCCCTAAGTCCTCGATAGTTAGTAGCTGAAAGTTTTCAGATGCCTCAGATGCTGACATCCAGCTCATAGATCTTCCGCCTTGGAGGATCGGAGAATTAATCGAGTATGACTGGAGACCCTCGGGATCTTGTCGGAGGTTGAGATCGCCAAGGTAACCTCTACCTACAATCTATGTATCTATCTGCAATGTTATATGCGTGTCTAGCCCGTGGTCCATGCAGGAACGATGCAGTCAGCTCCGGACGGCACCGGAGAGAACCGGACAAATGCCATGAGTCGACGACGGCGGCGCTCCGATAGGTGGACTACTTAGAACTACCATTGCGCACGGCCCTAGGATGACTTGGTCTGAGACAGTCACAATCTACAAGTAAGCGGTGAGATAGGTCATTATCGCGCAGATGATAGATTAGAGCATGAATAGCAACGAACGTAGATCACACAGCCCGGCAATCAAGGGAAAACGAGATAGTGACCCGATCGCATCGAGCATGAGCAGTTATGCAGTCGTTCACCATGGGGTGTTAGCTAAAAGATGGTCATGTCGGCTTCTTTTGTCTTGAGAGGGATTGCGTGTTTTTGGTGATAGAGGCGTTGTAAAATCATGCCGAAGTTGCAGAATGCACCAGTGAGACATAGGAATAATCTGTAGTCTATTACATTATCGTGGATTTTCTAATTCTAAAATCTTGTCGTCGAAGCAGAGGTCCCACCTCTATGCAGCCCGTCATTAACATGTGATTCGAATACCCTATCGTTCGAAGATCAAGACCCATAACAGAATGGCGCAATCTGTGGCCATGTTAAGTAGGCCCACCCCTCCACTATTTATAACTCCAGAACACCATCTCTATCGTCTCTCATCATACATTGCGTGGTGGCGCTATCTGCCAGTCGTACTATCCGGTGACGACTACATGACAAAAGTGGTTGCCATCGAATGAAAGGGGTTCGCCGATGGAATTGCGCAAGGCAAGAAGGTATTACATGGATGAATGATGCCACTGCCTGGGAAGTAAATAGCCCCTAAACAAGAAAATGTGAGTCAATGTTTTTCAATCATAATGCAATGCGCGCCCAATCAAGAGGGAACCAGCCAAGGCAGCTTGCAATGGTTGTCCATTCGGTATTCGGTCACTGGGCCGGAAATTATCATCCGGACTGACGGAACTTGTTCAACAGCTTTGTTGGTTCCGTCGGTCTCGCGGTTTGAGTCGCGCATGAGCTCGTGTCTCGTAGCTGGACCGTGGATGGATTCAGTATTCCTTTAGGGTTGATGACAACCTCCTCATCGCTTAGAATGAGGCGGAACATCTAGAATAGTAGCCGGGTCCGAGTATTCGGTTCTACGGCTTATGATTTCGGATAGCCTTGGCTTTCACAAGGATGCAATTACGACTGCTTTACCTGCATGGGTGACTTGCTGAGCTTCAGATGTCTCGTAACTGAGCAGCAGCCAGTTTGCTTTTATAAGCAATTCTGTCATAAATCAGTAAATTTGAGATCAGATACCTAACCTCGGATCAAGAGCCGATCCACATACCTTGATACTCCAATGTGTACGAGACCGATGGGTCTTCATCTCGGCCGAAGAGGACGGGCGCAGGTATGCTTTCATCCTCGACAACTCTGAATTTTAGCCCAACGGTCTTTGACGAGTCCGTCCATAGAATGGTCGGATCATCCAAGTCCGAGCGAGCTCGCTGTTGCATCCCTGCTGCTGTATTTTCTGCTGCACGCTTAAGCCAGTCGCGCCATACACGGACCACGCTGTCTGTGACGTTGGCAAGGCTAGTAAAGAGGCCATTCCTTGGTCCGACCTTAACCAGGTTGGTTACGGTGCACATCTGAGAGAACAATTCGCTAGAGTCGAGAAAAATCTGGTGCGTGGGCAACCGAGGCTCCGATATTTCTTCAATCATCTGGGCTTGCCAAGGACCTCGAGGTTGGGGCTTCTCATCTCCAAGGAATGGGCGGAATCGTGTGTAGAGCTGGTTGAGTTCTCCGAGGTTGGCCTCGTCGCCAGCTTCCGTAAGTCCGTCCGTTCCCAGATATTCGCAGAATAGCTCAGGTGTAGAAAGCTTTTCGCTTGGGTGATAGCACTCAAGGATCATCTCATGATCCTGCAACTTCGAAGCTTCAATGAGACGTCCATAGTGTATGCGGCCAACAAGTCCATGGAAGCGGCGGCAGACAGCAGCAAGGGGCAACAGCTCGCGAGTTGGAAAAGAACTCAGGACATGGATGATGATCTTTTAGATAGACGTTAATACCATCTTCACTCATAAAGTCAAGTTATCTCATACCTCGTTCGGGAGCGAATCTACCGAGAGTTGTGAGGGCGCCATGACGTGCAACATGGATTGTGGCAAAGATACACAGAAGGGGTCAACAGAAGTATAATGCACGTTGTCGAGGCTTCAAAAGGAAACCTAGACACGGCACCGGCACCATCTGTAGACTTTATATAGAATCAGATTTCTCCGTGGACCCCTTGCACGAAATTCGAGATACCGTGCGGTGGATCAGATGTAAGCCGCGCCAACCGAACAGGGAATAATTCGACCAACAACCCTTCTTGCTCGTATCAAGAAACCCAATTTCGAGACTCATGTAATGTCGGTCTACGAACTGAATGTAATCAGATGTTGTTGATCCACCGTCTTTCCGAGTCAAGGCCGATAATATAACGGGCTCAGCTGTTACGGGACCACGCCAGATCAGCCGATAGCTAGACCTCGACTCCTTAAACGCGTCCGGTTTGCTCCGAGACAACAATGACGCGCTTGATATCTGAAAATTTTTCGATGTTACCAATGTGTAGTGTATTTTTTTCAATGAATCAAATTGATATTGTTGGATTTTTTTGCGGGTAACAGCAATAGTATTGGTTTGCTTGAATTCAAGATGATGATGATGATCGCCTTTCAATGTATTTTCGCCACGTTTACATACTAAGATATCGCTATCACGTTATCTCGACTGGACAGTATATACCGTGTTAAGCTTACTCCTGCTACTGTGCGTGTCTCACCGCCTCACACTCCCCTGCTCATAAGGTGAACCAATCTTGCAGAATGGCGTCAAATCATGTTGCTTGCATAATACACCTGGCGTTTCGATCTAGATAAGTGATACATTACCTCTGTAAGCAGTGCAATTCTTCAACCTTTTCTGGGAGTCTTCTTAAAAAAGTCAGAAGCTCAACCCTGACATGCTGATAGCATTTCTTTAATTTCTTAGCCTGTCTTAGCCTTTCTTCCATTTAGATATCACCGTGCGGCGTATACCTTTTAATGTCATTCTGTCTTGATACCTAACCTCATTTTCCTCATATTTCGGCCCACAAAAATGCACTTATGTCGCCTTTGGGAGTTTGACATTGCCGGCATATAGATTTTGATTGGTCGATACCCCTGTGCCCATCAGATAACAACCCGGTTTTCTCAACAGCTGGTATGCACCATCGGGGGATTCTATTATATCCCAAAGTGGCGGGATTTTCCGGACATGCCAAGAGCCGTTGATGGCTTCGAGAATTGAATTTAGTCCCACGTTTGAACCCAGTCAGGTACTCTTGAGCTTAATTGGACGTAGACGCTTTCGTACAACCTCATCGACTCGCTTGTGATTATCCAGTAACATATTAGCAGTAGCATTGCCATGCCATGTCACAGGAAGCCCCCGGATTAGTAATCACCAAGCTTAGGGTTGTGTGAATGTTTCCAATACCGTGATCCTCCTATCAGAGCTGGTGATTAGACACTAGAGTTAGAAGTGCATAATAAGCATGACAATAGTTGATTTATATTAGCACACAATTCGTAACCTCTGTCGTAGAGATTATTGGCGTAATTAGACACGTACGCTCGCCTTCTAAACTGATTCTAAATGTTGGATTCAGGGAGCACACCTATCTCTCACCTTTCTTGGTGTACTGGTGCCGGTTATAGGTGCCGGGTCGGGGGCTGCCGTGATGACAATAAGCAAAACCCCTATACTAGAGCAATTAATTTGAAAATTTGTGACTTGTTTGATAGTAGTCTAAATCCAGTGAGATCTTCTACCTATATCCGCCATAGAGCTAGAGCTGTTTGCGATTGGTAATGATGATCTATTGCCATAATTCAATAGCTTGATCTAGAGCAAAAAAGATTCAACCCGATATAGAGAATAGGTACCTATTTAGGTATACTCTGTCTCATTGCCATCCAGTCACTTTAGTAGGTAGAGTCTAGGCATAGATGCAAAGCTCATAACTCTTCAGTTAGATGGCAGACACACACGCAATCTGCTCAAGTTAGTGGACAGGTTAGTAATTCGCACCGGAAGTGTCGCTTAGTGGTGCCATAATCTATTAGGGTGTTAATTCACCATCTTGATTGTGATATCCTGTACATGATAAAGTAGAATTCGATCGTGACAAGACAATTTCGTAAAGTTGTGTACCTTTTGATTTTTGAACATGATATGATTTCTGACCCTCTGCATAACCCCCTCAACGATATATGCTTGGATAAATAACAGTATCTATTAGAAGGCTCCGCGTTCCAGAGGTGACATGGAACCGACATCGTTAGCAATAGAATAGTCTCGTTCTATTTAATTCGGTGAATGAACCATCTCTCCACTCGAACATCTATTCCCTCATCAGGGGCAAAATGCCGATGTAATGGGCTCAAACAAGCAATTCTACTATCACCTCGCAGTGTGCGTCGCCGACCTGTCAAATTTAGATTGGCCGATTTCTATTATCTCAACACCCTTCTAGTTATCCCTTGATCAACCGCGAGATGGCTTTCTCTCGCTCCAACGCATGATGGGTTGGTGTGGTTCGGCTCTTCCTGTTAAGGTCAGCTTTCCGACCAAACCATGGTAAGCACTTACTCCTTCTATGCCTCGTAGTCGGTTGCCGCTTGAATATAGACGCGGCTACGTCGCTGAAAATTGCAAAAATTAAAAACTCGGCGGGACATCGAGATTGTTCGGGATTTCAATATCTGGGATTACCAATACTTCATTAATCCCCCCTCGTCGAAACCTGTGGGTAGGTACCGTATAGAGCATTATGTAGCCATCCAGAACATTGCATTAGCGTACTACAAGCCTGATTTCCGCGGCTTTTCATGATCTATACATGATTTTGTCCAACAAACCCCTCTCTCATGGAATGAAGACACCAGTGTTTGGACTTATCATGGTAAGCCCCATAGAGAAATAGAAAGTTACTTGCGGAACACCACAAGAATAATACCAGAAAAGTAGCTTAGGTAATTACCTATCGAGTTACGTTCCTCTTGGGATTATGTTGGGTTATATTGTGATGGTATGTGTTCGAGTTGGAGAACTCGGTTCGAAATCCTCCTTTCCTTAACGCCCGGCATGGACACCCGCGGGAACGTGCATCGAACATGCATATGCCGGTCTACTTCCCAGACGAACCAGCTTGCTGGCATGGGCGGCGATCATACCTACTGCTAGATTTGGAGCAAAGGATTCCTTTTCGATAACGGCCGAACCGATATTGAGATAATCTACCTTGCGTTATCTCCTCAACTCTGGAGCGAGTCTGAATAGCTTCCAAAACCAGGTACGGCAAAGGTACCTAGAAACACAACCATCCGACGTGGCACTACGGCGGTGCCACAGTAATGGCTGCTTACTGCATATCCTGCTTCGCAATAGGACATCCACAACGAGTTAAAGTGTTGCCCCCACACCAATAGCAAACGCCGCGACAGGCAGACCCCGAGGCCCAAGCACGTCTTCCCCAGAATGGGCGTAGCATTGCAGGGGCAGCTAGCCCAAATATCAACCATGGTGGAACCTTTTACTGTGGATACGTACTGGGAAGCGATTCCCATGTTCGCGGATAGTTGCCATACTTCGGACGACCTTGCAAGAGGCATGCCTGAACATTTCTTCCGAGGCCAGCAACACGAATCCCCTGACGAATTGAACATTTGCCATCCTTTCTTGAGTGGCCATTGATTGATTTACGGGACACACACAAGGAAGTATGCTTTCGATTGGTCACACTTACACAGTCGAACCAGAAGCAACGCTTTAGAGTGCGGGTCGAAGATGAGCGAGATGAGCGAGACGAGGCTTGCCGACGGTGAGGGGGTTGATGTAAGAAATGGAGAGCGCAAATTCTTATTTCCGGCAAGTTCTCAGCTGAGATCTGTACCGTAAGCCCTGAGAAAATGCCATCGGTTCTCCGAAAGCCCATTTTGAAATGGTATCGTATGGGCATCCCTTACTTCAGCCAGATTATTACTAGGTACATGTATGATGATGCTAGCCTCAGACGTGAGATCTAGCCACTTATAACCATTTATTGACGAATCACGTTGCTCTCCAGCCATGATCTGACCTCTGAGCCGCAACTTTGAAAATGGTGCGCGTGTTGTTTCATTGAGGCGCATCACGTACCTGGGAAGTTGCCCTACAGCAGGCCGTAACCAGATAAGTACATGCAGTACATGCGGAGGGTGTGGTACAAGCTACTTACATGTACACCAAATCGGCACTCCCCACTGGTGTGTTACCCACCACTGACCAGGAAGTTTAACAAGTTTTAACTCCAGCTGGTAACGCAGCAGGCCCAGCAGCCCCAGGATTATGACGAAATAGTTCACCGCTTTAGGTTTCTGCCTATCGTAGATATGGATGATAAGTTGAATCGGATTGTCGTATTGTTGGTCCAGATCTGTCTTCTCCCCTCCGACTTTCTATCTCGCTTTCATCATTTTCATTTTTTTTTCAGCCCCCCCACCTCCGTTCACACTTCTATCTCCGAACCGAATGAAGATTAGACCTATTTCTTGGCGCGCACAAAGACGCAGAGACGCACATATGCTACTTACATGTAGGTAGTTATGTACAAGGAAGCAACAGCTTTAAAAAATACATTCCGTTTGATCCATTTGGTCCACTTGACCAGTACATCACCTAGCACATGCGTCTATATGTATCCGTCAACCGCGATTAATCATGGGGGGGCAAGGAATCCGCTATTGAGGGGCCGAGGAGGGGTCTCCTGCAATTGATTCTATTTCGACTGTCCCCCCTTGGCGGCCTGCCACCTCCGTATAGGAGAGAGGGACTCACCTCCTAGTCATTTTGGTTCATTCTCAACTCATCCAACACATCCAACTCATTAGTCGGTCACCACTGACACCCATACCTGAGCACGGTATTTACCTAGGTAAACATTATATAAAGGCCAAGGTGGTTCAGAGTGTCGAGAAGCCGTTCCAACTTTATATTTTCCCTACTCATCCTCTATCCTCCACTTCATCTTTAGTCCATCTCTAGTTCATCTCTAGTCCACCTCTTCTACCCCGTCCGCCCTGGTCGGTCCTCTAGCTCCGAGTGTTTTATCCACTCTTTGTTTCCTCGACACGTTTCTTGCTTTCTTCCAGCACTTAGTGATTTCTTATTCTTCCACCACCTATCACCATGGGCTCCGAATACATCCCCCCAGTTCGCCTTGCCATCCTCGAGGCCGATACTCCCGTTCCTGGTGTCAAAGCCAAGTACGGCTCCTATGGCGGAGTCTTCACACACCTATTCGAACGGGCATGCGCATCGCTGAGCCCTCCGCAACCACTCTCGTCCCTCCTGGAACTCTCATACCACGACGTCGTCAATGACCTCAACTCGTACCCAGACCCCAAGGCGATCGATGCCATCCTCATCAGTGGATCTAAGCACTCCGCTTACGAGGATGACGAATGGATCGTTCGGTTAGTAGAGTACACTCGACAATGTCTCGAGGGCGGTCGTGTCCGCGTAATTGGTGTCTGTTTTGGCCACCAGATCGTTGGCCGTGCCATGGGCGCCGAAGTCGGCAAGAATGTTCTGGGTTGGGAGCTTAGTGTCACTGAGCACGAGCTCACGAATGAAGGCAAAAAGTTGTTCGGTGTAGAGAAGCTGGTCCGCCTCCCTTTTCCTTTCTTTCCTTTGCCTCCTCCGTCTTGTGATTCTTCTCTTCCGTAGTCCTGCATTGGTATAGTACTTACATATGTACCCCGCATAGGCTATTCACCAGATGCACCGTGACATCGTTTTCTCGCTACCACCCGGCGCCGTTCAGCTCGCCCGCACAGATGTTTGTCCTGTGCAAGCTATATACATCCCGAAGCGGGTGATTACGGTGCAAGGCCACCCCGAGTTTACCGCCGACATGGTGCGCGAGATCCTCGAGATGCGTCGGTATGGCGGCATCCTTAGTGAAAATGTTTTCGAAGATGGCATGCGGCGTGTTAACAACAAGCACGACGGCGTTGCTGTTGCTCGGGCGTTCTTACGATTTTTGCGTGAGTATTAACGGAAGACGCGAGATTGGAAAGATCGGGAAATAGGGAAGACTGATCATCCAAACGACACAATTCTGTAAAATGGTGGGGGATATATCTTGGATGCGACCACTGTCGTATGAGACTGCTTGTGTTACCCAGTCCTCTTAGCCGGTCGCCGAAGTAATTCGGCTAGTTGCCGAGACGTCACGATCCGGAGGACATCAAGTTTATGACGTGATACCCATGTTTGAAGAATGAACGAGCATGGGAGTGCTGAAGGTCATCTTAGCGTTCTGCGATGATTCTGGGCATCATGTTTAGCCCCCTTCTAGGGTCGCATCGATCCTTGGCTCTGTCACGGTTACACATCTCCAGAATAAGAATGAATATTAAATGAAGAAACATCACAAAAAACACGAGCGCCCAGACAGATAATAAATGGGTGAGATAACATCACGTGTCGAATTCTCGTGCATCCAAAGCCCTATCCACCCCTTCCATCATTATCGAATTACAAACATGGTATGACCTCTCATCCCAATACCTTCTCGGATAGGTAGGTCGGTCAGCCTCGTCACAATGCCTAATGTAACGCAATGCTTATATGAACGCCGCCCAATGCCCCCTTTTTTAGTATGCTCCCACTTTCCCCCGCCCTCTTTTCCCATACATTGGTATGTATGTGGGAAAATAAAAGAATAATAATCAAGAGCCAATTTGAAGCAGACCGACCCCCATCTCCGCACCCCCTCTTCCTCCGACCCGGCCAGTAATCCAGTAGGTGTGTATCCTTCTGCTCCCACCCCGCGATGAAAGATGAATCCAGGCACCGTGGTATGCATATATGCGAATGAATTCTTATCATGACCTTTCGTCTGACCCTCGCCTCACAAAAGAAAAAGTAAGAAAAAAGATAATGATGATAAAAATGTTAATGCACCAGTTTCGTACCCCCGTCGTTATGTTATGCCGATCGATCGTCGTCGATGAATGTTTCGTTTCGTTTCGTTTCGTTTTCCCATTCGAAAAACCCTGATATGCCGCTTTGTTGTGTCTGATGCTCGTGTGTCGTCTTTTGTCTCATGTAATTTCATCTCATGTCATGTCGTGTCATGCGTAAAATGCTATATATACCTCCGCCCCCCTTTCTCCTCTTACTCCTTCCCTCCTACCCTAACCCCCCTAATTCCCCATCCCATACTTCATATTCCGTCCCCGCTGACCCTCGGATAACGTCCTGCGGCGTTCAAGTGCTCAGAGGACCCGGCATCCAGGGCATCCCACCACTCGCGCGGCGGCGCGCCAAGCTGGGACCGGTGTCCGGAAGCCCGTCTCGCCGCCGCAGCCGCCTCAATGGTCAAATTCTCCAGATTCTCCTCCTGCTCGCGCCTAACGCGCGCCGTCCGCGCATCCACGAACCGCTCCTCGCGGGTGCGTCCGGCGCCGTGCCTACTCCGGCCCCCAGGACGGCGTATCCGCAGCCTCAGTGCCAGATTCTCCCAGAAGCCGCCGCGCAGGTGCAGCCAGGGGCGCTCCCAGGCGGTGAAGAAGCAGCAGTCGACGGCGGCGCCGATGCACAGGCTGGTGACGCTGACGATCTGGAGGGCGACGTGGCCGGTGCCGTGCGAGGCGCCGAGGTTCGCGTAGTCGTCGTCGTACTGCAGCACGTGCGAGACGAAGGGCGCGATCCACGTCACCATGTAGATGGCAGGGTACACGAAGAGCAGGCGCAGCTGCCGCTGCTGCTTGTCCCGCGACCGCCGCATCGCGTCTTCCGTCTCGTTCTGCGGCAGGAAGACCGAGGACGAGGATGTGGTGGTGCTGGTCTGCGTTGACGAGCGGGTGCGCGGCGGCCCGCGGCGGAGGGCGCAGATCATGTTGGAGACGGAGTGGATGGAGTTGGTGAGGCTGTGGGTGTGCGAGTGGGAGCGGGAGTGCGAAGGGGTGCCCGAAGACGTGGAACGCCGCCACGTGAAGGGGACGTGGGAGGATTGCTGCGAGGAGCGTGGGCTGTGGACGACGGATTCGGGAGCGCGAATTGGGATGCTTTCTTCTGCTTGTAACGACGGCGAGGCCGGGCTTACCAGGCCTGATTGGCTTCCCCGCCTAGACTGCTGCTGCAATTCGGCCGACCCGTCGTTGGCAAAATTCACAGTGTTCCATCGAATCGAGTTCCTCATCGCCTGGTCGGGTCTCCGCGGAAGAGGGGTGGATGCTCCCCCTCCTCCCCCTCCCCCAAAGTCCAGCGTGCTGATGGTCGAGTCGACAGAATGCTGGCGATCCCTCGGGTCCCCATCCTTTGCCAGGCTGTCCCGGGCAGAGTCCAAGAAACCGTAGTCCACGATAGGCGGTGTGGGTGGGACGTCCCCACTGTGGTCGTGGCGGTGGTTGTGATGCTTGCGGTGCTGCTCAGGATGATCGCTGTGGGCCGTGCTGGCACGCCGCTGGTCTCTGGTGAAGCTTCGGAATCTGCAGGCGACGTAGAGGTAGAGGACCGTGTATACGACGATGATGAAGGCTGATATGACGTATCGCGGAATCCAGCTGAGGGCACTCAGATACCAGGCCGGGCGGAGGGGTAGATAGCAATGGGGACCGTTGTCCGCGAATTGTCCGCCGGTAATTGGCACGACCGCGGCTAGGACGAGAGGGATGATGGCCCAACAGGTATATGCTATGCGTCTGTACGGATAAAGCCCAGCTGCACCGCTCGAACCCCGAGGCCTGAGTATGAACAAGGCCGTGTGCACTGCGATCAGGAGGACAGCAATATCCGAGGCCTCGATACTAACCGTTAGGAGAAAGCCGGAAACTTGGCAGAAGGTCGAATTCGAATCGATAGGCACCTTGGCAAAGAAGGCTAGAGGGCAGATTACGAGCCATAGCGCTTTCATCATGTCGCTTTGGATTAAGAGCATTATCAAGCTGAGTCGTTGTCAGCTCACTTAAATACTACACTACGGGACGGGATGGGACCGTCGACTTACTCGTGGCGGAAGCTTCTCCTCATTCGGACGAACCAGTAAAAGGCACACAAAGCAGCAAGCACACTGATTGAGGCCATGGAGAGGGATATCGACATTATGGCTAAGATTTCTGGGTTATCCATATAACTCGGAGTCGAGTCGCGTTTCTCGAAGAGGGCGCCATGGGAGGTGAGGATTTCGGCAAGGGTGGCGCCCGGCTGCCATGTTATGGGAGCCATCTTTGCTGCTGAGGCCAAAACGGAGGCTCGGGATGCGTTTGAAGGAATAAATGATCTGGCATGCTTCTAGCGAAACTTCATTCCCACCGAAAGACGGATTTCATGATTGCAAATTGTGGGATCCGGTCGGTGGTAGGAGAGTTGAGAGGAAGCCCAAGGCGAAGAGGGTATCCGCTATGACACTCACTTAGCGAGAAAAAAAAAAAAAAAAGGGCTAAGCGGCACAACAAAACGATCTGCGAATTGTTCTTTCTACAAGAATAGAAAAATCTAAATTCTCCAGGTCCTTAGCCTCTGAGAATATAGAGAAAAAAAGACAAAATAGGAGGAAGGTTCACGTCCACCCCATCAACAAGCCCGGAGTGTAAGAAAGCATGTCCTCGGGGAGGCTGTTCATGCATAGCAACGCTCAGACAAGAGGGTCCGAACTCTTAGAGAATCATGTTGCACGTCTAAAAGAGTATAATGAGACGTCAATACTGCTGCTGCATCTCGAGATACAGTATCGTATCAATTAACAGAACCAAGCTCGAGTTCAAGAAAAAGCCCCGAACGGTAACGTATGAAAAGCGAGAAACGGGTTGAGGTGCAGTAGGCAATGAGCATGGGCATATGCCGATCTAAATAGTATAAACCGAGTAGGGTAAAGTTTCCAAAGTCTCCTAGGATAAAGTTAACCAAGGAAACCAAAGGGAGTATTCCATATTTTAATGTTTGCGGCCTGTTCTGGTGGCGGTGAAGCGAAGAGCTGGCACTGGACTGCACTGGACTTGACACTTGACTGAGTTGGGACATCTTAAGGGAATCGGTGTGAAGGGCTATGCTGTCCAGCATGTCCAATGCTGTCCAATGCTGTCTAATGCTGTCCAATGCCGTCAGGGGATTGTCAGGTACGTGCTCCCGAGATACCCCAAGGTCGCTAAGATCACCGACTATCACCAATGAAATGGCTGAGGTTGGCTGGTATTCAGGAAAACTTTGACCAAGTGATGAGGCCCGGGTGACGCTAAAGGGCATGAAAAGCCGTGACGGAGCAGCATCCGATGATTTCTTAGCGCGCGCGACACTCCATAACTGGCATAAAACGTCCATAAAAACCTCCAGGGCTGCCATAACTATCCCCTTAGCTTTCATAACGTCCATTAACTCCACAACTCCCTGCCATCCCCAACACAGAACCCCACACGCTGCCCACAGTATCCCCGTAACGCCTCCCCCTCCGCTTTCGTCATAGCCCTAACCACGTAGCAAGTTGGCAGGATTGCCTAAACACGGCGCATGCAAGCGAGATCTGGTGACCGGCGTCTCGGGACAAAATTACCAAGCCTGCTGACCCCCACAAAATACATACAACTTTATTATTATTTCCTTCTGTTTGCTTTTATTTTTCACATGATATTTCATCATCTCTCTGTTTCCCTTTTTTCTCGACCCGAGAGAAAATAACGCTGTGGGGATTCCGGTGCACCTATTCGGAGTTGTGCTTCCGTCGATCGGTTACCCATGGAAGTATTCCGATTAAAAGACCCATTGTGCCGTTTCCATCGCCCCGTACGTAACGTTTAGCGAGGACGCGGCGGCCCGCAGGGTTACGTTAGCGCCAATGTTCTGTTAAAAAAGACCCTTTTTCCACGGAGGGTTAAAGGTTGGATCTAAGCGCCGTGCTTAATTGCTGCTAAATCTCGATGGAATCGAGTCAAGAACTAGATTGTTGAGATTGAGTTTTGGGAGATCATATAAACTCCGGACATGTAAAAGATCGTCCGGCGTTACCGAAGGTGTGTGATACAACACCCTTAAAGCCCCGAGAAAATCCACACGGGCATTGTTTTCGGAGCGTTAATATAACTTCATTCCAGTTCACACCTCTTCGGTTACCGCAGCTTGATATCCCGGTCGTTCAACTGTTCATATATTGCATCTCAACAATATTTTGCTCGAAAATATCTATTCACATGGCTACAAGAGAAACCATAAGTACCTAACATATACGAACGCCCTTGCATTTCAGGGTGAGCTAAGCATTGTGGCTTTATAACCGCGTGGATTAACATATTCCTCCTGACTTCAGTCTGGGATCATGGTTAATCTCTCAAATTCCCCACGAGTCTTAATAACGCGCTACGCCGTCGACATGGTGTACAAGTCCCTCATATATGCGCAGGTAAGTATGAGAACACTGGATGGGTGAGGGTGGACCTACCTAAAATGGGTAGAGAAGCATACTCAAGACGTCGAGTTGGATCACTTGCATCAACGATCTCAAGAAAGCCAACTAGAATATTCACCAGGTAGGTGATGACGGAGTCGTTCAGCATCTCCGCTCGAATTATTTTTTTCAAAAGAAAATACGAGAATCCAATTTCCAGAAGCGCCACGAACACCATGCAATGTGATAACAACTTCACTGCTGTACGCAAACAACAACACCCTCGATAAAATCTTCTTCGAACCCAAGGCCACCTACAATAAACCCGCATGTTCATGAAAATACCTCAAATTTGTCACATTAAGCATATCTCCGGTGATCATGAACTGGGCTCATATAATGGCATCGATAGTAAGGATGTGTAAGACTTTCAACTCAATAACAGTATTAGATCTGGAAATCATCTCACATGATAGAATATCTTGGAAACCTACGACATATGACACTCATGAGATATACCTTTTAAAGTGGTATGAGAAATACATGCTACATTTCGTCCAGAGGTCTCACCTCTAGGGTTTCAAATCTTCTACAAGGCTTCGATTCACTTATCATCGGGGCACCTTACTCGATTCAAATCCTAACCCGATCCCCTGTACTAGTGATCTAAATTCCGGATAATTCTTAGATTATTAACATAATCTCTTTTGATCTAATTCCATGAGTACCTAGGTATGAATTATCATGGTTGAGATGAGATGGTGATGAGAGTTACTAATCCTAGACATCCCCGGTTTCCGTGTCTTATTAAGACGGGACTTGGGTCCAAACCAGCTATATATATGCCGTCTTATACTTTACTGGATATGATTGGACCATTTATAAATCAGATGCCGGATTCAGTAAAAGACAATTGTAATCGAATCACGGACTTTCCCATCGCTACGGGCATATCTTTATTATGTAATCCCGAAATGTGGGATTATGTCCGAGCTTGAGCCTCACAAGGGTGGACAATAGCGGGGTTTATGCAGGATGCATGTGCTTATGCTGCAAGCACTGGCTCTTCATAAAATTGTTAGTGTCACCGAGTTCGACCTCCTTACGTGACTCACTAAACCTAGCGACGAAGATATGATACACGTCTATGTAGCGATCGAAAATTAGTCGTCTTTGAAGTAGTGAGTACTTCCGATTCCTTAGAGTGACACGTTTTGTCTGATCTAGAAATTTCAGTTCCGTTCTCTGGCGTTTGAAATTCCGGATATATCTCTCGAGACTCAGCCTCGCGCTCATCAAGCGAGCGATATCGAACTTGAACTTTCTTCGCCTATTATATTAGATAAGTAGAATACAATATACAATATGGCACAAAACCGCACCGTAGTCAGTGGTGAGATGACCTCCAATCGCACAGTGCCATCCCTTGCGGTTCCTTCGGCACTCACTGACGGCATCTGACCAGAGTCGCCGCTCAAGGCGCCAAACCTCGTAATCGAGTTTCCGCAGATCTCACTCGCAGAAGACGAGGGTTTCACAACCGCACTAGCAGATCTCGTCAACGCCGGGTATACCGAAGCCGAGGCCGGCATCTTCAAGCCGGGCTACTTGCGCACATCGGCAAGCGAGATCGGAAGCTTCATAAAGGCCGGCGTATTGGCCGTCGCATCAGTACCTAGTCCGGAGACGACATCTCACAGACAGCCCTTGGGCTGTATCGCCATTAAGAAGCTCGACGAGAACCGTGCCGAACTCGGGTTATTCGCGGTTGTGATCGAGCAGCGCGGTAGCGGAATCGGGAGGGATCTGATGGATTGGGCGGAACGGTGGTGTCTCGAAAACCTTGGCGGCCCGGGGGTTGCTATCGCGCAGCTCGATCTACTTGTCCCAACGCACTTCACGCACCCGTTTAAGGTGCGTCTGGACTTGTGGTACACGAAGCGAGGTTACCGGATCACGGGGAGTCGCGATTTTGCCCTTGATTATCCTAGCCTTGCGCCTCAACTCGTGGGGCCGACTGAGTACCGCGTTTACGAGAAGACACTGGCTTAGGTAGAGAAGAGATGGCGTCTTTGCTGTTACTAGAATTATTAAAAAGCGAGCGAGTTCGACGTGTTACCAATGCTAGGGCTCTAGATACTAGTTAGAGGGTGAGGGGAAAGAGGCCATTGAAGGAATCAAGTCCTCAAATAAGTGCTTACCAGATACGCCAGAGCTATATCAATGTGATCAATGATAAACACCTCCATGCCACTCTTGCCATTGTATTCAATCGTTGAGTACTCCTGAATTGGAACCCTGTTGTGGTATGGGTCTTGTAAGATGAGATTCACCAGATCTTAGACCACTTATCGACTAAGTCTATGCCGGATATGAAGTTTCATAGGTACATGTCATATCAATCAGTTGAATGCGTTGAGGCATGGTATCTTACCTAGCTTTCGATGGGATGAGGAGGAGTTCCTTTGTGGACTTCGACGATACTACGGGTCCGCATGCTCATGAGCTAGACCTTCACGCATATACCTCCTACCTAATCTTCGTCTTTCAGGGGAATTTGATATGGTAATTACTGAGGAACTTGGTTTTGGTGAGTTTGGTCAAAGTGACAGCCGTATTGTTCACACTTAGCTTGTCTTACTTGCAATGATAAGTCTAACTGGTAAATTATGTAGGAGCGTTGGTATATCTTCTAGGCACGTTCCAAATTCTTGACTCAGTCTTGCTTATACTAACCTGAACATTCTGGGGCGGACGCGTGGTACTAAAACTTCCAGTGTCACTTAACGAGGTGGAAATCTATACTTACTAATTACACCTTCAGTTCCAATTTTATAGGGCCGTGAATGATACCTAGCGAATATAGATGAATGGAAATCTGCCCAGATGGGTTTCTTTAAGGCTTTGGAGACCATCAAATCTTGCAAAATTAATAAGCACGAGATTGGATGGAGACTTTCTTGGAAGTTAACTTTAAATCCTCAGTTCCTTAGCCCTGATATACCTAGACCTCGTACAACTAAAGAAATGGATATGAAATCTTATATAATAATCGATAACGCAGGAGTATCGAATCGTAATTATCATAGTAGATTCAAGAGATAGAATTTCTGCTGCAACCATAGATGATTACTCTAAGGAAAAGCGAACCTTGAGTGCAAATATGGGAGGGTTAAATATTTGAGTTCTCTAAAATAGCTAATAATTACCTAACTTCCATTGTCCATTATCGAAATTAGCATTCATTCTTCCAATTACTGGATAGGTATTCTTTCAAAGTATCACGAGAAAAGGGGAGGACACTTATAAATTGAGAATCTGGATTATACCCAAGTGACAGGTAGGTATCTATCCGCTTAACTGGTAGGTAGTTAGATGAGAAGATTTATATCGGGCAGCCAACAGCTGATGACGATTTTAAATCTATGATCAAGCTATTAACTGCGGTGGTCAAATTCCTTTGTGGGAAACTATTAGTTAAACTATACTACGACTTTCTTTTCAAAATATATCACCCAGATTGCCAAAATCATCCATAACTCTCCTATGTACGTCCCTAGGTAGATGGCTAATTCTGGAGCTTGCTAAATTCTGTCCCACGTGTTATCAATGACCATGTGGCTGCTTGATCTATCAAGAATATGGCGAATAACTCATTAAAATCATACCTGGTTGACAATTCTTGCCATATCATGCTAAATCAAAGAAATCTAAATCCTACGAGGTAGTATGAGACTTTGGGATTCTCACTAAACGTGGTTCTGACAGGGCATACAACTCTAGTATTCCTAATAATGTGACACATCAACTCTGGAGGAAGTCATAACCACCTTGCCCGCAAATCTATCAACACTCTCGGTTCTTCCTACTGTATTAAGGATAGTAGTAGTCTACTAGTATATACTCCTCATACCTCCGCATCAGTCGAATAGCGGTCGTGAAACATTGTGGGTATAGGGATGACGACGGTTTATGCGTAAGACATGTAGGTATGACAGGCCAGGCGATATTCTACGAACCCGCCGCACGGTGCCGCTATGATGCGCCGGTTCGATGAACTATAGTAGTTCGGATGTTGGTATGGTGCATATAGTAATCTATTTTGGGACAAGATACACGCCGCCTGCGTCTCGACCCTGTTATTTGCAATGCCTGTTCTATGCGGAATATTTCCATCAATAAGGTAACCTCTTCAGCCTAGGATATGAATACCATTCATCTGCGCATTCCTGCCTTGCTCGAGGGGTATGAACGAACTTGTAAAGGCTAATCAGTATGATTATCACCGCACGGGCTAATTTAGACCGTCGCTACGATGCTGGATCTGCAACTAGGCTTGACAGCTGAACGTCCGTGTGAAGGTCTACAACCTGTAAACATGGGTGGGTATGATTAGTAATTATATGTTAATCATATCTTCAGGTAAGTAGTTTACCTGCCAACGGAACTGTAGAACACAAAGACTTGTCCAGACTTTGGAAACACCATCTAATTTGCTACTGATAATCATTTGGTAATACTAGCTATCCGGATGCAAGATAACAGACCCTAGGTGAGGGAGCTATGCGACTTCGGCCGCCAAGGCATCATACCGACTACCTCTGCCGGTGAGATAGTCGAACTCGCGCTTCATCAAGTCGGTTTCGTTCCCGGATTCCCTCGCTCCCAGAAAATCTTGGATTGACCAAGCGATCCTCTCTGCGCCGATCCTAGCCCCGATTAAGTTAGGGGCGCCGGGACCGAGCTGTAGCGCAGCAAGCCTACCGGCAACGAATAGGGGAACATCATCTCTCCACTATAGCGCATGCTGTCAATTAGGCGAATACCTCTAGTGCGAAACAATAGATGGAGACTCAATGGGTGGATATAGGGCTCACCGAAACAACGATAGAGGGTTTTGGGGAAGAAATAGTAAGGAGGGAGCCCACTTACGGCCATGTTTTCTGTTATACATGGGAGTCCTCCGCAACTTTCGATAGGGTAGTCAGAGCAAATGGACTTCAAGAATGGGAGACCCTCGAAGTTACTCTGAACGCCGGTGGCGAAGTAAATGTGATCGATTCGAGGAAGCTTCTGGCTCTCGTCCGATAGCGACACTGCCCAGGTCCTAGAACACGAGTCCCAATATTTTTCCTTGATAGTAGTATTCTGAAGCAGGCAAAGCCGACCTGTGGATATATGCCGCTCTAGGATTTTCTTATACGGTGGCGTGATGCTGCCTCCATTCCGGGCCGTTTTGATCTTTTCCCACCGCTCTTCGGTGGAGTCTGCGGTCCAGAATGCAGCCTGCTCGAAGTTCCGGAACTTTCCCACCCATTCAAGCCCTACGTCGAAAGGCTTGACTTTGAGGGGCCCCCGCATCAACAGCCACACTTTGGTTACTCCTCGACGAATAGCCAGGTCGGCTAGCTGAGCTGAGGTTAAGCCGCCCCCGACTATTACAATATTTGTCTGGACCTTGGCGTTGAGCTTCGCTCGAACACGAGGCGACGGCATTTCCTTAATATGCATGGCGTGGGTCACTCCCTCCATTCCCTCGGTTGGTGGGTCTGGGATTTGGGGCGGGTTACCTCCTACTGCTAAGACCACGGCCTTTGCATGATGAGTGCCCCTATCTGTTCTGATGGTGAAGATCTTGTCGACTTCGGAGAATTCATCGAGATAGTCGAATCGAATATCTTCTACCTTTTCATGTGACACCATATTACCACGCAGGTCATATCGGTCTATCAGGCATCCGCAGTGGGATGCGAAAAGTGGCGTCGACGGAACGAAGTAGTCGTTTCGATCACGCTCATCAACCGTAGGTTCTGTCTTGGGTCTACCAACCCTCAGTACAGGGACGATTGCGACTCAGATGGTGAAGCTTACTGTCTTCCGGTCCTTTCTCTCTTCTTCCTCTGGTGTTTACTCAATTCTTTTCCGACACATCCCCGAAGCTCCGTTAATTCGTTATCTCGATCGTTTCGATACGTATAAGCCAATAATCCGTCACGCTCTGCGGGATCGACGTGAAAGAACATTGGACTCCGGAGGTGGGAGATGTCGAAAGTTTTGAATAGGTTATCCCATCGTGCCATCCACTTATCGTCAGTCGCATCAAGCACTAGAAGGTCAAGTCCCTCTTTGTCTGGTGGACTGGTGGATGACTTCCGGCGTATCTCAAAACCCGTCTTATAGTTTTTGATGCTAGCCCGATTCCTGTGTTTCTGGATCCAATGGTATCTCTGATGCTCGTCGTCGGAGAAGTTGGCGGCGGGCATACGCTCTGACAGACGGGCCGCGACGGCGAGGCCGCATGGTCCAGCGCCGACAATCACGACGTCGTGGACTCGAATATCACCCATTTTATGTCGTGTTATCTTCGCTTCTGGTTATGTGAGAAAGTGGCGAGGGAATCAGATAGAATAGCTGGTATAAGAAGCTACGTGGGAGAACCTTGATGGATGCCGGTGGTCAAGGTGAGCACCCTGATGGCATCTTTCCTTCCTTAAGGGCGACCTTGAGGTCACCACTACCAAGTGCGATTCATTCAAGCACATGATGGTAATTGCGGATCTCGTTGTGAAAAGTATAAAGGAAATACTTGGAAATCAGGACCGATCCAAGAGACCTTAAGAGTGAGGTCTAAATAAGACGAGGTACATCAAAGCTTCTGGATATAACCAAAATGGAGCCACCTAAGTCGTTCTTATCCACAAATAATTTATCCATTGCCATCACCACTATCAATGAATTTGTTGAACCGCTTGTCAACTGACCGACTTTATTCAAAATGTTCCGCGACGTGGTGAGCCACAGCTGTCTCGTCTCCTTCAAAATTGCCGCAGACCGGACAGGTCGCTGTGGCTGAAACTACATCCAGGACTGAACTGGAATCATTACTTGACGACACATCATCGCGTCGCGCCGGGCCATCATGTTGGCCAGGCGCATTTGAATCATTATGATTCTTGCCTTTGCCCTTGCCCTTACCTTTACGTTTAGCGGGAACAATGTATGCGCCTAGATCAGTCTGCTCTGGTGGCGCTTCAAGTGGTTCATCGAGTCGCATGTCTCTGTAACGCGGGCGGTGCCCACGTGAATTTGAAACAGTCCGATTGGCTGCATCGGCCGACTCATCTTCAGCGGGCGCGGGAGCATTTATCAAGATTGCGCCATCGGGATCTGAAGATGAAGAGGGGGAGGCAGAGGCGGCAGAGGCGCTCGAGGCGATGCTCTGGACTCTGCCAATGCGCCCGTCGGCCAGTCGGACCTTGATGCCGCGATGGTGATCGCCGCGTGTCAAGACGTCGCGAACTGTTCCCCTCACTTCTCGACCGGTGCGCTGGTCGGCTTTGAGAACGATGTTCACGACCGCACCGCGGACGACCTCGGTTGTTCTTGGCACGGCGCGATTGGCCATTCAGATTGGTGGATTACGGTGTTTGGGAACAGATGGGATGGCGTGGATGGATGGTGCATATGGTGCAGATAGATGGCGCAGATGGTGGTGTGAAGATTGTCAAGATCGGTAAGATGATACGATCTAATCTTTGTTTCTTTTGCTTTTTTTTGCGATATGCGAAATGTGACGAGTCTGAAAAAGGGATAAAGGGGTGTCCGATATAAGGTTATGCGACGTTTAAGTGCAAGTCCACGCTTTGACGAATCCCCGCTTAATTGATCGTGCCCTAGCCAGCTTCTGTGGTTCGGGATTTCTTCTTGCAGGTTCTCTCTGCAATTCGGGTTCTAAAATAAGGATCTTGACTCATGGATAATTGCAGCTTGCATACTGCATGCATATAACTCATGTCACGGGATTCCCCATAGGCAGTAAGCCTGTCTACTTGCTCGGGTTGCCGGGTCGTCGTAGTTTGCCTGGACTGCTTTCGCCATCTTTATCACTGCGGTGCGGTTCTGACCAGTCACCCTGCAGATGACGAGTCGTTTTGGAGAATAGGAGATGGCCGGTTCCTCCGACTTCAGATTTGTGGAATCGATCTCCAAGTCGAGTCTCCTCGACCCTCACCGACTGCCGAGATTTTCTGCCTATGCTTCACGCGATTGGTTCAAGGGATCGCCAGTTGGCTCTTCCCTTGCAGAGCACACACTAGGTTAGCCTGTCGCCATCGACTAGCCCCTGTTCCTGCAAAGCTCCAACATAAATGTCAACCCGTTTCCTCGCCAGGCCGTCTCCGTCGATGTATAGACCACACGCACAACCCTCACCAAGATCCTTTATCACTCGACGCCGACGCAAGCCCCGTCTGCTCTGTCCTAACTAGTTGGATTACCTTCGTGTATTACAACTCGCTCAGAATGCGCAAGATTTTGGCGGGGCCAGCTGATCGCTTGCCAAGACCGCCATATGATGCCGAGATAGACTCTATCTTCAAAGCCCTCGGTGGCATGCCCGAGCGATATGAAGTTGAAAAGCTTCGCAAAGACGCGTCAGCGCGAACTCAACCCCTCACCAGCGCCTTACTTGCTGACAAGAGCATCAACGTTGAGGACATCACGATTCCAGGACCCCGACAGAGTCTAACTATCTCGGTCGTAAAGCCATTGGCACCCGCAGACGAAAGTCGTCCATGCATCTTCTACATCCACGGCGGCGCCTTGGTCGCGGCCGATCGCTTCGCTGGTCTGGACACCAGCGTCACATGGGCAAGGGAGTTCAGTGCTATCACTATCAGTGTGGAGTACGGACGTGCGCCAGAAAACACAGGTACGGAGCCTGTAGAAGACTGTTATGCGGCATTGCTCTGGACTAGTAAGCATCTGTCGGAACTGGGCATCGATCCTGATCGCCTGTTACTCTACGGCACATCTGCTGGGGGTGGTTTGGCGGCAGCAGCCGCCTTGATGGCGCGCGATCGATGCGGCCCGAAGCTGTGCGGCCTTGTCCTCGAATGCCCCATGCTCGACGACAGAAACGAGAGGGTGTCGTCTCAGCAGTTCTCCACCGGCCCCTTTTATAACTCAACTCTAAACAAGTTTGCTTGGAGGTGTCTCCTCGGCGAACGGGCCGGAGGCAGTGCGGTCAGTGAATACGAAGCGCCCGCACGAGCACAGGATCTCTCGAGAATGCCACCCACCTTCCTCGACTGCGCTTCGGCCGAACCGTTCCGGGATGAGATCGTGGCCTTCGCCTCTAAATTATGGGAAGGTGGTGTCCAAGCAGAACTTCACGTATGGCCGGGTGGGCCCCACGGCTACGATCGCATCATTCCCACTGCGCCATTCGCTATACTGGCGAGGCAAACCAGGCTGGCCTGGATTCGTAGAGCATTTCAAACAATTTGAAGGCTTGGCTTTCGAAGTCATTTACCATTGACTACGACATTAATGATGTGGTTCCATAATCAAGCGATTCGGTGGTCTGTTGGAGGCAAAGTGGATTGTTCCAGGTAAAGGAGGGTACAGGTTGCCTTTCTATCAACCTGATCGTGTGTGCGTTCGTGCCCAACTGGTCTGACCGGTGTGTCTTCGTGGGGGTTTGCTCGGAGTTGGTGGCCGTAGTGTGGTTGCGAGCTCGTCCGCTAAAAGAGTGTGTACCAATTACTGGATTTCGCCAGATAGACTCTTTTCGTTGACATAGGGTCATCTATTGCCCAAAGATGTATTACTTACTCGCCTACCTAGGTAGATAGTCTATCGTAATTAGATAGATATTTAAATTGGTAAAAATTATCCCGTTCCCCTATCTAACACACAGCCTTCATTTATTATAAATTTCTGACTAACATCCAACAGGCGCAACACTGGATATATTCCAACATCACCCCAAGACGAACAAGAATATAATATAATATGAACATTCCGGTTGCATCGGTGATGATGCCGACTTGTCAATAAACTTGAAGTTCATTTCTCCCGCCTCGTTTTCTGTGATGGCGTCGTTTCAACATCCCTGTCACCACGCGAAATTCACGCGAAATTACTTTGTAAAGAGCCATGGCTACCTACCCAGGGGATAGTGGGAGTTAGTTGGAAGCTCAGACCAGCATCATTCCACGCCGCGGCCTCATTATTGTTGGTACAATACAGCCCTGTGAAAAGTTTCTCCGCGAGACACTCGATATTTCAGCCGGTACCTGTCGCCATCTACACCTTAAAATAGAAATAGACTACTATATCCGTATAGTCTCCCGGGACATCCGTGCTTCGGAAGAATGATGGAGGATGACTCTTCTCGGCAGGCACGACAATTTGACAATTTTGTTCAAGGGTATGCTCTGACATAGCCTTGACTTTACCGAATAATGACGTGGGGTCCCCAATTTACATTTAACAATGTAAACGATTTGTCAAAATAAGAGGTACGAATCGCCGCGGTTAGCTTGGGGGTACCGCCCTCTCGGTGCCTGACCTAAGGATTGGGTACCGCGCCTCATCACATCTAGTTTCCCATCCGTACCTTTATGTAGTAGTTCAAGCCTCGTAATACCTTATAATTATTGAACTATAGCCCTAAATATGAAACTGGACAAAGCTCGTCGCGGGAGTAAACGAGGATAGGCCAGCCATCCGTATGACACGGGCCGAGAGAGTAAAATACATGCTCACGGGCGTTCATTCCGTGTTACTAGTGACAATAATATTTCATTTATTAGTTTGCTTATCACTCAACCTAAAAGTCTTGTCTTCCTAGTAGAGAACGTGACTATTTACTACGTTAAAACATCCGGATATTTGCGCCGTTGTTGTGCTATTCAGGCAGTTCATTAGGTCTCCTTTTTGGTAACAAATATACATATCATGAAGTCCTTGTCAAGTTGAACACGTTTCGTGTTGAAGATGTGAGTTTCTTCTCGTCATGGCAGTCCTTCCGTGGTACTTGGTGTGGTTCTGATATACAGCCTAAATCCCTAGGTTGTTTTCTTGCACTGCGCCCAACCCAATTAACTTGGCTTGTCGACAAGTTCGAGTCATACGATGTTTTCCACGAACCCCTCTATACGTACGACACTGCCGACGCCGTCATGTGTCAAAAGGAGTACGATTCTGAATCAATTGCAAAACAAGTATGTCCGGTTAACCTCCGAAGTAAAAGAATATTCGACCAAATCCAAGGAATGCCTGCAGCAGCCATAGACGATCGAATTACTACCTATACACATCCAAGAGGGCTTAGGTGACATACTTGACCTTGTGTCAAATAACACCTATTAAGAGATCCCTACAGGCACTCCAAGTAACATAGCTCACGGCAAATATATTCGAATCGAAGGACGAAAAATTGTTGTGCTCATAATAACAAAAGTATCGCACCCTTCGTGGATAATAAATTATCAGTTACATAAGTAGTATTACACAGCAATAAGTGCCATGCCTTTAATATATATAAAATATGAGATTATTAAATTAGAATAATTAATTTATTAGTTATTAAGAATAGTTACCAAGTTATTCCACATATATAGGATTAATTAATAAAATGTTTATAAGCATTTAAAGCGCCGAAACTTAAATCTTAAGCATAATAAATTAAATTTAAATAATTAAAACGATTTCTTTTCGAAGAAAAGGAAAGGATCAAGGATTTAAAACCCTTAAAAAATTATTACATAAATTAAATTTATGTTTTAAATTTATTCCCTTTATTATAAATAATTCTTTTTTAGTTTATAAATTTTTTCCCGGATTATTACACGTGTTTATTTAAAGTAATATTTATCCATATTTTAATTAAATTAAATTATACCCTTATAATTATTCGGAAAAATATTTATTTTAAATACCGTTAAAGTTTTCATAAAAAATATTTTATAAATCTTAATAATATACCTCTTTTTTTTTTATTAATAAACGAAAAACTTTTTAAATTTATAAAAATATTTTTCCAACGCCATTATTTAAATTAATTAATTAAATTAAAATTACCACCTTTATTTATTTAAAAAATTATATAAAAGTTAATAAAAATTCTTTTTTTTAAAAAACTTTTTAATAATATATTTTTTAATTTAAAAAATAAATTATTTTTTAATTTTTTTTTTTTTATTTTAATACTTTAATAACATTTTAATCCAAAACTACCACCCTTAAAAAATATATTTTATATTATTAACTAATTAAATCCTCGTACCCGATTATATCGTATAAAGAAACGATGTTATATATAAAATAAATTTTTTATTAAACTTAATATATAATTTAATATATCCATTTTTATAAATTTAAAATTAAGCTTAAAATTTAATTTTTAAAAAGATGATTCCTTAATTTTTATTCCTAATAATAATAATGTTATCGTTTTATATAATTTTTAAAACTTTAATATAATTATACGTAATAACGGAGTTATTTATTAAATAAGAAACCCCATTATTAATTTTTTTATTTAAATATTTAAATTATATTAAAAAATATATAATATTTTTAATATAATTAAAGCTTTTAATACTTTTATTAAAGTTATACATTTAATTAATAACCGTTAATAAGAATTACGAAAATATTATACTTAAATTTAATAAATGTATAATACTTTAATAACCTTTAATTACGTAAGTATATAAACTTTTAAAAAATAAATTTTTAATTTTAAAAAAAAAATTAAAAAAAAAAATAACATTTTTTTTTAATAAATTTAAAGCATAATAACCCGATTCATTAAAAATAAATAAATATAAACTTAAGTTATTAATAAGTTCGTAAAAATAATCCGCTTATACGAATTTATTTTCCTTATTATTAAAAAAAAAATGAAAAATATTATTATTATTATTTAATAAATTAATAATTAAAGGAAATAAATAAATGAAATTATTAATAACTTTTTTATTAAATATTATATCCACCTTAATAAATTAAATAAAGCTTAAAAAAAATAATTTAAAAAGTTATAAACTTATATTAAAAACGTTATTATTAAAGTTATAAAATTTTAAACCTATAATAAATTTATAATTATTAACTCGGTTTTACACTTCATTAAAAAAAAAATTATAATAAATCCTTTATTAACTTATAACTAAAATCTTTCTAAAATAACCGTTAAACCATTTATATATTTTAATTTAAATTTATCCTTTAAATTTTATAATATAAATTTATTATTAATTAATTTTATTTAAAAAGTTTAATCGAAAATCATTTTAAAAGCCGCATAAGTTTAATTTTAAAAAATGCGTTATAATTTAATTATAAATAATGAAAATGGAAATAACGGTGGATAACCCCCCGTTAATAATTTACTTCCGGATCTTTTAAGGTTAAATTTAAATGATTTTAATAATAATAATAATTTTTAACCTTACGGAAAAGGTTTATTTAATAATATCCTTTTATTAAAACTTTTTTTAATAAATAAAATTAATGGTAATTAAAGAATTAATGAATGGTTAATTAAAGCTTTAAAATAATTAATCCGACTTACTTTTACCATCGTTATGTTTATTTAACTAAATAAATTACTTATTTATAACGGAAAAAACTTATTAAAATTTTATATTTAATAATTAAAAGTAAAAGCGTATATTAAAACATATATAATAAATTTCTTAAAAAATTATTAATGAATTAATTAAGTTAATTTTTTATTAATAAAAAAAAGATAATTTTAATATTAATAAAAAACGACTTAAATTAAAAAACTAAGATTTATTAACTTTTAAAAAACTTATATTAACACCTTAAAAAATAAGTTTAAAAATCCCTTAAAAAAACATTAAAATTATAAAAAAATAATTAAATTAAAATATTAAAAGAATATAATTTAATATTTTATAAAATTTTAAGATTTTAATAAAATAATTAAATAGTTTAGAATAATTTATTAAACTTATATTATTAAAACCTTTTTTAATAAAATTATTAAATTAATATATTTTAAATAAAAAAGTTTATTAATTACGGATAATAAGTTTATATAAACCATTTAAAAAGTTGGTTAAATTTATAAAAATATATTAATTAACTTAAGTATTTCATTAATAAAAAATATATTTATTTTAACGAAAAAATATTTAAAATTAAACCAATAAAATCGTAATTAAAATTATTTTACTTTAAATTAAAATTAATTTTTAAAAAATATAAGTTAATTAAAATTAAACGGTAAATTTAATTTTAATAAAAAGCATTAATCCGGAAATAAAAAAGTGTTAAAAAAAATTAGCTAGGAAAATATTAATAAATAAAAAAAAAATAAAAAAATATATTAATATTATAATTAAAATAATTATTAAACCTTAACTTATTTTACCAAAAAAAATATTAATAATAAAAAATTACTTCCACCTTTAAAAAAAGTTTTAATTATTAAAAAATTATAAAAAAATAATACTAAAAAACCGCTTTCCTTAAATAAAAAAATAAAAATTAACGCGGCTTTTAAAAATATAATATAACTTCGGATTATAAAAATTAATAATTCCGATTTAAATTTTTAATAAGTTTTAATAATTTACTTTATTAAAATTTATAACTTTATTAAGGTAAATTTACGTAAACCGTAATTATTAAAAAATTAAATAATAAAGTTAATTTAAAGTTAAAAAAGAAAAAACTTTATAAGTTAAAAACGGGTTAAAAACTTATTATAATTATAATACTTATATATAATTATAAAGAGCATAAAGTTAAAATATTATTAAATATAAATAATTTTATCCCTTTAATATCTTTATTTAAAATAAAAAAATAAAAATTACTTATTATTAAAAAAACTACCCTAAAAATAATAATAACTTTTAATAAT